AGTTTTGAATTCCCTAAGATTTCTCTCTCATCTTTCTCACACACGGTTACGATTCTGTTTAATCACCCATTGTGCTCCGGGATTAATTGGACTGAGCAGCAAAGCATTGCAGAGGATGATTAAGAAACAAAACGCAGAGCTCTCAAATTGTCCTAATACAGTGGTTTGCATTTGCTATGAAAAATAGCTGTGTGTTTCTTTTAAAGCAATCCTAGGACTTGTCAATGTTGCACAACAGGGAGGAAACATATATTGGTATGGCGAGATGGTCAATGTATTAGGCTCAGGTGTGAACATCACCTGATCTCTCCATACTTGAGTTTTCATGGGGGAATGAAGCTCACATGCCCCATCCTGGTTCCTCTAAAAACAGTAGCTAAGGGCCCTCTTCCACCCCCTTAATCTGAGCACTATCATACTTGATAACTGGCAGCTGAAAGTGCAAACTGACTGCAGCGCATTGCACTAAAGCTTGCATTTTAAATTGGAAAGCGTGATTTTTAATTAATGGTGCACACATTTGCTTTCGAAGCTATTTTGTTTCCGGTGTTTTAGCTGTAGGAGGCAATGGAAAACAAGCTGTTACTGATGGCCCTTTCTTTCCTTATCATAACAATACCAAGTAGCGGCTTTTGGTTATTAAATTGTGTTATATGACATGGCCTTAACAAGGAACTCGGCCAAGGTTTAATTGACATACAGATGCATTGCAATTTGACTGATTGAGCCGCTGGTGAAAAATTTCCACAAAAGTGCTTAGCAAGTGACTAAGAGGGAGACAGAGAAGGCTGAGCAGGAGAGCGCATGTCTTCCCTGCCACCGATCCCACATCCACTACCTGGCTTCTCCAGTTTCAGAAAGGCTTACCAAAGTGGCAGGACTGGGAAAGACCTAATTGGAGAAGACTCAGAGCAACAGACAATTCTGTGCTCCATCAACTGGGCTGATTCGATATAAAACAGGTGGGCATATTGGTCATTCTAATGGACTTTGGCAGTCGGACTGAATATTTCACTAAAGGATTGGGAGAAATGTCTCAGGGGCAACAACAGTTTGACAATGGAACTAATGACCTAGAGGGGTGCTAAGAGGCAAGTGGGCAGCAGGAATGGGAGATGCCTATCAAACTATCAGTGGACTGTGCAAAACGCCATACAGTGGTACCTTGGGTTAAGTACTTAATTGGTTCCAGAGGTCTGTTCTTAACTTGAAACTGTTCTTAACCTGAAGCACCACTTTAGCTAATGGGGCCTCCTGCTGTTGCTGCACCGCTGCTGCGCGATTTCTGTTCTCATGCTGAAGCAAAGTTCTTAACCCGAGGTACTATTTCTGGGTTAGCAGAGTCTGTAACCTGAAGCGTCTGTAACCTGACATGTATGTAACCCAAGGTACCACTGTACTTTTTTATAGGGTAGAGTAAGCACAGGGGGTGAGCTTATGGAGCCAAGGGGGCAGTGCCCCAAAAATGTTTGGAAACCATTGACCTAGAGGGATGTCAGACTCACTCACCCTGGAGGTCTTCAAGCAGAGACCAGGCAACCATCTGGGCTGCAGGATTATCTACCTCTGGGCTGCCTGCATGGAGCAGGAAATTGGTCTGCAGAGCCTACAAGCCCTGCCCCCACCCCCAAATGCATACAAATTTTCACATGGACCTAAAAAGAAAATGCATTCTAACACAGAATCGGGATTAACTGAAGGCTGGGGAAAAACAAGAAGCAGAGAGAAATGGTTCATCCCAAGTGAATGGAGAATGGAAACTACCCTGCCTTTCTACAGCCCCATGGAATCTCCCAACCCTCTAGGGTCCCTTGGGGAGATTCTCCACTGCTGTTTGATGCCCTACCCACAATCCTTTGCCTCAAAGGGCACTGGTGTCCTCAGTCACCACTACGTTAACCAGAACCCCAGAGGAGCACCATAAACTGATTATATTTGTACTTCTGTAAAAATCAGATTGTCTCACAAGAGAAGCAACTCTAATTATGGGGAACGATCGCATAATTTTGTATCTAATTGGAGACGCATTTGCTGGAAGAATTTGTTGGGATAATTAAGAGTTGAGGGAGGGAGGGATGTGGGTAAGCTTGCGAGCTACGGAAGAAGCAAATTCCTCATTTCAAAAAAAGAACGAAAATCAGCATAGTGAAGGTTGGTGGGAGTAGCTGCTATCGTCGTCGTCACACTCATGCCAAGACGCAGAACTGGAGACAGTTCCCTTTCCCTTTTTAATTTAAAGAAAAAAGCTTTTATTGAGATCCTCAGAGAACTCTCCTTTTGCTTTTGAAAACTGCATTAAAGCCTGGAGTGGGGATTGCAATTAGGGTGTCTGGGGACATTAGGTAATTGAAGTTTCCTTAACTACTGTATCCAATTTTGCTGAGGGAAGGATGTTCTCTGCATGGGGAGGAGGGGGAAGCAAGCTATAAAGCTTGTACAGAGACCCTGAAATCTTTAAAAGGTCAGTGCAATGTGGCTGGAAATTCCCCCTCCCATCTGTCTGAGCCCATTGTGGGGTGGGAGGTGTCCTCAAAGTTTGGAGATGGTGCTTTTTGCTCATTCTTGAAGGGGGCTCTGTATCGTGCAAGTCATCTGGTGTCTGCACAACTGACCAAGAGGGACGTGGAATTACCATCCTGGCTTGGTGTCAAATGCCACCAGCTCCTAACCATGCTAAGGATTAAAAGGTCTATAAATGTCTTAAATATAGAAGAAGCAAACCAGCAGCACTTTGGAGCAGGGAGGTAGTCACCACTGCTTCCCTGTTCTCGCTGCTACAACTGCTGCTATCACAAACAGTTGGGGTGAGTGGAATTAAATTTCTTAAGGATGACCAATATACCGAGTTTTGCCACCATGTCACTGACCTTCATATGGATGGATTTTAAGCCCCCAATTAATTCTGCTGTTTGCCGTTTCCACCGGTTAGATTTAATACTAAAACACACTGAGATAGACACACCAAACCCTAAAGCATTTTCCTAGTTTAATCCTCAATGGCTCCTTTTGCTTTATTTCCCTTTTTCCCTCCACCTCCTCTTTGAACGAAACAAGAGGTTATTAACTAACGAAGGCTCCCTCATTTTCCAGTCTGCTGGCTGCTTTGCTACCTGTGCCACGAGATGGAAATTCCATCCCTCGGCCGTTTGGGCAGAATTAGTGTCTCCATTCTTTTGAGACGCTCCTGGCCTCTGGGCTTTTTTTGTTCAGCCCTGGAATTGCATTTCAGGGCTTGTAGTTTTCATTCAATTAATGAAGCACTGGTCCCTCTCTCAGAAGCCGAGGAAAAACAGTTTCCTGTCTTCTAATGGGATGCACCCATTTGCTAGCTGAAATGGCTATCAGGAAATGACCATTTTGAAATCGGAGCCTATTTACTTGGTAAATAGTAAGTTTACTTGGCTTATCATCCAAGGATCTCAGGGGTAGCAGACATGAGGCCATCCCATCCCATTCCATCTTGAGAGAAGTTTGAGAAACAAAGCCTGGCCCAAGGTCACCCAGAAAGGCTTCGTGGCTGAGAGTGGCGAAACTGGGTCTCTCCAGCATACAGTTGATTCTCTGGCAGAGGAATCGCTAACATGGTGCTCTCCAGATGTAGTTGGACTACAACACCCATCATCCCTCACTGTGGGCTATGCTGGCTGAGGCTTATGGGAGTTGTAGTCCACATCTGGAAGGCACCACATTGGGTCGTCCTGCTCTAGCAGTTACAACACACAGGTTTCCACAGGTGCTCTTGCTTGTTCCCAAGCAAACACGAACACAGGAATATAGAAGACAAGAAACCGTGATATATCTAGTCAGGCCATTGATCCATTCACTCAATATTACTATCAGACCAAGAGACTTTCCTTGTCCTGCCTGGAGAAGCCAGAAATTGAGGCTGGGGCTTTCTGTGGTGAAAAGCAGGTGCTCTACCACAACCCTCCCAGATGTTCAGCCAACTACCACATCAATGCTGCTGCCCCCATCTGATGTTTATTTTAGTGTATCTTTGATTCTCGAACAAGGGGCAAAGTGTACCTTCCAAAAACTAGCCCACCATGTTGGATGTATGCCTCTATGCCTGCTTAAGTGAGGTCTCCTGCAGCTGTATCCCTCACCCCTTCAAATATAATCTATCTCGGGAGGAAACATCATCATTCCAAGGGATGGAGCATATAGTACTGGCAAATAGCAACCTTCGCTACAAGTGAAGGGGAATCCTAAAAGCTCAGCTATAACCCAGAAAGCATCTCTCTATCAATGACAAACTGATTAAGCAGGAGAACAGGACATTGGGGGGACAATATGACCCAGTCCATCTCACAGCTGAAAGAAGCACACCCGCAAAATTTGTTTGGGTAGCCAAAATAGATATGTAGCAGTTGGATTTAACAGCAAACTATGCATCCTCTTTTAACTGGGCGGGGGGGGGGGGGGCAGAAACAAACTTGTACCTCCAGGTACCCAAAGTTTAGAAGACCCTGTCTTAATCCATATTTGCTTTGAAGCATTTGAGACACACTTTTTAGAGGAAGAGTGCATAACATAGTGGGCGATGGGTGGGAGCTTTGTAAAATAAATGGTACCCGTCAGTCTCAACCCCATATTTACCTTTGAAATCGCTGCCACCTCCTTGTATGCTGATGATCCATTTTCTTCTCTTTTCCCCTGCCCCACCCACCCCCTGGTCGCTGGTCCCCAGTTGTGTGGTCTGTTTAGGACAAGCTTTCAGCAACAGTATCCTGGACCATGTATATCTTTTTCTTGCAGGCAAAGATATATCCATTACCATCCAAGTGGCAAAAATTGTTTGGGCAGCCAGGTTAAAAACAACAACCCCCAAACACTTGGTGGGATGGGAGGGATGTGCTGCTGGTTTAATTTCATTTTTAACCACCTTTATAGTTTATTATAGAGGGTTGCTGCATTTTTACCCTGGGGGGGTGAGCTTTATTTTTATGTTTGTGTGTGTTGATTACGTCAAAAGAACTGTCCGCTTTCTCCATATTGTGGTGGCTTTAAATAATTAAGTTTAATTCATTCAACAAGAATGAGAAGGCACGTATGTTCTTCTGATTATGATTCTTTAATTAAAAAACAAACAAGCACCCAAACACGCCCCAAACCCAACCTCTGTGTAAAAATAATGTTACAAAACCAAACAAATTGGCAAACAAGCTTGCACTGCCGTGTTAAAGGTCTGAAAGCCTCAGCTGCCTTCTACCAGCCAGTGACATTTCATGGCGAGAGAAATGAATTTTCGATCCGGAGCAAGGAGGAAAGGGGGTGGGGGTATAACAGGCACGACTCAGCTGCGTGGTTGGAGGTCGTGCTGACGTCCCAGGAATCCACTCGGGCAATCAATCACGCAGGCTTAGCAGGGGCTCAATGGGATGCAAGCTAAAGTACACTCAAGTGGAGGCCATGTGTCCCACCGCTCTGAGGTAGTGGAGTGGGGGAGGTAATCTCTCTGCAGACTTGTGGTCGGCGACAATTCAGGGGCGCAAAGGCTGTTTGCAGACGGGGATCGTGAAGGGAGCGGGACTGTCCCTTTAGGGAAGTTTGATGGATTGCAGGAGAGTGGGAAACAATCGAGGCAAGGGCACACAAACGCATACACCTTACAACACTACTGGTAGGTCACCTTCACGCAGAAAGTCTCTTCGTTCTTGTCTTCATGATCATTGATATAAATCAGGATTTCCTCTTCGCCAGCACTCTGGCTCGGGGCAAATCGCAAGCCGATGGTGTACGTCTCCCCTCCGCCGATCTGCAAGGACAAACAACAGGGACGGTAGCCAGAGGGTCAGTTGAGGGCTAATAGATGCCTGCATATAAATTGCTTCGTAAGCAGTGATTCCGTGGATGATCCCTCAGTATAATTGTTGAAAAGGGCAAGGCCCAATTCCAGGCCAAAGTGAAGCACCTTTTGTGTCTCAAGGGTGGTGTGGGATTTTTACTATTATTCTAGTGCTGGATTTTGGCTGGAAGGTGTTCAGATGGTGCTCGAGGCTACATGAGACAATACGGAAGCTTTGCCTCTGGGATTTGGTCTATGGTGGCTGTTTCATGCATTTGAAACACTGCATACCCTCATCAAAATTGAAAGTTGAGGCACACACATGCGAAGAGAACCCTTACAGAACTATTTTGGGATGTGAGAGCTGATTGCCCTCAATATGCTCAAAACTCTAGTTTGTTGGAGGTTTTTAAACAGAGCTTGGATGGCCATCATTCAGAGATTCTTTGGCTGTGATTCCTGCACTGGGGGATGGACTAGATGGCCCTTGGGGTCCCTTACACCCCTACAAGTCTATGGTTCTATCCAAACATGCAGATTACAGAGACAGTTGAGAGCCAACTTTGCAGTGCCCGGGGTAGCATTTCTGCCTGGAGAATTTCCTGGAGCCTCAGCAAAGTCAAACCATCCTGTTCCTCTTTAGATGCTACCTCAATTTTTACAATTTTATAGCATGCAGAGAACAACATGTGCTGAGAAACCAGAGAGAGGAACTGAGGGAAGTCGGGGGGGGGGTTTGGGAAAAAACAGGAGGGGGAATGAGGATGATGTATTTTTGATAAATTGTTATGTCAAAATTCCCAATAAAAAAATATTTTATTTTTTTAAAAAAAGATGCTACCTCAAAAGAATCCTCCTTGAACTGTAGAAGGTCTGGCCGGTTGGTGTGCAGGAAATAGACCCTCCGGGATGGATAGGGGTTGGCGTAGGTGATCCTCTTGTTTGAGCCTTTCCCTCCACCAGGGGGGAGCACGATTTCAAAAGCCTGGAGGTGGGGAGAAAAGGAAAACTGGAGTCCGAGACAACACTGGGCGGGATGATGCAACACCACTATCAGGGCCGAATGAAGTGCCATGATGTGAGAGATCTCTGTGTTTAGGATCTCCTCTGAGTTTCTTTCCCTTTTTTCAGTTTAGTGGGTACAGGAATGTGCTTTGGGGGAAGAGACACTCTAAGAGAGGGTGATTCACTCTTTTCCTCCCTTAATCCTTCCTGCTTCAAATAGCCCCTGCCTCCTGTTAATTACACAGGAGATGGGGGGGAGGTCTATATATTGGGTTGCACCCAACATCTATGCCCAATGAAATCTAAGAGCTTCCCCAATTTAAACAGAGTTTCGATGGCCATCTGTCAGGGATTCCTTAGCTTCGATTCCTGCATTGCAGAGGGTTGCACTAGATGAACCTTGGGGTCCCTTCCAACTCTACAGTTCTATGACTCGAAGGCCATCAGTTTCAGTGGGTCTACTGCGACTGAGTTGGATTTCTTCATATCTTGAGGCTGCAGAGCTATAAAAAACTCGGTGTGTGTATGTGTCGATTTCACACTTTAGCATCCCATTTGAGCTGCTGCTGAGTTAGCTCTTAGCTTCGCCTTTTGAGCAGCTGCTGAATAGCTCATGCTTTCTCACCTAGCCCGCTGTCAGGTGTGCCAGGGCAATTGCTACTGTCTCCAGTTTTGGAGTATCAGGTGCTCTACAGGGCTGGCACACTTCCTACCCAGAGGACTTAATGTCTAATAAGCAAACTAGAGACGGCTGTTATAATGAGACAGCGGAGAAAAGGGGGAGGGGGCAAATCAGATGCTGGATCTGGCCACAGTGACACATGCCCTAGTTACATCCCAGTTGGACTACTGTAACAGATTCTACGTGGGGCTACCTTTGGATGCTTCAGCTGGTCCAAACTACTGATGGGGGCATTGCAGGGAGCATGTTCCTCCCCTCTTAAAAAAACAACTTCACTGGCTTCTAGTCCATTTCTGGGCACAATGCAAAGCACTGGTTATGACCAATAAAGCCTTATACTGCTTGTGCTCAGGCTACCTGGAAGACCTCCCTGTATGAACCCGCCTGTTTGCTAAGCTCCTCCAGTGAGCACCTTCTCTTGGTCCCATCAACATCAGAAGCATTGCTGGTGGCGACACAAGAGAGAGTCTTTTCTGCGGATGCTCCCAGACTGTGGGATTCCCTCCCAAGCGAGGTTAGCCTGGCTCCCTCTTTGCTATCCTTCTGCTGGCCAGCCAAGACCTTCCTGTTCAGGCAGGACTTGGAGAACTAAGGAGCAGACAATGCTGATCACTGCAAACTGTACTTCAGCTGCTGGTTCTAAGTGTGTTTTGATGCATTTTAACTATTATTTTTCGATTTGTATTACATTGTATTTTATGATGATGTTTTTAAATGTTGCACGCAGCTTTGAATCCCAGTATGGGAGAGAAGTGGGATATAAATACATTAAATAATGAATAAATAGCCAAAAGGTTAAGGCTTGTGGGATCCTGCCTCCCTACCCACTGTCTTCTAAGAAAACATTAGATGGTTCGATGAACTGGACGAGAAAGTATCTGGGAGGTTACACTCAGATATATTCCTCATTAGGAGAGACAACCTCTTAAACTCCTCATGCCCTGAAACTAGAATAAACTTGTTTCAGGATTTGCTTTCACTTCTTCAACCCTATTTGACCCCAAAAATGCAACACGGCGGCCATTATACTCCAACAAATCTAAACCCTGGTTCGATCAGGAATGCCTCGCTATGAAGCACTCTTTGTTGGGAAAATACAGGAACTATAGGTCTGCCAATCTACCCTCACTCCCTGCAGAGTGGGTTGAAGCTAAACAAAATTATAAAGCTTCTAAGAAAGGGTTTTGAGGAAGGGCTGAAGGAGACCATGGCTGTGGACATGAAACTGAACCGAATTGTGTGTTCTCCGATTCATGGTCTCTGAATCTGGGGAGCTGGGGGTGGCTGAACTGCAGCATGGCAAACTGCTCCTCTGTTGAACAGGCAAGGGCAGAGCTCAGAGGCCAAAGTTCCTTCCTGCCCACAGAACAGATTTCAGTGATGGGAGACAAGCTATGCAGCTAAAAGCCTGGATTTTAAATTACAACAAGAGGGGGAAACAAACAGTGCATTGCCTTTTAGGACACACCTTTATCATTCCTAATAATGACCAGAAACAAGAAAACTCCTGAAGAATAACCATGGAGGCAGCCTTGAAATTGCCACCCGAGTCCCCCCTAAATGGCACTCCTGAGACAGGAGTGTAAGAAGAATTTTGACTTTCAGACTGAAAGGAAAACCCACCTGAAGCAAGGTCTTGTCCTTGCTGACTCTGGATCCCTCATGTTCAGCCTCCACCTGACCTTTCTGGCCCCCTTGCATCACCCTTAGTAAAACCGGGAATTAAAGGCAAATGTCTGATTACCTTGGAGACAATAGGCTGCCGGCAGGATAAGCACACCAGCCAGGAAGAAACAAGCTGATGGTATTCGACATCCACCAGGTTGAGGTAGACAAACCGGCTGCCAGCACTCTGAGGCCTCACGCCGAGGTGCAGATCTTGCACGCCATTTGCAGGGAGGATGAAGACGCCTTCTGGGTCCACCTAGCAGAGGAAGAACGAGGAGACATAAGCACAGAAGAAGAGCCTGCTGGATCAGGCCAGTGGCCCATCTAGTCCTGTTCTCACAGTGGCCAAAGTGATGCAAGCAGGATCTGACCATGAGAGCCCGCTTCCCTCCTGTGGCTTCCAGCAACTGGTGTTCAGAAACATGGCTCCCTCCAGCTGCAGAGGCAGAGCAGAAGTATCATGGCCAGTTGCCATCAATAGCCATATTCTCCATTAATTTGTTTAGATTCTCTTTTAAAGCCATCCAAGTTAGGGCCATCACCGCCTCCCATGGGAGCGAGTTCTGTAGTTTAACTATGCACTGCATGAAGAAAGGCTTTGTTTTATTTGTCCTGAATCTTCCAACATTCAGCTTCATAACGAGCCTACGGGGAAAGGAGCTTACTGCAAAATATGACACAATCTTCGGCGCCTGTACCTCTGCCCACACGTAGGTTGCTCTGGAAAACAGGGAGTAGTTGCTGACTAAACCATGGAGTGAAGCTGCTGAGGACTCAGAACTCCTTTTCAGGGCTGCTTCATCAGCCTTATTGCATGGATCCTTAGATCCACCTTTAGCAGGAAAGACTGTGGTCAACGGCAGAACCACCCCTGGTCTGTCTATAGTCACCTAGAGATTTGAGGCATTCCATCACTCGCTCTGAACGTAGCTTGCTTGCTAGCCTATGTTCAATAGCCCGTGGGTGGTTTTACTAACCATAAGTGATTTCAGGCCTAGCTAAGACTTAAAATCTGTTCCATTTTAAAGTCACTGTCAAAGGATTCTGGGAAGGGAAATCCATGTCTCCCCCGCAGAGGAAGTGAGGAAGAAAGACTCCTCCCTTCCTCTTTGTTAGATGTGAGCTACAAGGTGTGGGTGGCTTGCCAAAAGCCAGGTAAGCATTTTGGAAGGGAACATCCTGTTTAGGTGTAAGGCACAATGGTCCTCTCCTTCACCTCACAGGGCACCTCCCTCCCTCCCTCTACATCATATCCAGAGATGCTACAGGGTGGGCTTAACTATGGAAAGGTGGCTTACAAATGAACTATGAGAAAGGTGATGGATGTATCCCTGCTCGGGTCAGCATCCATACTTTGGCCCTTTAACAATGGTGCCCCAATGGGGACAGTCACCTCAAGGCCATGTGGACTCTAGGTGACTGAGTGATGCTGTGAACAGTAGCTGCCAAAGCCCCCTGCCGGAGGATCAGGAGGAGGAGGGACTTCTCAGAGGTTAATCCAAAATGCTACAGACACCAACGAGGCTCTTCTGAAAGGGACCACCCTAGTGTCCTTTGATCAAGCCACGGGGGAAGCTAATCCACTCTACCTCTGTTTCAAGCCTGGAATGCAAATGAGGCGATGATTCAATGTGTGCTGCTGACATGGAAATGAGAGCCTGCAAAGGCAAAAGGCAAGGGCCTCGCATTTTCTTTTCGTAAAGGTTCTCCCTTGGCAATGGGGCTACATCCGCCTCATGCCAGCAATTTAGCAGGCATCTTTGGTCAGTCTGTCCAGCTGCAGTGATTAATGTTCATTACATTTAAGGGAGGGCTGTTTGGCTTAAGGTATAATTGCCACTGGCTTCCTCCTCCCCTTTGCTCTAGAGTAGCCTTTCTCAACCTTGAATCCCCAGATGTTGTTGAACTACAACTCCTATCATCCCTGACCACTGGTCCTGTTGGCTAGGGATGATGGGAGTTGTAGTCCAACGTCTGGTGACCCAAGGTTGAGAAAGGCTGTTCTAGAGATATAACAATCAGCTGACTCCACAGGAGGTTCTCTAGAGAATACAAGGCCATTCTACACCACAGCTCAGGCTGCATGTGCTTCTGGATGGCAGGGGAGGTGGTCTCAATGGATGAGGGTCAGCAGGAGCTTGCCTTGAGGACCCTGAACACCCTGAGACATTTCGAGGCCCACTTTGAGGGCAGTCTCAAGGAGTGGATCCTGTGTTTGACTCTTCCCCAGAGGCTGGAAGTTTAGACTTCCTAAACGAAGACCTGTTGGCCAAGACTCTCAATCTTTCATAAGCTCTGAGCAGAGAGTTTACAGATGTCAGTAACCCGCTGACATTGACTCCTGACTTCAAATTGTTGGCAGCTTTAAATTCCTTCTCACTCTCAGCTAAAGGCCAGGACATGGGCACTCAATAGGTCTGCCTATAACACCCATCTTCTCTGAAAACTCCACTGGGAGCTGGCCCAGGTGCTGCGCAATCTGAACTAGATTTGGCTCCCTGAGCTCTTGATGCTTGCTACTTGCTGCTGCACACTCACCAGCGGTCAAGTCCCTCCATGCCTCTCTCAGCATCTTCTCTGGCATACAAACATCGCCAATAGCACCATCAACAGACCAACTGCCCATACAGGTGTGCACCTGTTTGACCATCCACCTAAGTTATGCATGAACCTAATGCCAAATTCTGAGTTTGGAGAGAACTGCAGATTACTCACATCTCAACCCATTACCCTTCTGAGCAGGCTTCTCTTATGCTCTTATAACCTCATGTCACACTGAGTACCGTATGGGCTTGTATACGGATTGGAGAGGTGAAGTTGAGGGTGAGGGATTGACCAGGGCTCATCAGAGAATCCACATCTAGGAACTGATCCCAGGTCTGATCAGCAGAATCTCACTTAGACTCCATACCATGAGTGAAGCTGGAGCTTCCTTCAAGTTTCCTTTGTCTTTTGCTGTTCCCTTTCAACTCATGTAGCTTCAGAATTTTCAAGCCCCCCTCCCTTTCAATTTATGTGAGGGCAGCGGAGTTTGTGTTTCTCTTATTATTCACATTTATAATTATGACTAAATGCATTCTAAAGAAATTATTATTCTCCATAGACTCATTAATTCTGATAACTTGCCCACTGGGGTTTTGGGCCACTGATCCCTCCGTACGATGGCTTTAATCAAAAGACAATTACAGAAGAGGCTTTGCAGCTGTGAATTGTCTGAGGTCTCCTAACGGGCTCTTGCATCCTAGCGGACGGCCCATCTCGTGGGGACCTTTGATGAAAATCTCCAAGCAAAGGCACTTGCAGAGGCGGAATCAAATTTCCCAGCAGAATGTGTGTGTGTGTGTGTGTGTGTGTGTGTGACCCTCCTTGTGCGATTTCTTGTCAGTTTCTTGTGAAAATGTGCATCACCCTTTCTTTCTCAATTGCTTTTATTTGTCCTTGGAAAAACATTGCCCAGCCGAATCTGATTAGCTGCATCATGTGATCCCTGATTGGCTAGGATCAACCGTTTGACTAATCCAGGCAGGAGGGAGAAAAGCGTAATAAAGGAGGAGGAAAATGAAACAGAAGGTTTCCTGTTCTTTTAAGATCTGAGCAACCACAGAATAAAGTAAAGTCCCCACGGAGTCCCGGGGTCTGATCTTACCGTCAGCTCATGCGGGTGTGAGGTGTACGCTTTCACCTTCCGGATGGCTTGAGTCCCTCTGAGCACCAGTGAAAGGCGGGTCAGCTGCCCTGTTATGCAGCTAACATCCACCCGCTGCAAAGAATGGAGGTAGAATTGCCAGATCTGTGTCGGAGCAGCCAGCCAGGGGTCCCTGGAGTGACAAACGGAGCAACAGATGGTGCTTCACAGCCTTGTCAGAGTGAAAAATACTCGGGGAAGTGACTGCTCCAAAACTGCGAGCCGGGAAAGAAGGAAAATCCTCCCTCAAACCCACATGTGTGCGTTCTATAAATTAAGCACCAGCCGCCCAGTTCCTGGGGAACGCTCACACGGCCTAGAAGGGCACAATCCTATCCTGGTTTGTTTGTTTGTTTGTTTGTTTCCTTGTTAAAAAACCAAAAGGAAAACATCCAAATAAAACACAATTCTGTGCTCAGCTCTGGGCTTCTCCGAGTGGCTGAATGTTCCAGGGTCTGTTTCCTTAAGAAGACAGAGCAACATAGGCTGCAGGTGCCTTTTGATCTTTTAAAATTATTTTTTATCGCTTTGCTTCTTACCTGTTAAACAACAACACACATACAAGCAAGCAAGCAAGGAAGGAAGCCTCCACCCTTAGTAACTTTGATCCAGCACAGAATCTGAGTGCCGTCATGGTTTCCTACTTACGTGTAAATAGAAAGGAAGAACCTCTTGATCTGTGGACTTGGGCCCCCTGCGACTTTCAGAAAGACATCCTGAGGTTCGCCAGGCCCCTGGGTGGGAAGACCGAGACCAGATTGTGACGTACCAGACCTTACCCAGTAGTGTTGAATTAATTTCTGAATTAAAACCAGGGAGCAGGTTTTGGAAAAAAGGAGACTGCCTTCCACCACTGATCTACACCAGGGGTGGTTGACGCGCATCCCTTTAGATGCTGCTAGAGTAAGACTCCTGTCATCCCTGACTATTGGCTGGGCTGGCTGGGGCTGACGGAAACTGGGATCCAGCAACATCTGGAGGGCTGCACTGCTAACCTCACCCTGGTCCACCCTGCCTGGAAGAAACTCTCCAGGGTGTTATACAGAGAGAGCCCTTTCCCAGCGATGCTGGAAATTGATCCTGGGACCTTCATCACACAAGGGACAATGCACTGACATACCACTCTCTTCCCTGAAGGGTCTGCTTTTTTGCATCTGGAAAAGTTAATTTATAACTTGTGTAAGACTCAGAGCTGTGCTGGAAGTTATGAAAGAAATATTTTCAGCACATTTACAGGGACTTCGGGAGCAGGAGCAAAAGGGGGTGGGGGGAAACTCGCTAATCTTTGGTGGGTTGGAATAATTTTCAAAGATTTGTGGGGCATTCAGTACCATTTTCTTGGTTTCACAAACAATGTTGGGGTCACTGCAACGCACAAACATCTCTGGTTCTCCACCCGGCATACCCACTGGGGCACCTGGCAAGGACAAAAATAGATCGTGAGGTCTGATTATTCCCACAAAAACAGCATGAATAAAAATAATCTCTGCCATTGCTGCTGCGGCATACAATGCAAAATCCTCCCATCTGCTGACAGCAATGTGTGCAACGTATTTATACCGCTAAGACCACCCAACTGCCCAGTCAGGAAATCAAGGGCTGAACTGGTGACCTTCTGCATTCCTAGCATATGCTCTACCCCTGAGCTAATGTCCTGTACCTCAGTACAGGAAACTACCTTGTATCACACGGGGCCATTTAGCTCAGTATTGTCTGCACTGACTGGCAGTCCTGAAGACTCCAGGACTTCAGACAAGGGTCTTCTTCAGCCCTACCCAGAGATCCCAACTGAAACTGGGTCCTTCTGCATGCAAAGCAGGTGCCCTGAGCTATGACCCTTTCCCACTGCATACATCCAGTATATCCAGCTTGGCCCTGGCAATGGCAGTGATTTTCAACGTGCCGTTTCTCGTTCTTCACTTTCAGGGGGTGGGGCTGCCTGCGAAATTGGCTAAGAGCTACCTGGAAGGGTGTGCCAAGGAGGCAAACGGATGGATTTCTTGAGAAAGGTGAGCTCCGGGTGATAGAAGCGGAAGGTCTGATCCACCACGTGGGGCTGGGATTCCACGTTCACACTGAGGATGGCAAGGAGCTTCCCGCCGCTTGCAGTGAAGGAGACCTGGGTGGAGGGAGAGGGAGAAAGTTAATGTCGTTCCCACAGGGCAGCATGAATGGGGGTGACCGTGAGGACCTGTCACTGCCTCTCACCCCGCCCTACCTTATAGGATTGTTGCAAGGATTACATGAGGGGGGGCAGGGAGAGCCACATACACCACCTTGAGCGCCCTGGAGGAAAAGCTGCCTTTCGTAAAACAGGCTGAATCTTTATTGAACTGCTGAGGGATGGTTTGCCTAAGCCGCAATTAGCAAATGCGGAATTAAGTCCTTAGGCTTGATATCCTTGTTACATCCCGTAAATGCAGAGAGCAGAAATAATCCTCGAGTAATTTCAGTACTACCACCTGTAATACTAATCAGGTCCTTGTGTACCTTTAAAGAAATAATAAAATTGAGTGCCTTTTGGAAAACAGGCCGCATCTTTATTACAGAGCTGGGCAAGGTTTGGAGATCGAAAGGCACAGGGGTGGTAAGTTGGAGGGGAGCATGTCTGGAGCTGCCCCCACCCCAAGTCATTGCACACAGACCCACCCCCGCCACTGCCACCACCACCCCGTCAACCTTCCTGCATGAGGAATGTACCGAGAGTGACAGAACCACCAAATCTGAAGAGGGAAGAACACCCACAAGCCGACTGACTGGATGCTGCCCAATCACTCTCGTCAATCAGTGCGATTTACCCTGATGTGTTTTGTTTGTATGCCACAGGACTTCCAGGGGGCTGAGGAGTCCTCCTTGCCTTTGCTGAACATCAGCTCCATGGGACCTTGCTGGGAATGAAAGAGAGGAGTTGGAGTGTGCTTCCCATTTTAACTCCCCCCCCCCAAATCCTCCCACTGTCTTCTGGGAGTCTAATGTCTGTGAGCCATTATCCTGGTTTATATGCTGTGGAATTCATTTTGCTATAGGCTTAAATGAGATTCCGGTGCTGCACCTTGTGTAAAGTTTCTCAAAAGCAAATATTTGGGAAGTATTTTAAAAAGCAAAGCACGAACGCCTCTCTACCTGCATGGTGGCAGCATGCTCCAGGGAGAAGGCCTGGTACTTGAAGGGGATGTGGACCGTCTCCTTGGGGCGCAGGTACACCTGAGGCGTGAGGTCGTCCTGCAGGTGAAACATGTCCTCCTCCAGAGGGGTGGTGGTTTGGGTCAGCTTCTTGAAGTGCCTCCATTCTCTAGCATCCACAATGACACTGGAGGGAGAAACAAACCAAACAAAGGCCAAATGCTTTTACTTCCAGGTGGGACTTCCAACCCCTTTGTTACCTGTGAGCCATCTCAAAATCAAACTTTGGATTGCCGCCTTTGACACTGTGGCTGGGAGCCGGTGTCTGTTGCAGCACATGTGTCAGCTTTCCTCGTGTATCACGGAGGGAGAATTAATTTCACAGGAGCATAGAATTGTAGAGTTGGGAAGGACCCCATGGGCCATCTAGTCCAACCCCCTGCAATGCAAGAATCACAACTGAAGAATTTACCTTCTAACTGGGGTTGGTGGCATTCATGTGCATAAAGGTACCCCTGACAGTTAAGTCCAGTCACGGACGACTCTGGGGTTGCGGCGCTCATCTCGCTTTACTGGCCAAGGGAGCCGGCGTTTGTCCACAGACAGTTTTTCCGGGTTATGTGGCCAGCATGACTAAGCTGCTTCTGGCGAAACCAGAGCGGCACACAGAAACACTGTTTACCTACTTGCACTTTGACGTGCTTTCGAACTGCTAGGTTGGCAGGAGCAGGGACTGAGCAACAGGAGTTCACCCCATCATGGGGATTCAAACTGCTGACCTTCTGATCGACAAGCCCTAGGCTCTGTGGTTTAGACCACAGCGCCACCTGCTGTGCATAGAACCCTTTTATTATTGCCTGTAGGCAAATGAATGCTGCCCACTGGTTCGGGGGGGGGCAAAGCTTTTGCCGGGCAGGGTGGGTGTCCAGAATTGTCTTCCTGAGATTGAGAACTGCAGCTCCCACTGGCAGAGATCCTACAGGGGATGCAACAGCCTCTGTGTGCAGTGTGTGAACTAAACCTCCCCTCTACCCCCCACTAATTAATCTTTATTTAGAGCCTTTGCACCCTGCTCCTTAGACAAAAAGGCTTCTGAAGTGGCTTACATATGATCAATTAAAATAAGACAGTCCCTGGCAACACAGGCTTACAACCTAAAAAAACAAAACAAAACAAGAACAGCACACGAGGGAAAAGGGCTAGGGAGGGAAGAGGGGAAAAGATCAATCTTGACCTGACTGCACACCTGGCGTTTTTCAAGGGACCCTGTTCCAATGGCCCAAAATGGATATAATCAATATAAGAACATAAGGAGAACCCCTGCTGGATTAGGCCAAAAGCATATCTGGTCCAGCATCGTGCTCTACCAGGCGCCAACCAGATGCCCCAATGGGAAGCCCGCAAGGAGGATCCAAGGGCAAGAGTGCGCTCCCAACCTGTGATTCCCAGCAATATGTTGTAAGGATTACTGAGCTTATGCACGTGAGGTGATCTGAACACTAGAAACGCACCATAGATACACAAACGGATATTAATGCCAAGCATTTTTATGAATGATTGTGTGTCTCCCGTCTCCTGGAAGTTTTTGTGTGATCCTTCTGGCCTTCAGAATGCAGCCGCTTTTTCTCTCACAGTGATCTGGCTGGGGCTCAGAAAGCACAATGAAGGGCATTGCCTGCTTTGACCCCCAACTGCTGCCCTGGGACTTCTCCTACCTGAGCTCTGGGTTGTCTGTCTCTATGGTGACCGTGTGCTGGACATTATACGGGTTCTTCAGGGCAAACTCGAAGAACTCAGCCGTGCCAAACGTGGCGTAGAGGGTGTGATGGGTGGTAATGGCCTGGCTCAGCATGCTGGCGATGCTCTCGGCTTTGATGCGCTCCCGGTAGGCCTCGATGATCTGGAGGTCCCGGGAGTGCTGGATGCGATCCTCCTGCCGTCCCTGTGAGGGAAGGAAAGGCTCAAGAACTGGCTGAGTGGGCAGGGTAGACTATGGGACATAGCTCTTCCGGAGAAACTAACACAGCATCTTAAGAGTACTACGGAACACAAAAACCAAAGACAATTCTGAAACTGTATGGAACATGTTTATTCCACACAACGCACAGGGCAATGCCACCTGTGGCTCTCTCTGGGACAATGTGTTCGGACAGCGGGTAGAAGACCACTGACTGTCTCCCACCTGACGGCTCAGCTCTAAGAACCTGTAGAGATGCCATTACTTGGGAGTGAGTTGTACTTGGCTAAATGGGCCAAGGGTCCAGCTCAGAAGGCGGCCATGGGGGAACCAGTCTCTCACCGTGATGAGGCTGGCTTTCTTCGCAGCATCGCCCTCTTGGGACTCCCGCCTCCGGACCGACAGCATCCTCTCCAGCTTCCGCCTCCGGGTGACGCTGGCCTCGCGGCTGCTGTGCTGAAACGTGGCGCTGACTTCGCGCAGGCGCGAGAAGAGCATGGCCGCCAGCTCACTGTCCACATCAGCCAGTTTTTGTGCCTGGCACACGTTCCCAGCTGGAAGACAGACAGACAGACAGACAGAGGTCATGATGGAAATGGGCAGATGGGATGAAGCAAAAGCCAATCACATCGTTTCTCTGTCTTGATGCACAGGAATTGCTAGTGCGATTGATACCTGCCTGAATGCTGCTTTTTAAACCTGTGGCATTTTCTGTTTCCTTAATAAGAAAAAAAATTACTCCTTCTTCCTTTTCTCCCTGCCCCTCCCCTCTTTTTTTTACTGGGCAATAAAGATAAAAATGCAATTAAGACCGTGGCTACCTCTGCCCTCTTTTCAAATTCCATTAGATCTCAAAATGAAAGGCTTCAAGTTTGGTTTTGAAGACAACGTTAATGAATTAGCTACACGTTACTCTGCTGAATGGTTGAGTATTAAGTTATTAATTTGCGGCTTTATCTCCCCGGGTTGATTTCATTTGGGGGACCAATTTTCAACACACCAGTTGGCTACACTTTCATATTCTTCCGTTCCTTGTTTGATGTGGCCTTTTCTTTCCTTTGTGGTGGGAAATAGCTTTGCAAATAAAGTAATATGCTTTTTTTTATAGAGAGAAAAAGACCACCAGAGGTAAAACAGAAAGAGAACAAAGAGCTTTTAAAGCACAGAAACGTAAGAAGCTGTCTTATGCTGCAACCATTAGCCATAGAATCACGGAACTGTAGGGCAACCACCTTTGCAATCTAGCTCAGTCTACACCAGGGATGAGGAACTTTACTCAGTCCAAAGGCCATGGGGAATCTGTGGGCCACATGCGAACGGTGGGCTAGGCTAGAGGCAAAAGTGAGAGGAAGAATAGATGGGACTCTTTGTGCCCTTGTACAGCTGGCTACATTCAGCCACACAAGAGTCGGAGGTCTCTAGACACACATCTCTCCACCAAGGCAAACAAGAGACTCCAGTTGACAAGAAAATGTCCTTAAGAAAGGCCTAAGGGCCAGGCAGGAGTCCTAAGGGCCAGGCAGGAAAACCTGGAGGGCTGCATCTAGTTCTCAAGCAAAATGTCTTGGGGCCAGCCCTGACAGTAGATGCAACTGGAGTTTCAAAAGCATAGCAAGCTGCCTTCTATTGGGTCGCCCCATTTGTCCACCAAGTTATTGTCTACACTGAACTGGCCACTTCCTGCTGCACTTTCATCCACCACCACAGCTAATCGATGAGAGCCAGTGTGGCATAGCGGTTAAAATGTCATACTAAGATCTGGAAGACCAGGGTTCGAATCCCTGCTCGGCCATGGTGAAGCTCGCTGGGTGGCCTCGGGACAGTCACTACCTTGCAAGGTTGTTGTTGTGAGGAGGCGGAGAGCCAAGTATGGCACCTTGAGCAAGGAGCTTGAAAAAGGTGGGGTATAAATGCAGTAAAATAAAAGTAAGTAAATAACTGTTATGCATTAAAGGGCTGCATGATCCAGTGCAGAAGGCCCTAGTTTCAATCTCTGGTTGAAGGGTGTCAGGCCAGAGAATGTTTCTCTGTGTGTGTGTGTGTGTGTGTGTGTGTGCGCGCGCGAGCGCGCATCCCTCTCCTCCTCTCTCTCGGCCTGAGTAGTTTTAATACATAGGCAGAGCTGGTCATGAAGGGCTGGTGGTCTTACTCTGTGTAAAGCATTTATGACAGCCTGGAGTGATTGGCAGTTCAAAAGGAAAGGTCCACTGGTCTCCTGGCAACTCCACCATTCAGGTTCCCAAATGAAATTCTTCATCTGACGTGGACTGCTGTACAAGGTTGCCTATTAGTCTGGCTGCATCTCTCTCTCTCTTTATAAATAGTAAGTCCTATTTGCAGGTTAGATGCCCTTAATTGGATGCTCAGTCCACCTTCTGTTCTCCCAGTCGCGGCAGATCAGCTCAGGCAACCTTGGCAACAACAACAAATGAATCACAAAGCCTGGAGATACATCTGGACAAGACTGCTCTGAGGGAAGGGGATGTTTAAGGTGGGTGAATGCCACACAACCTTTGTAAGTGGCGCTTGCCCAAGGCTGGCTGACTCCAGAAAGATGTGCAACAGGATTCCCCTTGCTTCTGGAGGTTGCATCCGGATAGATGCAGGTGTTACAAGAGCTCTTTTTGGAAACTAGCCCCTTCTAGGGCAGGCTCCCAGTTCACTATTCTTCCCACCCAGAATATCTTTCTTGTGGATCTTTCAGGGCACTGTCGCTAGCAGTTCCGGGTTCTCCCTATGGGTAACTCAGAAACTCCCTACCGGTTGACAACCATATCTACTCCACCCTGACATGTTTGGAAAGCTGTTTCAAGCAGCTTTAAGGCATATTCAGCTGTGGGGATCTTCTCTGCTATTAGATATAGAGAGCCCGTGTGATGTAGCGGCTAGAGTGTTGGACTAGGACGTAGGTTCAAATTCCCCCACTCAGCCATGGATCTCACTGGATGATCTTGGGCCAGTCGCTGCCTCTTAGTCTAATCTACTTCACAGGGTTGTTGTGAGGATAATAGGAGGAAAACTGTGCACACCACCTTGAGCTCCTTGGAGGAAAAGGTGTGATATAAACGTAATAAATAAATAACAAAAATAATTGTCTATATCATTTGTTCTTTGAATTGTTCTTTGTTGGTCTTGGTGGCGGGGGCACTATTTTATTCTGCTACAGTTGTTGCATATTTAAATAAAATATGTAGGCCATCTTGGAATATGAATATGTGTGTGTGTATATATATGTGTGTGTGTGTGTGTGTGTGTGTGTGTGTGTGTGTGTATGGATGGAAGGAGACGTATAAATGTTTTCTCTCTTTACTACAGTTGCACTCATATGTCATCACACTGACGGATGTGTGTGCACTTGAAGCAGAGCAAGGGGCCGGGTTGCGACTGGGGTACAAAAGTTTGGGGCGTTGGGAGAGCTGTTGGACAATGAGGGATGGTTTTTGCAAGGGGTTTGGGGGTGAGCTATGGAGGAGGGAGGTTGGGCAAACTGTGAGGAGCTGGGGGAGTGGGCAATCTGATGGAGGAAAGGGCTTTTGGTGAGATATAAAGAGGGGGTTGGAAATAGGGTGGTGGATAGGTGGGGCTGGTGAGTGATGCAAGCAGGAACAGCAGTCCAAAGTAAAGTGAAACAAGTAAAATAATCTGTTTCCCAGAACCCTTGCAGGTAGTCTCTACCTGTGTGGCAGCAGTTGGCTACAGTAATACACCTCTGATTTTCCCTTCCCCCCCAAACTCCCCCCCCCCAATATTCAATGGCTGTGCCCACGAGAAGCTGAAACAACGGTGCTGCTTGGCTTGGTCTGCTGCCCTTGCCAAGCCTCCAACCAAGTTCTGATCAGATCACTCAACCCTCCAGCATCCACCTTTAAAAGAGAGCCAGTGTCTGGAATTAAAAACAAAAAACCAAAGCCTCACTACGAGGGTGAGCTTGGCCATTCTCAAAAGCGGCTCAGGTGCAGAGCAGCTGGTTGGTTTTCATCCAACTCTTTGGAGTTTTCTAATGATGATTTGGTACTTCTGCATGACTGTTTTCAATCCTGGCAGCTGCTTTGAGGGCCCACAGACAGGAAAAGCAGGGTAAATACAATAAATCAAGTCAAGCTGGCTTTTCACTGAACACCTTGAACACAATCCCTTGCTAGAAAGAAAACATAGCTTAACTGAAGAGCTGCTTTAAGTGCCAAGTTTGCACAGCCTCACCTGAGGCTTCCTCCCTGTGCGCTTCAGATTTAACATCTTGCATTTTCTGAGCCAGTCTCCATAGCCCATTGCAAAGCGGACACACATTCATACATGAGGTACCAGCAAGCTAACAGATCCACATACCCTTAAGGGAACGAGTGGCCACCTACCCTCACCTTTTCAAAATAAACTCAATGGTCTGGTCTTGGATATCGGACACAATTTCATCAGGAACTGGTCCACCCCATTGCCTGACACTCTCTTAGCATTGTTACTTCTGGAAAGTGACCTGAATCCGAAAGCTAAGCACAAAGCTCTTTTCTTGCTTTCACTGGTGGTGGCTTGGGTGGTCATTGCTCAACAAGGGAAGTCATGAAAAATGCTACCTGAAGTGGCATGGCTCAATATCATCTGGGAGACAGCCCTGTCTGAACGTCTCACACAGCACAGGTGAAGGGTGAAGCGAAGAAAGATCAGTGTGAGGGAGTGTGGTCTTATTTCCCCCCCCTTTATTAGTATGGACTCAAAGTTCTCAAGCCCTCCACCCACACCTCACTTTAGAGGGGTTACAACTGCAGCTGGAAACAACCCCCAAGAGTCATATAGTCTGACTCCCTGCAATGCAAGGGAGAAAAATTGCAAGTCTAGAAGCAGAGCATAAAGTGTTGAAACAAATCCCTTCTCAGAACCCTTGGACACCAGAGATTCAAATCTCTTTAAAGCTAAAGGAACCCTGACAAGTGGCCAGCTAAACTCCGCTTAAAAGCTTCCAAGGAAGGAGAGTCCACCACTTTCCGAGGGAGTCCATTTGACGGCTGAACAGCTCTTTTTAGAATCATAGGGATGGGAGGGACCACAATGGTGATCTAATCCAACCACCTGCAATGCAGGAATCTTGTATTGTCAGAAAGCTCTTCTTAAGGTTCAGTTGGAATCTCCTTTCTTGCTATTTAAATCCATTGGTTCGGGTCCTCCCCTTCGGAGCAATAGAAAACAAGTTCGCTCCATCCTATAATCAATAATCACACGAAACTGGTAATGACTCTTCTAAGGTAATTTAATCATTTGCTGTTATCTGGTCTGATTGTGTATTCTATAACCTGTGTCTGTAACTAGATTCTGCTATGTATGTTTACTAGAAGCTGTTCGATTGTTTTCTTGAAATCAATAAAAATTATTAGAAAAATAAAAAATAAACTCAAAAACGTTGAGGGGAAGAAGGGGAGGAAGAAGACAAAGCCACAAAGCCCTTAGCAGGCGGTCCACCCCACCCCTCCCTGCATTCACCTGCATGGTGCATCACTCACTGTTTGGGGAAGGAGAAAGCGGTGGTCTCTCCTCTTCCCCATTTCTGCTCCCACCTGCCTCCTCAGCATAACCCAATAAGGAAAATCAGAAGCCGACTTACCGCTGTAATCATTTGAAGACAGCAAGCTGCCCCCATGGAAGCCACTGTTCCCGTCATGGGAAGAGATGATCCGAGAGCGAGAAGGTGGCAAAGAGATGGACTTCCTCTGCCTTTGTTCACACAGATGGCCTACAAAAGAAGACGAGGCAGAGACTCAGGGAGCACAGGCTCAGGGGATGAACACAGACCTCTCTATCAAACCCCAGGGGGTTCCACAGACCTCCTCCCTCCTCAAGCCACACACCCCACAGTCCCTGCTCTGCACTCTCCTCAAGTGTTTTTGTATAGCTTGAATGTTCCCCTGGAATGTAGTCTTGCCTGGATGGCCTGTAATGGATGCAGCAGGAGAGCTCCTCTAGTGGATTACAAACTGGTTAAGTTGTAGGAAGAAGAACAAGCATTACTGAAGCAGAGTCAGCATGGCTTCTGCAAGGGCAAATCCTGTCTCATGAACCTTCTCTGAGCATATGGATAGAGGTGATCCAGTTGATATAGTGTACTTGGACTTTGAAAGGGTTTCGACAAAGTCTCCCGAGTAAGCTTAGCCCTCAAAGAATAAGAGAAGAGGTCACAAATTGGCTAAGCAGCAGAAAGCAGAGAGTAGGAATAAATGGTTGATTCTCTAGATGCAGAGATGTTGAAAGTGGAGTCGCCCAAAGATCGCTATTAGGACCTGTGCTTTTTAACTTATTCGTAAACGATCTAGAGTTAGGCACGAGCAATGAGGTGCCAAGGTCTACTGACGATACTAAATTGTTCAGGGTCACTAAAACAAAAAGGGATTGGGGAGAGCTCCAAAAGGACCTCTCTAAACTGAATAAATGGGGGGTAAGATGGCAAATGCAATTCCATGTAAACAAGTGCAAAGTAATGCAGTCAGGGCTAAAATAATAATAATAATAATTTCACCTATATGCTCATGGGGTCTGAACTGGTGATGAAAGGCTAGGAATGAGACCTTGGGGTCATACTAGAGAACTCGAAGATCTTGACCCAGCATACAGCGACTGTGAAAAGGGCAAATTCCAGGCAAAGGCTCATTAGAAAAGGAATTGAAAACAAAGCTACGGCTATCATAAAGCCATTATAGAAATCTATGGTGCAACCACATTTGGAATACTGTGTACTGTTCCGCTCACCCCACCTCAAAAGGATATTGTAGAGTTGAAAAAGGTTCAAAAAAGGGCAACCAAGAAAATAAAAATAAGGAAAGGTGTTTGGGACTTTTTAGTTTAGAGAAAAGGTAAGTGGTGCATGATAGAAGTTTATAAAATTATGCATGTTGTAAGTAATTAGACATAAGTTTTTCTCTCTTCTTCATGAGACATGGACACCCATTGACGCTGAAGCTTGTAATATCTAGGGCAAATAACAGAACATCCTTCACACAGCGCACAGTTAAAAATATGAAAGTCCCTCCTGCAGGAGGCAGTAATGGCCACCAACCCGGATGGCTTTAAAGGAGGACTGGACAAATTCATGGAGGACAAGGCTATCATTGGCTACTAGCCATGATGGCTACACTCTGCCTACAGTTGGAGGCAATAATGCTTCTGAATACCAGTTGCTGGAAACCACAGGAGGAGAGAGGGCTCTTGTGCACGGGTCCTGTTTGCAGGTTTCCCACAGGCAATGTTTGGTCACTGTGAGAACAAGATGTTGGCCTGTTCTAGCAGGTTCTTCTTATAGACTTATGTTTCCATGTTTCCAAAGCATATCCGGAGACGCATGTGCATTTCGAAGTGGCTAATTCCAGTCTTAAGATATAGTATTCAGAACGTGCCTTTGGCTTGTTGAAGAGCTTTCTCTCTACCCTCCTACCCTCCTCCTCTTTTTCTCAGATCTTTCAAAGCCTCAAGCTAGGTTTGCTTTTTGGGGTTTTATTAATGGGAGTTTTTTTAGGTTTTTTTTACAAGAAGCACCAGAACAAGTACGCTACAGAAAACAAAGTCTACCTTCCCCGGAGCAATGTTAATAATGAAGGTGACTGAGAAAGCTTGGGTTTCTTTCCAGAAAGGAGCCTAACAGGAACCATCTGCAGAGGCACCAGAGCAATTCTAAGCCCCAAAAGCACCCCCTCAAAGAATCAATTCCTTCCCCCTCATGGCAATTGCCTTATCTTATTTTATACCTTTCTGACACCGAAGGGGAACTCAGTGGGATCTCCTTTGACTTTCGGAAATAAACACCTTGATGCATAATGGCAAGCTTATCCAGTCTCTTTGCAAGTCCGACAGCTCCTTTGATCTCTGACTCAACCTGCCAGCCAAAACTCTCTTTTTTAAAAAATAAAAAAGCCCCTCTCTCCCATCTAAACCCACAGCCCGTTCAGAAAAAGAGAGTTATCAAAGGAGGCACCTTAAGGCTCTTTCTGTATAAGAGGGTCTTTGATTTTGCAGTGCGCAACGGAAGCCAGGATCCTCTGAAACGGGAGCAAGTGAGCGCCTTCATCCCTTGGATCCTCTGAAGGAAGCTTACACTTCCTGGCTCCTTCAAGCAGTTCCTTCTTGATCTGTTCCTTCCAGATGCAGGAAGGTCCTTCTTTGAAGTCACAATTTCTACAGTCCCCATAGTTGCCATGGTGAAGTATTTACTTAATTTTAGCAGGGGGACCATTGCTCAGTGGTCAGAGCACATGATCTGCACAGGTGAAGGGCACAGCTCTGCCCTCCAAGAGAGGGGGCTCAGGAGGGATTGTTGTGGGGGTGCTGCCACCACCCACCACCTGCTGCCCGAGGAAGCTGCCTCACTTTGTTTAATGGCAACGCTGGCTCCAAGCCTTCATAAAAAGCTCCCATTGGCACCAATTAAAGTAACATCTAGTTTAGCTCAAAGAGATCAAAGTACAGGTGATCTGTGAACTGCAGAGCAGCAATTTAGAAAGTCCTGAGCAGGGCAAAAAAATGGCACCAAGCGCGAACTAATTTGGGATGATGAGGGGGATGGTCAGGAGGGCTGGGGCTGAGAGCAATGTCAAATCATCATGCCTTTCAACTATCTGAGGGAAAGAGCAGGATTTGGCCTGGCCCTTGCAAAGGAATCGATCTTTCCCTGGCCACAAGTATTCTGGTCCCTGCATAATCAGCAAAGCAAGAAGTGTCCCTATTACTCAGCCATCCAAACTCAGTCGTTCTCAGACAGCACGGGATCAGAGAACATTTTTTTATCATCGTCGTCATTGTCGTCTCATGTGGCAGATCTTCAAAGAACAACAGAACCGACAAACCTGCTTCCCCCTCCTTCCCCAGATGAGATGATTGATTACTGAGAGGCCGTCAGTCTCCTGGACCAACACAATTCCAGTCACTCAAACAAATATACAAATTATAAACATTAAAATAGCCAGAAAATGTTGTAGAGTGAAGGGGCTTCCTCCGTGTCCCCTTTAGGGGCATACATAAAGGTATAACAGTCCCTTGTAAATGTGTCCTTCCCTTTCAAACCTCTCACAAGCTTTGATTTGTCAGTCAATTTCCCTGCCAAAGCCAACTGCCATACTTTCGTCTCTACTAGGGTGGCGATTGATGCTCCTTCCAGAAATTTCCAGTACCTCCTTGCTACTGGTAGACTAGATGCCAACAACAACCAGCCAACAAGACGACTGAAATGCAGGATCAAGGAACATGTAGCTGTGGAGTCAAAGAGGAGGAATGGGGCTCTGTGCCTTTGCCAGGACTTGCCAAGTCCCTTTTGAATCTCTCTCCGCCATTAGATCATTTCCTTCCCCGGCCTTTGATTCATCTCTGGATTGATCATCGCAGCCCCTGTCCCTCCCCCACTCCTTGCTAAAGAGCTTATCACCCACTTGCAGGCAAAGTATGAAATGTCAATTTATGATATGGTAGAATGGAAGCTAATCTTTCTTCTGAAGATAAGATTTTTTTTGCGGGGGGTGGAAACACATGGAGTCAGACCGCCTTTATTTTTTTGCAGACAGATGAATTAAAGCACCTGCTACGAGGCCTGTAGCGCTAAGGCCCTTATAAGCCCGGATTCCTCGTCCTTCCAGGTACGGTTCTGTGCAGCTTCCAACGCCCCCGCCTCCGTTTCCCCTGCGTTGTTGTTTTGTTGGCATCTAATTGAGTGTCGCCTTTTCCATATTGTCTCCTTTCAAAGCCGCCTTGGATTGCCCGCTTGTAAACAAGACTAAGCAGAATTAATGACCTGTGTATTTCCACCATGCCGCAACAACCCGATGTTATTACCGTTGTCGGGGCACAGGGGGGATAATAAGCTTTCGCAACGCAAGGTGCAAATCTTCTGCTTTCCTCCCCTTCCCCCTCCGAGGAGCTGGAAATCCTCCCTAAACAGCCCAAACGGTTGTTTTCCGTCAGCTGTGGAGCTGATGCCCGTGTCTCAGTAGGATGGGGTGCTAGGCTACAGGGCCAGGTGGGGCAGGCACAGCAGAGTCAGAATCACAGCAGAGGTCCTTTCCTAGAAACACCCCTGGCAGGCTGTGCTTGGTGGGGGTGGATTTTGTCAGCACTCTATTACATAAAAACAAAAACCAACTACTCTGCCAGAGGGGGTGCTGGAGAGGTTTTGAGGTTTGATGATCCGCTCTGGGATTTTACTGCTGAACTATGCTTATCTGAACCCTGGCTGGGGCTAGAGATAGAACAAATTATTTCTGGTCCATGTCACTTTGGGATCCCATGTGGCCCTGTTTCTGCACTTATAGGCAAATACTTTTTGATATTTTGAGCCCTGTCCTCCAGGATTAAACAAAATTGACCTGGGCGGATCTCCTTGGGAAGGAAATCCTGGGTACAGCTGAGTTCTGTTTTAATCTGAGGCTAAAGAGGTTGCCCCGGAAAGCCAATGGAAATGCCTGAACAAACAAGACTCTTACCGATGTTAGCCAGGCTCAGGTGGAGACGCCCTCGCACAACAGCATGGACTCCAATGGGCTTCACACCCCCGTGCTTGAGAATCTCCCCACTCATCACGGTTGTGTCCTGCTTGTATTCCATGGTGACAACCTCCAGCTCACGGTGGACTTGGACAGCTGTCCGGCCCTGGCGGAGCAAATGCTGCAGAACAAGGAAAGTCTGTGTCTGATTGGCAGATCATTCAGATGTGTGCATGTGTTGGAGAGTGTGGACTCACACAGCAGGAAGCCAGTGTGGTGTAGTGGTTAAAGTGTCAGAACAGGACCGGGGTAACCAGGGTTCAAATCCCCAACTCGGCCATGAAGCTCACTGGGAGACCTTGGGACAGTCACTACCTCATATGATTGTTTGGGGATTAAATGAAAATTGGGGGGGGGGGTGCATATATGCCACCTTGGGCTCTCTGAAGAAAAAAATGTGATATAAATGCAAGAAATGAATAAATAAAAAGCCAATCCTCTTTTGAGTTGTCCTCTGAAATCAGTTATCAGACTGGCTGCCAGACAGGCAGTAGGCATAATCCAAACTTTCCCAAGCTGGTGCCCTCTAGCTGTTCTGGACTACAACTCCCACTGGACTCCTTATTTTTGCCTAAGATGTGGGGATGAACTACAAATCCTTTGTGGGGATGAACTACAAATCCCAACTTTTTCAATCTAGGTCCAAACCTGAGAACATAGGGTTGCATTGTCATTAGCAGCCAACAACCACCAATGCTCTTTTGTGTGTGAGATCTCCTAGCCACAAATAACCATAAGGAACATTTTGCGGATACGGAAAACTGCAGGGGCGGGGGATGCTCTCATATCCTCCTTGCAAGATCTGGTTAGCCACTGTGTGAAAAGAATGCTGGACAAGATGGCCTGATCCGACTGGCTCCTCTTTTGTTCTTAACATAAAACACATCCTTACACTGAGTTAGGTCATTGGTCCATCTAGGTCACCCTTGTCTACGTCAGCTGTCCCCAATCAGGTGTTTTTGACTACAACTCCCATCAGCCCCAACCAGCACGGCCATATGAGGCTGAGACTGATGGAAGCTGTGGTCTCAAACGTCTGAAGCACACCAGCTTTGCAACAGCTGATATAATTCATAGGGAGTAGAATCAGTGGAAAATTTAAAAGGTCTAGTCATCTCTAAATACTCTATATTTCAGTATGTCCACTTTGAGTGAGACCCTGTCAACATATAACACTTGTGCTCAGAGACCTGCTATTTTTGTTTAAACAAAGCTACCCAGCTGTGCAGAATTATGATAATAATAATAATAATTCATTGTACCCCGCCCATCTGGCTGGGTTTCAATCTGTCTTTAGCTTATTGCTGATTTAAATTACTATGTGAATGTTTTAAATAGCTGGCGGGGGGGCGTTACTGATAACCTTATTCTTTTTGTAAACTGCTTTGAGGTTTTTGTTTTTGTTACGCTCAAGTGGTATTTAAATTTTACGGAATTGGCTCAGGGTGGGGTGGGGGTTGTCCCTCCCAAGAGTCAGTTCCAACTTAACAAATCCCCACCTTCAGCTTCACAGCAGCAGATCCGACGAGGAGCAACGAATCGCCATCCCACGCGTCTATTTGCAGAGTGTGCTCGGCCAGGTAACGGATAAACCACCGTTGCTCACCTGGCTTGAGGAAACCAGGATCCACCATATATTTCAGCTGGAAACCTGGGGAGCCTGCAGAGAAAGTTGCTGGTTACAGGTGTGTAAGGCCCAAAACAAAAAACTCGCTGAGGGTATGAGCCATTCCACAGTGGCACCAACTCCCTCGGGTGGTGGTGGGCTCAGGGACACATTCCATCTAGGAGAAGCATTCAAGGAGGGTGTGGAGCTGGGCAGGTGGGGGTGTAGAGACTAGGGAATGTCCTGAGGGCCTGCCAGGGACTGGGCAGAGGAGCAATGGGGGAGACCACCTCCTCAGCTTGACCCAGGGAGAAGGAAGAGGAAGGAGGTTTAGATTTACAACAGGGGTTTGAGGGAGGTCACAGCTCAGAGGCAGATGAGGGGAAAAGCTGGGAAATAATGGGAGAGGAGGAGGAAGCTCCAGGGGGCAACAGCTGACAGACACAGTGTCTTTAGAATGCACTGCAGACCCCCCTCTCCCAGAACCCAGCAAGCCTTGGAAGTAGGAGAGCAAAGTGCTCAAAGACAGAGGGCACGTAGCAACGCCCGTAGGAGAGACAATGAGAATGATGAATGAGGGAGTGGGAGAGATGGAGGGTGGAGATTCACTTGGGACAACGCCATTATCCAAGAGTCTGGGTCCTATAGCCTCTCTCTGTAAATACTGAATAAAAAGAGGACGGTAAGAAACATTCCCTTGTCTTTGTACGTTCCTGGGCAACCAGCCGGGAGTCGCTGGCAGCAACCTGACAGGGCCAGATATAAAGGCTCCTGGGGCTACTCTCAGCCCCTGTATCTGAAACTTTCTATCCCTAGTCTAAATGGAATGGCAGTGGTTCTCTGGGGCTTTAAATGGGGACGGGACCTTCGGGAGGCAAAGTAGGTGTCCTGCTAATGCACTCTATTTAGTTGGAAAGCCACTACGTTATCTGCTCTCTGTGCTGCTCCTGCGTTATGTTTTCTAACTTTCATTATGTTTCGTTTCTTGTTGGCTTGTACTTTATATGCTACATTAATTTTTCCAAAAAAAGCTTTACAGAATAATAGAAACATAAAATCATAGAAACTGTAGAGTTGGAAGGATCTCTAAGGCTCATCTAGTCCAAACCCCTACAATGCAGGAATCACAGCTAATGATCTTTAAAAGAAGGAGAGAAGGGTGTGGCAGCATAATTCAGCAACAGAGTTCAAAAGGGAAAGAAGAGAAGGGAAGGGGCATTGGATCACAGCGAGGCCTTGTGCCTTCCTGACTAGAACAGCACTGGCATTTGTCAATGGATCTAGGGAGCAACTGAGGAGTGGAAGATGATGAGCAGTTCAGCTCCAACAAGAGGACCAACCCTTGAGGGCCTTCCTTTTCAAAAGTCATCAGCAAATGAGGGGTCTGCTGCTGCTGTGTGGCTCCACTTTAATAAACAGAATGATCAAGGCTATTATGAAAGATCTGGCTAAGTAACTTTTAAAGTCACACTGGGAGCGTCCTATCCCAGCACAGAGCAGCATTTAATGTGTGTCTTTCCCCCTTTTTAATTTCCATTAACTGTTCCACGGGGGAGAGGGGTGGCTTTATGAACCAGAGACACTCAGCAGGGTATAGAACAGGACCGCCTCTCCCGGGACGAGGCTTTAATAAGACCAAAAAGCACTTTGCAGAGCGAAACAAGGTGTCTGAAGCTTGGCTGCTCGGATGCGTAGAACTCGAAATAAATAAAGAAAAATCTGCTTAGCTAACTGGCAAGTCAGCATTCTGGATTGCCAAATTTCAGCCCTGATGCTTACCAGTGCCTGACACTCCGTCCTAGTTCTACAAAGAGCAGATTATGTATACTGAACCTGTGTCTTAACTGTACTGCTACAGACTGAAGATGAGGCTTCTCATATCTGAATATTGGAAGGCTCTGCAGTCCTGGTTGCCTCCCCTCAAAAAGAATATTGCAGAGTTGAAAAAGGATCAGAAATAGCATCCAAAATGATCATAGCAGTGGAGCGACTCCCCTGTGAAGAAAGGTTATGAAACTTTGCACGGCATGGAGAGAATGGTGAGAGAGAAGTCTTCCTCTGTCTCTCATAACACTAGAACTTGTGGAAGATTCAGGACAGATAAAAGAAAAGACTTCTTCATTCAGCAGATAGTTAAACTATGGAACTCCCTCCATAGGATCTGTTGACTCCAGAAGGCAGTGATGGCCACTAATCTGGGTGGCTTTAAAAAAAAGATTAGACAAATTCATGGAGGAGAGGGCTATTGATGGCTACTAACAATGTTCTACCTCCATGGTCAGAGGCAGTGATGCTTCTGAATACCAGTTGCTGGAAGCCACAAGAGGGGAGAGCGCTCTTGTGCTCAGGTCCTGCTTGTGGGGTTCCCCTGGGGCATCTTGGTCCGTCACTGTGAGAAACAGGATGCTGGACTAGATCCTTTGGCCTGGTCTAGAAGGCTCTTCCCATGTTCTTATGCTATTAAGTTCAAACACCCACTCAACCTCTATGTCTGTTTTCAAGAAGATCAGAAACACGGTGCTTAGTGAACTGGGAATACAGGCATCTGGGAGATGGGAGTAAAACTTGGCTTGCACATATGTCAATGGCCTAATCTCCAACCTGAAAACCAAAACTGTTTTAAAGGAGGAAAGGGAGAATTTACAATACACCAAGGCAGTATCTGAAGCGAAGCCTCTCAAATGGTGGGCTTTATTAGCTACACTTCTGCTCTGAAGGAATGATGGCTCAACTGCATAGCAGATTCTAATTCTTGCTATCTGTGCTTGGGAGTCAGTTGTTATACGTGTCATTGACCTATTAAAAACTGGAGTTAACCTCGCTCGCAGGTGTCCCTTCAGCTTCCACTTCCATCAGGCTCACGGCGGAAAGGAGAATTTTGCTGACTCGCAGCTTGAGACTTCATCCCTGGGGGATGCTGCAACAAGCTCGGAGCCGGCTCTGAGTGCTGCATTCTGAATTGGGAATGATCCTTCTTGGAGGGCCTCATTTTTCAAACTGAAGAGACAGCTGGATTCAAGTCTGCCTGGAATTCACACTCTCTAGTATGGCAGCCTCTCTCCCTCCCTTCAGAAACAGAGAGATCCGAGTGATAGCTGTGATGTTCAAGTGACTGTAGGAAAGGTTTAGAGATATTCCTTACTGACACACTGCAGGCCTAATTGCTATGACATCAGAGAGAGTCTTTGTCAGTGTTTAACTAAGCTGCTCTGATTCTAAAGGCATCCAAATACCATTTGTGGAGCTTCTTGGCTCATAGGAAGAGAGAAGAAAGGTAGGAAGACATATCTAAGGAAGAGCGACAGACTAAGGAGGGATACTAGGGAAGGCAGCTGACTAAGGGAACCATGGGGAAGGACTGGAGGGTAGAAATCAGTTTCTGCCCATCTGTTCCCCTCAGGCCTTACCAAGGTTCAGGGTCCCATCTTCCTTGATTTGCACCAAGATGTGAGAAGATGGAATGAATGGAGCTGCCTTCGAGGTATCTGCATTGACCAGCTGCAATCGGGGAGTTGTGACTGGAGGGAAGCGGTAGAACTGGAAGGTGAAATAGATGGTTTTGGGCCACGTCTCCAAGGCTGTCCTGTCCTCTGCAGCCCTTGTTTAACAACAACCAAAAGGGACAGAAGACAATTAAATCCTGATGATTTAAATCCCTATGCCATGAGTCACCAATTCCCAGGGTATGTACTGGCCGGGCCAAGGGCACCTCTCAAAGGATGGCTAGCTAATTCTTTGAAAAGCTAAAGGTTTTTGAGAGACAGGACCTGCCTTCCTACAGCAGAGACTGCCTGCTCTGACCTCAGCTCTGACCTTGTCTGCCTCCAATCAACCTCAGCTGGGGGACTGGTCATTCTGACAACTCCCTGCATCACTGGAACTGCTCCCTGCTACACACCTAACAAAGACTTGTGTCCCTTGGCACACCTTGCATGATCTACCTGTCTGGACTGGCTATTGGAGCTATTCCTTAGAACACCTGGAATTAAATCCTTGAGAATCTTGGTGCTCATCCCCCAGCCTCCTCCTCCCCCTGCATAAAAAAACCCACAAGTCCATAGACCTTAAGTCTGGGTAGACACATTTGGTAACACGAGATCAATTTTTAATTTCTGAATGATACCATTACAGGAGTCTGATGCTGATAGAGGAAGGTTTTCAGTACAATGCAAAAAGACATGTTTAAGACACAGAGCAACCTCTCAAATGGGTCTTCTGGTATCCCTACAGGCTATTCTACTTATTTTATTTCTTCCTTTGTGTTAACCAATCACTTCCACACACTCACGGTGGATGGATTAGATCAGCAGAGACTGGTTGAGGAAAAGAGAAATGAGAAATAAGGATGTCTCTTTTCCCCCTTATGGACAAGTAAGAGCTGGGCCAAATCTTCATACATTGCCTGAAGAAATCTCCCTGTTTAATGAAGGGGAATTATTTGGCAAATAGTCATGCAAAACTTGTAAACAATGAATCTGAAATGCCTGTGTTTCCTCCAAGGCTTAGTCCCTGTGGACGAGCTCAGAGACGCAGCACTGCCTCCCTCAGCTGGGTTCCCTGTCAGCTAGTTCAGGAACTACATAGCTCTCTGGAGCCTTAAAAACAAAGCAACCATCATAACACAGTTGTTTGTTGCTTCCAGCACAGCTTTTTGTGCAAAATGCTAGGTGTCCAGGGCTCGGAAGGAAAACAGTGCCATTTTTGAGGCAGCTCAAAACTATTGCAAAATCCAAGTTTTTTTCTGATAACAACAAAACCCAAACTACCTCAAAAGCATTGATTCAGTCACAGAGATGGGAAGGCCTGGGGGGGGCAGGACTGGAAAAATGGGGGGGGCAGTTTTTTCCAGCTTTTTCTAAAGCTGATTTTTCCCCAGAAAAATTGTAAAAAACCCCAATTTTGATACAGTTGTATATTCCACACACTTCACCCCCCCCCCCCGAAAAAAAAAACAGCTATGGGGAAAAAATTGAAAAACCCCCTGGGTTTCCACCACCCCACCCAATTTTTCCAGTTTTTTCCCAGGCCTTCCCATCTCTAGACTCAGACCTGTCTTGAACCCCAGAAACAGGCTTTACCTGGTAAATGCAAGAAACTGCAGGATGATTTCATTGTTCTGCAGAAGGTCAGCTTCTTCCCGCTGTGGGATGAAGTTCACAGGGTCCACAGGGTCCACAATTTGGACAGGCTCCTTGTTGCAGTCCAGGAGCTGAGGGAATCCTGATGCACGCAAGCGGGCGAGAGCGGCCCGCGTAAGGCCAGTGCTAGGACTGAAGCAGAGGCAGGCAGCTGAGTCTGGGGGAAGCCAACAGACTCTCAGCCTAAGCGTTTCCCCCTCTAGCACATATCTGGGGAAATCAACTGGCCTTAAGAGCAAGGGTGCAAATATCTAGGTGTCCAGTGGCCAAAAGCTTTGGGGAGATGCCCAGCACTTGTGTTTCTGCAGAGAGCAGGGAAGCGGGATTCTACTCCCATCTGGCTCCTTAAAAAGCCTTGCTGGATCAAGGCCACTGCCCTCAAGATGGGAGTCAAGGTTATGTGGGTCCAGTGACACCTGGGGGGCCACAGAATGCTTCCCATCCCTGGCTTACATGAAAGGGGAGGTGGAGGAGGCTTCCTCATCACCCCTTGAAATCTTCTCTGGCTTCCTCCCCACCCAAACGAACGAGCCCTTGCTTTTTCTTATTACTGCCAATGAGGCTGTGCTGTCTTCAGCAGCACTTCCTCAACAGCAGAAATGGGGGCTCTCAGTCCTCCTCTCCATGTCCATCAGCCACACCCCACAATCCTGTCTGCTGTGTCAGGGCCAACCGACAAGTGACTAGGCCCCGCCTCCTCCCTGCACAACCTCACCTTTCTGAGTGCGGCCCCAGGGCCATGATGGGCATGTGCACTGGTGTGAAGGGCAGCTCCTGGAGCTGATCTGCGGTGGGGGATTCCTGGGCCAGCGAGCTGTAGCTGAGGTTGGACTCCAAGTGGGTGATGGCTCCACGGGGGTTATCCTGCTTGCAAAGGGGAAAAGGAAAGGGATGTTCATCCAAAACAGGCAAGCTGGCTGACACATGCCTGTGGCTGGATGCAGAGAGGGCTGTGTGCAGACAGAACAAAGCAAGGTATCATATAACTGTAGAGTTGGAATGCACCCAAAGGTCAAACAGTTCACCCCAGCAAAGCAGGAATGACAGCTAAGAAGCCCTGACAGATGGCCACCTAACCTCCAATGAAGGAGAGTCCACCACCTTCCAAAGTAACACAAGGTGCCTTTGGATATCCCACAAGCAGGGCCTGAAAGGTACTGGATACAAGGCCAGCTCTGAGATGAAGGGCAAGGCAGTGCTCCACCCCCACCCCCGCTCATTCCAAATACAGAAGCCAGCAAAGACCAATGACTGGGTCTTATTTCAACACTGGCAGCGAAAGACACTGTCCTCCACTGCATCAAAGGGCAGCAAGCTAGCTTAGCGTGCACAAGAGAGGCTCTGTAGCTCTGTCCACTCCCTGCCCCTCAAAATCTGCCTCACCTTGCTCAATGGCAGAGCCAGCGCGAATTGGATGTTCAGGATGCGCTGTCAGTTCCCACAGGGTGATGGGGAGGCGCAACAGATTAGGACCGCGATGAGTGTGCAAGCACAATAACATGCCCCAGAATACGGGAGCCCTCAGAGCTGAGTTGGGCCTCTCTTTGCTAGCAGCCAGAATTGATCTAGCCTACCTGAGATACTGCGCAGGCTCAATGCCTTTGAGGATTATACTCTTACTAAGCTTGCTGGTTAGATCAACTAAGAACAGGGGGCTGGGCACAAAAGTGCCAAGATAAGCTTAGGGCTTATAGGCTTCAAATCGAGAACTACTTAGCCCTTAGCCCACGTGACCTTAGAAATTGGATTTTTGATCAGGATGCCAACCAAGACAGAGCATCCATCATTGCCGCCTATTACTCTACTTGGCACCCCCAAATTAAGACCAATCACTCAAGGCCCCATTACCTTGAAACTCTGACCTTCCCACAACTACACAGGGCCTCTGTAGAACTAAGATTCCAACAGATGCCCTCAGCATATTTAGAAGGGAGATATCGGGGAATTCCCCATATGGATCGCAATCAGGTAGAAGACATCACACACTACCTGCTGATTTGCCCCCTGTATACAACGCCCAAAGGAAAATTTATATCGCCAATTCTTAATTGGCTTCCAGGTCGATCCTCACAGGAAGTGACAGCTGAACTCCTAGCAGATAAACATCTGTACATTACCCACCAGATAGCCAAATTTGTGCTGGCAGCCAAGAAGCTCTGTTCCAGCTATGTGAATGCACTCCAATCTTAAATCTTAATGTTGTAAATTTCTTTTTATGCTGTAAACTGCTACAGGTTACGTTCTATGATTTTAGATGAAAGTTTTCCTTTTATTTTCTGTCGCCCATTGTAAAGGCCTTTGGCTATATACAATAAAAATTGACTGCCCCGGAATATTTGGAGATGCTCCGGAGGCTGCTTGGTGGAGAAAGGGTTGATGTGGCCCTTGAGAGTCTTTGCAAGCTCTTGGGGCAACAGCGTTGTCCAAACCTTTACCTCCTGCAGCTGCCTCAGAGCCTCCGAGGACTGGGATGACAGAGCCCCTCCAGATGGCTGCGATGGGGTTTTGGAGGAGCAGCTCACTGGAGGCACAGAGAGCTGGGATATTGACAGCTGAAATGAAAATATGAGCGTTATGTAGGAAGCATCACTGCTGCTCGCTCTTCTGATGCAAGGTAAGGGATGGAGAGAAGAAAAGAGTTTATTCTGTTTATTCTATTCTCCAGAATAGGCACGTAGAGATGCCTGGAATGGATGAATTCCTAAAGCAAGCAGCTGCATGGCGGTCCAATTAAGAGCTGACTTAGACATAATACAGAATGGGGCATTCAGCTAAATTTTACATAAACCACTTCAGTCTGACAGTGGGTACACGTGTGTGACACCCAAGGTAACCGATGGATTGTCTTGGTTGAGCGTGGAGTGGAACCCAGGCTTCCCCAGGCATAGGCCAACTCTCAAACCACTACAAATCAACTGACCACCATGAGAAGAGAATGAAGCTAAAAAATGCACTGGTAAGCAGCTCGAGTGAAGCGGGGGAGCTTTCCTAGTGTGAACATGAAAGAGAGCGGAAGAGAAGCGGGCAGCTCAAAGCCACCCTTTTATCTTGCATCCCATTAAAAGCAGGATTTCTGCAACATCAGCTTCTCATCCAATGACAGCAACGACGGGGTCGCAAAGCAAGTCACCAGTCCTTCTCCTCTGCCTTCAAATCCAAATGGCTTTTCCTAGCAAGTTGACCCACTAAGCTCCTTTATTTCCCCCCTGCCTTTTCTCTGCCATTGTCCAAGCCCCTTAATTTACCGGGGGGGGGGATGCCCTCCATGAAAGAGAAGGACAAGAACTAGAACTCCACTGTTAAAACTAAACAAAACATTAAGCTGGTAAATCTCAAGCCACATGCCAGAGGAAATGAATGAAACTAAAACCTCTCAGGAGCCCAAAGTACATCTCTTCATGAGTCACCACTCTGGCCCATGTTAGACACTGGCAACTGAACCACAGAAACCTTCCCAATGCAGAATTACCTACCCTTACCAATGCTCTGGTTGGCATCAACCCCCCCCCCCAGCCTTTGCTGGAGCAGGTAATTCTTCAGCACTGGGGACAATCAGATCATCAGATCACCCACAGTGCAAAAAGATCATAGGGATCTGAAAGGCCCACTTTCAAGTAAGGTTGTTCGCTACATCTCTGTCTGACTCACCACTCAGAGCCTGCCACTTTCCAATCAGACTCCACGGGTGGTGGATAGCTGTTATGCAGCTCTCAGCATTACGTGAGATTGTATCATTCCATCATTCCTGATGCAGGGATGTGGCAAATGGACCTGCCACTGGGTGGGGAGGCATGCCCAGAACAGTGACTCACGCAGAAATAGAGGGTAGGCTCCTCCGAGAGCAGATAATTTCCCAGTCTTTCAGGGCGAACCTTTCGGTACTCTAGTTTTTAATTCAGGAAGTGGCGAGCCTCTGTTATTGAAAGCTTACAGCATTAAACTGAACAGATGGGAAACCTCTGAAGCACATACTTACCCCAGGACCTCGGGAATAATCTTGGGTGGAAACCAGCACCTGAGGGGAAGGTGGAGACCCTAGGAGAGACAGAAGATCAGGTATGGTCAGCAGGGAGGTGAAGGTTGTCTGTTGGGTTTTGGTCGGCAAATTTTAACGTCAAGGGGATGTTAACAGCCAGCTCCTTAGAAATCACACAGACGGGTCTTCACCAAGTAGAGCTTGTGTTTGCCCTGGAGATCTAATGTGCCATCGTTTTGAAAGAGTGGAGAAAAGTAATGTGTTGTGGCTTGACAGGCCAATCATTATTGTGTGTGCCCCAGAGTCTGCCCTCAGAGTCCTGCCTTCCTAGCTGGGCTCTAAATTGCATCCCATTCTCTCCAGCCCCCAGAAGACAGTAGAGACTTCAGGGGGGTGGGGACTAGATAAGCCTTGCTTGAGGTCCCTTCTAACTCTACAATTCTATGATTCTATGAAACGGGCCGTGTGGCCTCACCCTCAACCCTTCTGGTCCTGAAGAGGCAATGGAGGAATGGGAGTCCTTTTGATTTCCACTTGTCCTCTGGAGACCTAGTGTGGCCTAGTGGTTTAGAGTGTCAAATTGTGACTCAGGAGTGGGTGAGGGAAGCAACCCAAATCCCCCACTTCTCCAGGAAACGCACTTGGTGACCTCAAGCCAGCGATCCTTTCTCAGCCTAGCCTGCATCACAGGGTTGTTGTGCAGATACAAAGAGAGAGAAGGAAAGAACCATTTATGCCCATCAGGAGAAAAAAAGATGGGATATTAAATAAAGAAAAAGTTGAGGGGGTTGGTGTCTTATTTCGCACAGCAATTTCCCGCCGCCCCACACCACCTCCACAGAGAGAAGACTATGTTCCTTCTTTGCTGTAAAACACAGCTTCTTCATCACTGTAATGTGCTGCGTTTTTCCCTTACAGCCATACAGGCCCCGGTTAAATGGGTTGTTTAATGAGACGTGAACGCATCCGAATACTTAAGGTTTCGCCTGCCTTTTACATCATTCCTTGTCACCTTTTTAGCCTGCTGGAGCGTTCTGAACCTGCAAGCCTGCTTCAAAGGCTGTGCTGCCATCCTTGTACCTAGCTGGTATAGGGGTGTTGTTCTCCACCCCACTTCCCACATACCTAATTGGAAGAGAAACAGGTGCCCCCACTTTTGTGGAACCATATGAGGTATAAAATGGCCAAACATACGAGTCTTCCTGCCTCATAGGACTCTGATCCCGTTGCTGCTGCCATTTTGCTTGGTAATAGGGCAGGCTTAGCCAATCCAGAGGCTTCGTTCTGCCTGCAGATCACAGGGGTCAACACTGCATGCCAGATTCCCCTCTGCAGCCTGGGTAGCAGCTCATAAGGCTGGATGCAGTCCAAGTTGCAGATCTGAACATTCGCCATTCAAGCCCTAGCCAGGCCATCACTCTGCGATGGACAGGGAACAGAAGAAGAGCCTTCTTGGTCAGGCCAATGGCTCATCTAGTCCACCATCCTGTTATCACATTGGGCAACCAGATACTCCCAAGGGCAGCCTGCAAGCAGGACCCAAGCACAATGAGAAACTCCCTTCCTGTGGCTTCCAGTAACTGTTATTCAGAAGCACTGCGTGAAGGCAGAGCATTACCATCACGGCTAATAACCATTGGTAGCCATATCCCCCAAGAATTTGTCCAATTCTCTTTTAACACCATCTAAGGTAGCGGCCATCACTGCCTCCTGCAGGAGTGAGTTCCACAGTTTAAATATGAACTTCAAGGAGGGTTTTCTTTTATCTGTCCTGAAACTTCCAACAGCTTCATTGGATGTCCACTAATTCTAGTGTTATGAGAGAGGGAGAAAAACTTTCCTTTATCCACTTTCTCCATGCCAGGCATCTTTTTATAAATGTCTATCATGTCTATCATCTCAGTCGCCTTTTCTCTAAATCAAGAAGTCCCCAACCTTGCAATCTGTCCTCATAGGGGAGTTCTCTCCAAAGTTCATCCTTGAAGGTCTTTAGATAAATCTTGAGGTGCACCATGGTCTGAACAGTCCCTGGTTAAAAGTGTGGTGTGGGGAGCCAGTGCGGTGTTGTGGTTAGTGCCAGACTAGAACACCCTACCTGTTGGTCATGAAGCTCACCAAGTGACCGGTCACTGCCTCTCAACCTAACCTACATCACAGGACTGTTGTGAGGATTAAGTAAGGGGGGGGAGCCATGTACATCACTTTGTGCTCCTCAAAGAAAATGCAAAAAAGAAAATAAAAGATGCGAAACAAGAGCAATAAAAAAAAAAAGGCACATCACTGACAACTTTGCTGGAGTGGACGATTCACCCTGCAGATGAAAACACTGTTTCCCTCTAATCCTTGAGATTGCTCCTTCCTTCTGTACTGCGAAGAGTTAACAATGAATCTCTCTCTCTCTCTCCCGGTTCTGAGCCAAGCTGTTCAAGGAGAGCGGAGTTAAAGTAAGAGCGACCATGGTCACACCATGCCTGGGCCAGGAAGGCAAAATGAACAGCCATCCTCCGGAGGAGTTGTCCTGAGCAACCAGCAACAGGGGTCAGATCTATTTTTAAGAGGAAGCCTATTGGCTGATAAGATACATGATGCAAGGACACTTTGTCGAGGCACGCGTGGCCTGCACGACACCAGAAAGTGATGGATGAGTGCAATCCCTCTCCTCCGCTTAGCAAAGAAGACAAGCAACCTTCACCAAGAAGCATAGGAAGTACAGGATCAGGACAGTCCAATGCTAAGGCTACAGCTGCAAGAGGAGACAAGGATGGAGCTGGGGAAAAGTCCCTAATCTGGGTAGTGGCAACAAAACGCACTCCATACGCAAACTTTGTTTCATTCAGTTACATTGTCCCTCAGTTATTTGCCATCATGAAGCCAAATCTGATTGGCTATGCAGCACTCTGACATTGTCCCATTTATTGTGTGATCCCTGACTGGGTGGGATCTCTCATGTCAACAAACCCAGGAAGGAAGAAGTAGTCGCGGCAGCCCATTTCCACCTCACCAAAATGGCTGGTTTCAATTCCACCTATCCAGTTGAGTGGAGTCCCAAGCAGGCCATTTTTAAAGGATTGTGAGTCCAAATGGACACGCAATCTTGGCTACTAGCTTATTGCTAAATGTGATTTGGATTCGTACCATTCATGTAATGAAACAGTGTGTTTAATAATATAAAACACTGAAAATATAAGGAGAACCTGCTGGATCAGGCCAGTGGCCCACCTACTCCAGAATCCTGTTCTCACGGTGGCCACCAACTTGCGTGCGGGAAACCATCAAGCAGGGCCCAAGCACCAGAGAATTCTCCCCTCCAAGCAAATAAATAATAGCCAGATTAATTTCATTCCCATCCCTGGAAAGACACAGCTAAACACAGCTCCCTTGTGTGCCCCCCTCAGCATTTAGGGAGCACGGCCTGCCTTGACACCAGCTGGCCATGTCCAGGGTGAATCATCTCTAAACAGAGACTGGCAGTTCTCTCTTCCAGGGTCCAGGTCCAGTACTCCAGACATTGTTTACTATGGAATGATTCTGTTCACTGGAGGCCCACCGATTCTTTTGCAGTGATGGATGCAACGTTAATGATCTGAGTGAGAAGAGGGAAAGCATGGGCAGCACTGAACTGTTTCCCTCTGGAGCAGTCCATCTCCACTCTCCATCCCTGGGAGATGCACGGATCTCTCGGCCAAAGACAATTTAAAAGCTCTGTGTTTTCCTGCTGGTAATATTTCAGTGGCAGCAGCGAGGAGTATGTTCTGAAATAGGCTGTCAGTAATTGTGACCTCCGTCAGCCTTCCCCAAATGCAATGGAACCAGCTTCTGTGCAGCCGCTCCTGAATAGTCTCAATCAGCGTGACATTGCCGCTTCTTGAATAGACATATTCAGCCGGCAATTAAGGAGAGATCAGGAGACCAAATGGGGCGGGGGGGGGAGGGATGAGGTCCTCAGCAAATTGGGGTTGAAAGGAGCTGGCAAAGGGAGGCTGCAAAGAGACAAAATCCCAAGGCAGAGGATGAGCTAGGACAGCACAGGGCGCACACCCTCCCTCTTTGGTTCTGCCTCATGCAGGAAAAAGTTGCTCTGCTGAAGACATAATCTGACAATACACCGAACGTTCACCAGTTGCTGTGCTAGGGGGACCAGGAGAGGAAGGAGGCAGCATCTGCGTTATTTTTAATTGCATTTTATAATGCTGTTTTAATTGGCATTTCTGCCTTCTGCACTTTGGATTTAAAAGGAAAAACAAAAAACATTATATATAGTTTTGGGAGGGGGAAGTATAAATAAATAAATCCTAGGCGCACTTACTAGGGAAAATTATTCCCCGTATGAGCTGGCACTGAGCAATGCAAAAGATCTGCAATGACTTGTTCACACACGAAATGGCCTTAAGAGCTGCTCCACATATTGTAACCAAGGCAAGGACCGCTAGTTTTCCAAGGATACTGCCACACAAGAAACACAGAACACATGGCCAGCACACGCAAGGAAATCTGCATCTTTAACCACCAGTGTATATGCGTCTGGGGAAAATACGTGGTTCCCAGGCATACATACCACACTCAACATGCTACAAGCACCTGCTACATGTTCACTGTGGGAAATTCCACTAGCTGTCAGAATGTGTGGGGATTGTATTGAAGGCACAATCTGGACCCCACCCAGCAGAGGACAATTTTAAAGACCTTGGGGATGGGCTCAGTGGTACAGCGTCAGCTTTGGAGGCCAAAGTCCCCAGGTTCTGCTCCGGAAACTCCAGGTAAGGGTAAGGAAGACCCTAGTCTGAAACTAATGAGAGTCACAGACAGTGAAGCCAATACTGATCTAGACAGACCAATGCTCTGACTTCAGATAAGGCACCTTTCTATTTATATTAGAACCATGACGACTACCATCTTACTTTATTTTAAGGGAAAGGGCTGTAGCTCAGTGGTAGAGCAGCTGCTTTGTATGCAGCAAGTCCCAGGTTCAGACCCCGGGGCATCTTGCTACAAAACTCCTGCTGCAAAGCCCAGAAACCTATCACCAGTCAGAACAGAGTTGACATTGGGCTAGATGGGCTAATGGTCTGATTCAGTATAAGCCAGCTTCCTCTGTTCCTATGACATGGGAGGATGAAAAAGTCTGGGCCCCTGAACCACTGCAAGAAGCAGCCAATGAAGCAGTCATTCTGCTTCGCCAACGAGCACCTTCGCATCATACTGGATGAGGCAGCCAGGCCCCAAAGGGAAGGCATACTTAGGGGCATAAGCGAGGAAGTCAGAATTGACTAGGTCTTCCTGGCAGATGTCCATGGTGAGCATGGGAACCCCCTTTCTCCAACACCTCGCCAAGCCCAGGGATCATGGGAGGCATCCCAACCCTGTGTAAGAGCGTGGCCCCTTTAAATCTCAAGAATCAGACTCTTTCTCTATAGGACTGACCCCCCAAATTTGATTCCAGGCTAGTGCTGAGTTAAGGTTGCTTCACAGGAAGTGTTAGGAGCTTAGCCTATACTCAAGTAGGACCCTGGCAGACACACATGCCCAACTGGCATGTTCCCTCCCTCCTGCTCGATCGTTCAGGAGCTTCAAAAGCTTTCTTTTGCCCGAACATCACAGCGACCAATGCCAACAGACATCGGCACACTTAGGGATCCGCAGAGTCTTTGCAGTTGCAACTCAGCATTTTGGCTAATCTACTTTATTTACATATAAACACACACGGAGCACTGCAACATGGCTCCCTCCCTCTCTAGCATAAGACAGCAAAAGAAAATAAGAACAAAGGATAATAGTCCCACTTTACGGAACACAGTAACACAAACATCCTGTCTCTATCACTTCCCACTCTGTGGAGTAAAAACATATACCGTCATGTGATAGACAACAATCCCATGACTGCAATCATGGAGCAGGAATTCTAACAGGAAGTAGTCCATCCAGACTAGTGCTGAGTGAAGAAGGCTCTGTGGGTCCTGATCAAGAGGCCCAGACTGGTGTTGGGCAAAAGTGGCTCCATGGGGAGCTCTCCCTGGTCCTGAACCCCAGCTGTCTGATTACGAACATCCCTGCAGAGCCCAGCCTGGAATGAGCCCGAGCTGAGTCCCAACAAGCTCTGTCTCAAGCAGAGACCCAGCTGGAAGAGGCAGTAGGGGTGTGCAGAGCACGCTCAGAGGACTCGTCCTCCCCCTCCTCTCTCATTCGGGTTTGATTCCGACCAGCTGAACTGCCTCTGTGGGGAGGAATGTCAGTAGCACAGCAGTGCCTCGATCACTTCCATTTATGTCACAATAAACTAGATTGTCTCCTAAGCGCTACTGCTCCCCTCCCCAACGCCCCTGTGCCAGCACGGCTAACTCAACTACCGCTCAGGATTATGTCAAGGAGAGTCTAAGTGAAATTGCCACCATTAAACTTTTTTTTTTCAATTGACCCTCACCAGTTCCAGGTTTTAAAACCTATTAAACAACACATGAAACCCACCTCTTGTTGAAACCAGAGCATTTGCAAACAGAATATAGGTCAGCACAGGTCCCAGCAAGGCAGAAGCCTGGGAGACACTGCCCTCTAGTGGCCCCACAGAAGAAATGCATCTTATTTTGCTGCTGCTGCTTCTAATGCTGCAGCAAGAAATAAAAGACAATTGGGAGGATTGTTCATAATATCTCCCAGCCTAAGTGCTTCTCTCAAGCTGACAGCTTCAGTGGCATCAGGATTACCAAAGGAACTTTCAGTGCTGGTGAAATATTCAGGCAGGGAAAGGTCTCAGCCAGGACTTTAAATGCTATCACATTATTTTGCCTCTTCCAGACTCTTCTGAAAAGGATGCTTTGAAGGGGGAGAGCTAAACTGAAATGTATGTTGGCAGCAAAATCATGAGCAAACCAACTCTGAGCCCAAAGGATTATGGGTGCTCAGTTTCAGGCAGGGATAGGGGACCTTACTTCACCCTGAGGGCAACAATCCCTCGTAGGCAGCCTTTTGGGAAATGGATGCCAATGCCTGGTGGAGCCAGAGGCAAAAATGAGTGGATTCTTTACTTATGTGCAATAGAGTACATTCTAGCTATTCAAAAGCCAGCATTTTCTACATCCCATCCCCTATCTCTTTATCTAGGCAGGCAAGAAGTATTTTATTGCATTCTAGCCAGGACAAAGAACTCAAGAAGAATGTGGAACAAGGCGAGTAAGGGGTGTGGTTTTTAAATTTTATTTATTTCATGCATTTATATCCTGCTTTTCCTTCAATGAGCTCAACGTGGGTGGGGTACCTGGTTCTCTCTCCTCCTCGTTTTATCTTCACAGCAACCCTGCATGGCAGGTTAGGCTAAGAGGCAGTGACTGGCCCCAAGGTCACCCAGGGAATTTCACTGTTGAGCAGGGATTTGAACCCTGGTCTTCCAGGTCCTACACTATAACCACTAAGCCACACTAGCTCTCATGGACTCAGGAGACTCTTGACAGCCAGATGGAAATCTGCAGTGTTGCATTTGGCCCCCAGGATTGAAGTTCACCCCACTCCTGCTCCAGGGGGATGAGGGGCAAATGTCTGGTGTGATTCAGAAGAGGTGCCCCCCTTTGACTGCTGGAAGCCATTCTGATGCCCACTTTCTACCACATCAAGCTAATCCTTACAATTACTTTTGTAACGTAAGAACAATGGTTCCATGGGGTAATCATATGTAGCTTCCTAAAGCCCCATGGGTCGCACACAAGCTTCTAAGAACACCCTGTTCTCCCACAGGTCTTTGTAAAAATTGTGCTTAATTCCATTTTTTTAAATGAAGAGGATCTTATTCCTGATTCCACAATGAAACTGGCTCTTTGCTAGGAGACCAAAGTTTTTGCTACCAGCGGATCCTCCCTGGCACTTTCTCAAGTGCACACAGTCCTAAAAAATTCAGTAACTGCACCACATTAATAAGGTAATAAAGGCGCATATGAGTGTTCACACAGGCTGTTAAGTTGAGAGGAATACAGTTAAAACATCCACAGACAAATGGGGAAAGATTAAAAAGAGCAATGCAAAGCAGATTTTGATGAACGGTGGGACAGCGCTTCACTTCATCTTTTAATGCAAGGCTGTACGTTACCCACCCCAGATAAAGGCAAACTATATAAATGCATTAATTCCTATTGCTGGTTCTTGAACAGGAGCCAGCCAGGTAAGGTTGCAGAGTTCAATGCAATTTCCTGTCTTATTGTTAAGTGACTGAATGATAAAGTCTAGGATCTGGCCTACGCAGTCAGCAGAATTACACGGTGCAGTTATTGCTCAGACTTCAGGAGGCCTGCTGCATGGTTGAGGGCGCTTTCCCCCAAAAAAAATTGTCTGAGGAAAGGCAGCACCTCAGGATGAAATGTTCTAGCTCAGTTCTCCAACATGTTAGCTTTCTATCTGCAGAGATATGTTTCGGTTTGTTTTTTAAAGGAGAGGCTTTTGTTATGTTGTCGGTAAATTCAAGGAAGCCTCAGGTGTTAATATGTCACTTATCTAAGACTTTTGGGCAAGTGGGAGAGATATAACCAGTAGCTTGTCTCCAGGTAAGTTCTACTCAGAGTAGACCCATTGAAATGAATGGACCTAAGTCAGTTATGCCCATTAACTTCAGTGGGTCTACTCTGAATAGCACGGGCACTGGAGACAACCCAGCAATGGCCAAAGGTGTTTGTAATTTCTAGGATTAGAACGTGTGACTCATAATGTTCCTATTCAATCCAAACAGAACGTGGCGGCCCAAAAATGCTTCTCCATCTTAGATCATAATTCAGCTACTGTGTGGGATGCTCCCTGCCTCACCGTCTCCTTCTTTTCTCTCAAACTTATGGAAGCAAGAGAAGCAAGGTCTCTTTACCTGCAACCCTTTCCCTACCTCCAGTGCAACAGAATTACTGCAACAGCACCCCAAGTACAAGGAATCATGAGAAATATAGGTCTCCAGGTTCCTGAATCTACATTGTGGGCCCAAGTTCACTGAATTATTACATTTCCCATTTTAGGCACCAGAGAGAGGAAGATGGAAAACCCACAGGGAGAAACATTAGTTTTGCCATGTACATTTGGTTGAAAGTATTGACAGCACCTGTCTAGCGCAGGTGTAGGAAAACTTCGACTCTCTGGATCTTGCTGAATCACAACTCCCATCAGCCCCAGCAAGGGTGGCCAGGGAGGATGAGAGCTGAAGTTCAGCAACATCTGGAGGGCCAAAGCTTCCCAACACTTGGTCTGGGGCAGGGGTTCATTGTATCCTACTAGCCACAATGGAAGCTATGCTCCACCTCCGCAATCAGAGGCAGTAATGCTTCTGAATACCAGTTGCTGGAAACCGCAAGAGGGGAGAGAGAACTCTTGCGGTGTTTGGGTCATACCCACATATGGTTGGCCACTGTAAAATCAGGATGCTGGATGAGATGGGCCCCCTTTGGCCTGATCCAATAGGCTGCTCTTAAGTTCTTATGGGGTGGGGCCAGGGTAGCACATCCCAGAAACATCTAGCCCAGATACAGTGGTACCTCGGGTTAAGAACTTAATTCGTTCTGGAGGTCCGTTCTTAACCTGAAACTGTTCTTAACCTGAAACACCACTTTAGCTTATGGGGTCTCCCGCTGCTGCGCAATTTCTGTTCTCATCCTGAAGCAAAGTTCTTAACCCGAGGTACTATTTCTGGGTTAGCGGGGTCTGTAACCTGAAGCGTCTGTAACCCGAGATACCACTGTATTACAAACTGAACACTTTTTCCAACCCAGGAGTGAAATCTCCACCTTGTAGTGCAACGAAATATGAAGAGAAGGGATTCTGACTAAGCATTAGGAACAGCTTTCTGACAATAACAGCTCTTTTGACAATGGAATGGCCTTCCTCAGAAGGTGGTGGCCACCTTTCCAGGGATTCTTTAGCTGTGATTCCTGCATTGCAACGGGCCAACTCTACAATTCTATGACCTCAGAAGATGGTAGACTCTCCTTCGCAGGAAGCTTTTAAGCCGAGGTTGGATGGCCTTCTGTCGGTGATTATTTAGTTGTGATTTCTGCTTTTCAGTGGAATGGATTGCAATTCTATGATTCTATTCTATGAGTCAACTCCATCTTAGCAGCGCTTGACGGAGGGCACTGTGTTCCCTTCTCCAGTCACAGCGCTTGCGTGGCTGCCACGGGAACGTGTGTCTCCAATTACGGAGTCCACGTTCGTGCACCAGAAACAACAGCCTCTTGAGCTGCAGGCAGCTGAATGGCGGCACTTGAAAGGATGGAAGAGAGTGGGAATCTTGCCAAGAAAGCAGAGCCCAAGTTGTTGGCCTTATCTTTCCAAATTCTCCGACTACAGCAGCGCATTTTAAGTGGTCTCTCCCCACCTCCACCAAGTTCTGGAGTGGAACAGACGTCCTGCTGTGCGTTTGAAGAGTTAGCAATCTGGAAAAAGAACTCACTGGGGGACGGCGTGGGCGGAGGATTCTTTGAGAGAGGAGCCTCTCCCTTCGTGCTGCTTGAGGGTTTTCCAGCCACTGCAGGTTGCTCCTCGGAGCCGGTGGAGAAGTGGAACTGAACAGTCCCTGACTCAACCTGCTTCACCTGGGATTTGGAAAAAAGGAGAGGGGAGGAAGCAAGGACATCCTTATTTCTCCTATTCTTCATGTTGCCACCGTGGAACAGCGGAACAGTATAAAATCCTAATGTTCCGGGTCGAAGGAATCTGACTTCTGCCCCAAGAATTCTGAGACCTGCATAAATTGTGCACATTTCTGCAATTTCTACTATTTGACGTAGTCGTGGCTTGACCACGGGGGTAGAAGAAGCACAGACTTTCTGCCCCCTATTCCAACCACTGGAGTTCTTGTTTGGCAGCCCTTCTGCCTTCTCAGATTTTAGCAGGTGTTCACACACCTTAAGGACTAGAAACTCCTTTCTCTCTCTTAAAGAAGCTGGGGTTCTCCGAAAATACCTGCTTTAGTGCAGAAGGTCCCAGGTTCAATACTCAGCATGTGGCTTTGCATGCCTGGAATCCAAGCCTAGCACATGCTCCTGGTCGGTTTTGCACCCTAGCCGCTGGCTGGGACTGTTTATTTTTATTTAGTTCATAAAATTTATATGCTGCTTAATTATAAGAAAACTCAAAGCAGCTTACAAAAATGTAAAACCACAAATTCAGGAGGAAATTGCCATACGTTACAGAATGCAAGAAACTAAAATTAAAACAGATTAAATTTCACATCAGATTTTCTAACCACCTGGCTTGACTAAACATAAATGTTTTTAGCAGGAGCCGAACAGAATACAGTGAATGTGCCTGCTTGATATCAATGGGCAGGGAGTTCCAAAGTGTAAGTGCTGCCACAGTAAATGATTGAGTTTTGACAAATAAGTAATAGGCATTATGAGGCACATGTAGTAGTGCCAATTCTGCCAATTTTTTCTCATAGGTTCCTCCCTCTGACTGCTCTTTATGGCTGATTTGCTGACTGGCTTCACCATGTCCCTGGCTAGGGGCCTGTTGCCTCCAAACCACCAGCTCTGCCAATACTTTCCCCAAAATATGTTTCTGGGGATCACAACTCACCTCTTCAGAGCTCATGGTGGCTGGTGGTGTCTTGTAAACCAAAACGTGACTGGGATTATGTTGCACTCCTCCTTGCAATGGCAGGACCACGTTTGAAGAAGTTGCGTCCAGTGAGGGGTTCCAAACAGCCCAGCGAATTGAGTGCATGTAAGCCGGCGTTGTCAGCGATGTAACGGATGGCGTCTGTGGTTCAAGGGTGCGGGGGGCAGGAATGGATGTGAGAATGAAGACATCACTTATTAAATGTCAGTTCCATGTCCATGGGGCTGTTACACTCTTAGCATCGCATACTGGTGTGACCAAGAAATGCAGTCCGGATTATGCAGATATATACAGATATCTGTGGAATAGCATCCCTGTTGAGATAAGACAGGCAGATGCTTTCCAGAAATGGCTTAAGACAGTTTTGTTCAGACAGGCTTCACTAGCTAGGTCTTTACCATGAATGTCCACTTGTTATGGATTTGTTGCTTTTGTGTGTGTGTGTGTGTGTGTGTGTGTGTGTGTCTGTGTGTGTGTCTGTGTTTATAATTATGTGTTAACTGCCTTGAGACAGTGGTTTAAGGCAACTAAAAGATTCATGTTAGAATTAATTGATTAATTAATAGCTCTGTTTAAACTGCCCAAGATGGTGGCAATCGCTGCCTCCCGCAGGAGCAAGCTCTGCAGATTAACTATGAGCTGCATGAAGAAGGACTTTTTTTACCTGTCCTGAAGCTTCCAACATTCAGCTTCCTTGGATGCCTGTGAGTTCTAGTATTACGAGAGAGGGAGAAAAACTTTTCTCTATCCACTTTCTCAGTACCATCCATCATTTTATAAACTTCCATCATGTCACCTTTTACTTGCCTTTTCTCTAAGCTAAGAAGTCCCAAATGCTGCAACTTTCCCCCAGTTGGGTTGCCCTTCTCCAGATCTTCTAGATCAGATACACTGCTTGTACTTTTTAATTTGGCAATGATACGTGGAGGTGCAGGCAATGTAGAAGTTAGAAGGGAATGTTTTTTTTAAAAAAAGAGCACAGTGGCAACCATATGACCACAATCTCCCTGTGACCTCGTTCCCCTGGGCCCCACACCCTATGTAAGCATTTATGTACTGATATGCCTGCCTCTGCCAACTTCATGAATCTGATAAAATAGGCGGTGGACCACAAAAGTTTATCTGCAATCATTTGTTTGCTTTTAAGGTGCCACAAGACTGTTGGTTTACAGTAAATTAAATGTGAATATGATTCATGATTTTGGATAAAATCAAGCAATAATCCAAAAAAAGCCCCTTCCCAAAAATACATAGTTTCAAACTCCTTGCTGCTTCTAAAATGATGTGCTATGTTCAAGCTGATCCTGGAGCCAAAAACCCCCAGGATTTTTCAAAGGCAACTTCCTCCCACTGTACCAATGTCCCTGTGTAATAAAACCTTCATTATCTGTGTTCCCACTCCACAGTCTATGGTAGAGTGGCTGGGAAAGGGCCATTGTAGCATTGAGATTCTGGAGTAGGTGGTAGGTATTATTATCAGCAATAACAATAATTAAGCTTCGTTCATATTTTGTACAAAAGCAACTCAAAGTGATTTATAACCATGAATAAATAGGCGTAAAATAAGAATCTAAAAGACAACCCTGTTCTTAAAAGGCGACATTTAAACATCCCACCCACTCAAGGAGGCCTCAGATAATTAAAAGGCCCAAGAAAAAAGACATGTTTTTGCCTGGCACCTAAGGGTATGAAATAATCGCCAGGCGAGCCTCCCCAGGACGAGCACTTCACAAGAGGGGGGCCACCACTGAAACGGCCCGTTCTAGGGTTGCTACTCTCCAGGCCTGCCATGGAAGGAGCACACAGAGAAGGGCCTTATATGGTGATTGCAGGGTCCGGGGCAGTTTATATGGTGAGATACTTGGTAGACTGAGCTCTATTGATAGATCTGTTGATTCTTCGCAGTGGGTCAGGGAGAGCTTGGCTGACAGTAGCAATGACTAATAGGCTTCCCTATCCCCCTAAATTGAAGTGATGGAACAAAGAAAGCATGTGGGCAGGAACCAGAATTGGATTTTTGTGTGCGAAATGACTGTGAGTTAATTTCTGAAACTGATCGCAATTTCTGGGCTGAGCATGTGCTCAGAAGCGCTCTGTTTCTTAATGCGTGTCTGCCCTTCTGGCTGGTATTGTGCACCCGATTCTAGTTACAGGTCCAGGCTTCTAAGAAATAACAATAATAAAAATAACAAAGCAGATCCTGCAAGGCTGGTGATCATTTGGCATTCAAACTGAAGAGGAGAGAACTGTTTCTTTTCTCCTAAGTCTTACCAACTTTAATATTAGCCCCATAAATCAACCCCAGCAATCAGGATTCTCTCTCCAGTACCTGGAGCTCTAGTACTAATTCTGCCAGTAACCTGACCTTCCAGAGAGAAAGTGATGCATTTTCTTAGGGACAGGATGGGCTGCACCGGTGGGAAGCACCATTCTGAATATAACATTATGGGCTGGCTTCTTAGCTAGAGAGGCTCAGGAGGCTCAGGCTGTCCCCGTTTTAAGGACTCTTCAGAAGGGTCTCAAAAGAAAAGCCTAGGAACTCACGGCTGCGTCCCAGCGTTTTGAAATCCTTCTCCCGGCTCCCTGTAAATTGCTCATTACGAAAGCTACAAAGGCAATCAGCTTAGGGATTATCCACCCTCCAGAAAGGAGAGGGTAGGGGGTTAATTGGGTTCAGTGCGAAGCCACGGCCGGGCTGCGCAAAAGGGCTGTTGATGACACTCTAGAGCGCTGGGAGGCATGCTAATCTGCACATCTCACACTCATATGACGGGCAGACTGTCTGGTGCAGGAGCCTGATCACGGTAGCTCAGCATACAAACTGGCTTACTTGGGGGCACCCGCTCGGGAGCTGATCACTTTGGGGAAACTGCTTCCTCCTGTTTCATGGAGGATAATTTGGGATAATCAGCCTCATATGACCAGCATGCTTAACTCTAATTAATGCATGAAGGGGTTAAGACCATAGAGTAAGCTGCCCCACTGGGCTTAGCTAGGCCATACCCCCTCACCATGGCAGGAAGGGTTATCAAGCCTTTGTTCTGGCACTCCACCCTTCCCCAGCTCCCAGGTTCTCAAGGGCAAAGGTTGCAGTGGACCTGGTGGGGAGCCCAGAGTCTGCACCAGAGTGCTTCAGCTTTCTTGCCAGGGTGGCCTACTAGATCTCTCAAAGAGAAGCCCACAAGCAAGAGCTGAGTGCAACCACACTCTCCCCATTTGTGATTCTCAGCTACTGGAAGATTCAGGGGCATGCCTTCTCCAACAATTGGAGATAGAACACTGTTATCATAGCTAGCAGTCATTGATGATGACATACAAGTCCATAACCTAAAAGCAAAGATTACCTTTTGCTTCACAAATATTACTTTCAAAAACCATCCTGATGATCATAATTCAAGACAACTGGGTCTTCAACTATCTAAACACCAGGCCCCAAATATCTCAGGCAGAACTGGTTAATAAAGACCGGCTATTTTTATAATGCAAGCTATTTTAATGCAAGGTAAACCAGTTTGGGTTTGGATTTGACATGCAGAGCACAGGAGAGGAGCTGTTCCTTCCCCCAGCAGGACCAGGTGCCATCCAGCAGGAAAGTGAATTCCATTATTACCACAGCCTGGCATGTCTAATTCAAAACAGGAACTCACAAATGGCGTCTTCTCTGACCCACAGGGGAGATACAATCGCCTATCTATAAATATTAAAATGTGCGCACTGGGTTGGTATTCACAGTGTGATGGAGCTGTGGGAAGCAATGGGCGCACAGTGCCCTCCTAGATTATGTATGGGGAAAACATCAGGCATGGGATCAGTACACATAAAATACCAATGAGATTTCTCTGATGCACTGACAGTTCTCATTCTCTTGCGTCATCCCAGCCCTAGCCAATAGCTTCCAAGCATGCAAAATATCTCATGGGGGGGGGGGGAGAATTGGCTAAGCTGCTGATGTATCCTGGGGATACACCATTTGCTTCTGCTGTGGTGAGCTGGTGGGGGAAGAAATCATGTTCCTTTATTCCAGGTTAATTAATCAAGCATAATTACAACCTGCTAGATTTGCATGCACAGATTAGAAAGGCACATTTGAAAGGCGACAGGCTCGGTTTTACAAATGAATAGACTGCTTTAATCCTAAATTTAAATGGGTGCTCCAGGGTTATTGCACCAGACCTTTCAAGATTTGAGTTAGTTACGCCTGCTCACACATCTGTTGAGACCCAGCTTGCAGACAGCTCTGACAGGGGCTCCCCAAGTTGGGAAGCTGAGCTGGGGCCACCTGCCCAGGCAATCTCATAGCCCTGGAATCTCAGTTCCAAAAAGGATGGATCAGTTCACCGGGTGTGAAACCAGGAGAATCAGGTCACATAACCCACAGCCTGGATTAGGCTGCACAGTACACCAAGACAACTTCCTCTCTGATGGATCTCCCAGGAGAGAAGGCACAACTAAGGTCCATCATTGGAGCTCTAGGGCAAGAGCATCACCCCCTGGCATTCTCTGGGCAGCAGCTCATACAAATCCTGGCCATCACCCAGGCTGCCTGGGGCTGATCGTAGCTGGAATCCAACAACAACCAGAGAGCACCAGATCAGCTGTCTTCTGCCCTAAGGTCTCAGTGTCTGGGCTATAAATATGTGTCTGGGCCAAAGCATTTGAGATGAACTCGTAAGACTTAAAGAAATCCAGCCTTCACACAGAAAACCAAATGACAGATAGCTCTAGCCTAGCATTTTTGTGGGCATGCTAGTGTTCTCTATATAGGGAATCATGTGGATTCCCTATAGCACCTGACTCCCACCTGCCACCTGAAGTTGAACACACACATCCATGAGAACTAAACATAACTCAGATTTGCTTATGCAAAGCTGACCATCAACCACCATTGTGGTCCACCTGTCTGCATGAAGCCAGATCGAGCCTCCCTCATATCATTCAGCAAAAATTGCCTAGGTAAGAACAGAGGGGATGAAGCGGGTCCGTATAAGCCCCATTGTTTTGTTGATTATTACTGCATTGCTTCTATTTGCTCGCCTTAGTCATCAGCACACAGATCGAGTGAGTCTGGAAACAGGATACAGATATTTGCAAGAGAGAAAATCCCTAATACAAACTGGGTCAGTACTGGATAAAGGCACCTCCACCCACTACAACGCAATGCTGCCATCCCAACAGATTCCTTCCTCTACCCCTATTCTTTCACTCTAATTCCTCAAATCCTCCATTCAACCATCTCCCATGTAATTATATTATTTCAGTGCTTCTACAGGTCAATTTCCTTTACAGCAACATAGCTGTGAAGTGTCAAAAACTGAACAGAATTTTAAAAAAATAACACAAATAACACAAACACACAATACCAAGCTTCTTAAGAGTTAAAGGAGCAAGAAATTGACTTGTTTTTACTTCTGAGTCATAGAAAGCATTTGTGTGTGTATTAGGCCACTTCTCTTTCTGTGCTATGACCTCAATAATTCTTTAAATGAAAGAAAAAAATAGAGAGCTTTCAAGTGCTTCTTCTGGAGGTCACTGTTTCTAGAGCTTTCCAGAAGGACTGCTGCAAGTCAGTATTTCCTGCACACACAGTGAGTAAGGAGACTGAACGCCATGGACTGAAGGGTGTGTGTGTGTGATTTAATATACTTATTTTAGCATGTTACATGTGACACCTTTGCAAAGCTCAGAATCTGAAGATGAGCGATGAAACACCTTGAAAGGCATCGGAAGCAAAACCGCCAATGGTGTTGCAATCAAAAACGGCTTTTTACTTTGAGAGTGGGTGCATTATTGCACTGGAAGGCAAAAAGAAATGGACTTTGGGAGACCATCGCTCACTGGCAGGCATGGCCAAACTTGGCCCTCCAGATGTTTTGGGGACTACAATTCCCATCATCCCTGACCACTGATCCTGTTAGCTAGGAATGATGGGAGTTGTAGTCCCAAAACAGCTTAAGGGCCAAGTTTGGTCATGCCTGGCTCAGTGCTTGAGCACATGGTTTTCTTAAATAAGACTCCAAGTTGAATCCCCAATGGCATCTCCAGGTAGGGCTTGGAATGTCCCATCTACAACCCTGGAGAGCCACAACCAGTTAACACTCTCCATACGGACGGTCCCAGGTCCAATCCTCAGTGACATCTCCAGGAAAGGAAGGGAAACCCTGGAGACACACTGCCAGCCAGTGTGAGCAATACAGAGCCATTTGACTCATGGTTGACTGATGCTCAGTTACTGCTGGACTCCAACTCCCAGCAGCTCCAGCAGCCCCCATGGCCAATGGCCCAGTGGATAATGGGAGTCAGGAGTCCAGCAATATCTGGAAGACCAGAGTCTCCCCATCCCACCACACTCAGCTGTAGGATATAATGAACTGTCTGCACCCTGGCTGATTTTATCTGTTGCTGTTTGGCAACTCTTTTAATTTATTTTGATTTCTTGCAACACTTTTGTTGGGATCTGTTGGGTGTCTTGGGTCCATCTTTTTTTCTTCTTCGGAGACAGGAAGGGCATTCCTGGTTTTATAAATATACATAAAATATGTTTGCAAATATATGGGATTTTGTGCCCCACTCCAGACTCCCCAGCAAAGGCTTACAGAGGTGAAGGGTGGGACCTACTCGTAAGTACAGTTCAACAGCAGGACATATGTTGGTTTAGAGAGGCTGTGGTCCCTCCCCAAATATTCTCATGTGGAAAGTTGTGTCATTGTGCAAGACCTTGACTCAGGGCAGGGAGCATCACTTATTAAGTCCTTTCTGGATCCGTGACACTGTAATGCGAGAGGTAATCTTTCTCTAGGGTGAAAACACAGGATGTTCCTTCCCTGGAGACCCACAGCCAGTTCATTTGTTATACTTTTGACAATGTATTTGTCAAGACAAGGTTGCTCATTCCAACTGCGCAGCTGTACAATCAGGCAAGCGGCACGGTCAGGTATGACATCTCAGGCCATTGCCAACCCCCTGGGGAAATCAAGCCTTGGGTTGATGCATTGCCTGACAACTCCCATTGTCTCTACAGTAGGCTCAGGAACGGGCCCACTGTGTGCGGAACTCAGAGCTTGCTTACAGCCTGCAAAAGAGATGAGAGAGAAAGAGAGAGAGAGAGAGAGAGAGAGAGAGAGAGACTGAGCAGGCCAAAGAGAAGCTGGCTGTGTCGAGGTGGCGCTTGCAATCTGCACACAGATATGCAATTAAGTGCTCAATTAACGACTGACAGATCCTCCCAACCTGCTCACCTACTTTCAGAGGCGGAAGTGGAAGGGGCTCGGAGCCAAGCACAGGTCGCCGTCCAAACGTTACCAAAAGGGGGAAAGGGCAAAGTGCGCTGCTGGGGCAGCCAAATGGCCAACAGAATGGTGCTGTTTGTGGCGTCCCCAAGGGCAGACAATTCCTCGATGGCATTTGCTCCTGGAAGTATTTAGGGCAAAGTTAACTAAAGAGTTACCTCCGCTTCTAATTAACGGTTTTGAAATCCGGCAGCATCAAAGGGAATGCCGGGAGGAAGCCAAAGGCACTTTCATCTGGGTCTTTGTTGAGGACAAGGGTCTTTCCAGATAATAAGACATTTTTGTTTAGAGGAAAGGCAAATAAGTGGTGACAGGATAGATATTTATAACATGTTTGGCATGGAGAAAGTGGATAGGGTTTTTCTCATAAGCACTAACAATGATGACCTCTTCCCCTTGAAAGCCTCCTTTTCAGCCTGCCCCCCCCTTTTCTTGGTGTGGGTCATGGGGGAAGAAATCAGCAGCATCAGTGGGGGTGGGGCAGTGGAGTGGCATCATAACATCAAAGCTACACTATAATGAACCTGGGTGACTCCTTGCACAGGCATGTCCTTAGAAAGGAAGTCAGACCTTGTGGGGATCAATAAGGGGTTGAGGGGCTCAGCAGGTGACCTTTCTGCTCCTTAGAGAAGGTAAGCAATTTGACAGCAAGCAAGTTGCTCTCCAGGTCAGTGCTGCTAAGCGCTGGCTAATGAACCAAACACTTCAGATCGGCACAGGTGGATTAAGGTGGCTAATTTTATTAATAAAAAGCCAAGGAACACCTGATCACAGTGCCCGGGTTTCATCTGGATAAATAAAAGAAGCACACTGGACTTCACTCCTGCTGTGTTGAAGGTGCCTTCGCCTTTGCATGGATGTCAAGCGGAACACTTGAGACTGGAGCCCCAAATCAAAACGTTTGCTAATTGAGTTATATTGAAAGGGAGATCTGCATGGTGAAAAGGAGAAGGTCACCAAGTTCCAGTTCAAAACTAAGGCTGGGCAAGTTTCTTTTTCTTTTTTTCTGCCTCCTCTACAAAACAGAGAATTAAATTCATCAGCAGTAATTTTCAGCGGGAGACTCGGGCAACTAGGATTGTTTCCCACAGGCATTTTGTTATCTTCCAAGTTAAATATCCAGGGCCGAGCTACCCATTATGCAAAATGAGCCGGGAGAATTCCAGGCTCTTATTTCTGAATGCTCCTCCGTGTTAAAATATAAATAAATCCTACACGCAAGGCAGAACTTGCAGAGTAGAGAGATAGCTTTGCTAAAACTTTTTCTGATCTGCTGTTAAATGCAAGGAGTTCTCATGGGGGGGGGACTTCAAGACTCAATGATGGAGGAGAATCACTGGAGCCCTTCTCCTCCCACCACCTATCTCTGTTGAGATTGCTTGCCTGCTAGTCCTGGATGCTTCATATACCAGTGACTCTTCCACAGAAGCTCCCTCGGCTCCTGGCTCTCCCAATACAAGACAAACCAGCACCGCCACAGTGCATGCTTCATAACTGAGTACTACTGCCTTCATAGAGAGCTCATCTTCTCTAGGGAGGTGGGGTCCAGATTATTCCTGCATCCTGCAATGGGCTCCAGTAGGCTTCAGGCCAGTTAGGAGTGGACCACAATCTTGGCCAAGACTGAACAGGGTGGTAGGTTATGATTCATCAGTGGATGATTGCCCAACTAAGATTCTTGCAAGGTGAGTTAGACTTGGAGGACATAAGGAGAGCCCTGCTGGATCGGACCAGGGATCCATTCAATCCATCACTGTTTTCCACATTAGATGCCTCCTTGTCCCATTCCTGCCACAGGTTCTCCTCTTAGCAGTGAGATGAACTAGACAAGTCATGCCACACATGATTCTATGATATCACTTTAAACAGTCATGGCTTCTCCCCAAGAATTCTGGGAGCTGTACTTTATTAGGATGCTTAAGAGCTGTTGGGAGTCCCCATTACTCTCCCAGGGCTAAAATTCCCAGCATTTCTTGGGAAGAAGTATTGGCTGTTCAGCCACTCTTGGAAGTACAAGGGGCAGGGAGGGATCTTGAGATCAACACCACTACCCACAACTTCTTATTGCTTGGTATTCTCTTTTTTTTTTTTTTTTTTGCTTGGTATTCTCCTCAGGTACTGTAACCATTGGGCAACAGCACTCCTGACGGTCTTGCTAGGTATTCTCCCCAGGTACTGTAACTAACGGCATTTCTGTGCGCTGCTCTGATTCGCCAGAAGCGGCTTAGTCATGCTGGCCACATGACCCGGAAGCTGTACGCTGGCTCCCTCGGCCAATAAAGTGAGATGAGTGCCGCAACCCCAGAGTCATCCTTGACTAGACCTAACGGTCAGGGGTCCCTTTACTTTTACCTTTACTGTAACTACTGGGCAACAGCACCTCTGAGAAATGGTATTTGGCCAACCCCTATGCTGGAAAACTCACACACACACCCCTGCACACCTGCAAAAACATGCAACTCCCCCTGGATCTTTCATCACTGTTTGGTGGAAGGTGGCACTCCACTGAGACAACACCACTTAGAGAGGATTTATTAAGTATGATAGAACCATCCGGTACGAGTCAAGGGTAGCAGCAAAATTCACACTGGCTTCCCAGCCTTAAATAATTTTAAAAGGACTTAAAAATCAATTTGAGCATATTGTGCAATGCGCCTAAGCCTCACGACATGTTGTAAATCTCTTCAGCCATCCTTGCACTCCTCCGCAACAACTACCACTGCTATATGAGACAGGAATACCTTTTTGAGGGCAGAGATAGCCCAGCCTGTAGGAAACGAAATCATTTCCATGATAATTCCCGAAATGAGTTTTCCCACTGCACATTTCTAACATCATACTCTCACTTGCTGGGAGGTAGCAGCCTACACTTAGTGGACCCCCCCCCCCAATGCTCCTTCTATTCCCCCTCCCCACATCATTCAAAATGTGGACCCAATACAGGTTACAAAATCACTCAAAACAGCCAGCAGTTAAATCTATGTAAAGATATGAAAGAAAACCACCATCAAATCTCAATTATACAGAACATTTAGAACCATATTCTGACTACAGCAAACGATTTCTGAAAGAGTGACATTTTCATAATCCTTAGAAAGCAATTTGGTTGCCTGCTGGCTTGGGAACTCAAGAAGTACACAGACTCTGTTATTCATTATTGGGACCAATTCTGACCCACGAGTCTGAGGCTGAGTGCCGCCAGTAGGCCCCTGAAAGTAGCTAATCAGATCTAGCTATAAGAAGAGGCTGCTGAATCAGGCCAGTGGCCCATCTGGTCCAGCATCCTGTTCTCACAGTGCCCAACCAAATGCCTCAATGGGAAACCCGCAAGCGGGACCTGAGGACAAGAGAACTCTTCCATCCTGTGGTCTCCCGCTACTGGTATTACAAAACATTGCTACCTCCAACAGTGGAGGCAAAGCATGGCTATTGTGGCTGGTAGCCACTGATAGTCTTATCCTCCATGAATTTGTCCAATCCATGAGTTCCAGTGTTGTGAAAGAGAAAGCTTTTCCCTACCCACTGCCTTTGTGCCATGGACAATTTTATGAACTTCTATCAAGTCACCTCTTGCTCAGGTTGTGTCCCAGGTGAGAGATGCCCTGGGAGAGCAGTAGCCAGCCTCTGGCCTAATATTCCTACGTGAAGCAGATGTGCTGTGAGTGTGCAATTATATCCAATGCATTGGTTCTGTACTGGCCATGTTCAAGACGGCATCATATGGATGATACGCAGCTACCGCCATTGCAGACCTGGCTTTTAAATGAGTGATGAAGCTCGTAGAGGGGAGGGGAGGGCAGTCAATGGCTACAATTGACCCCCATAAGGCTCTTCTGATGTTTCTATGTCCTTATGCTGTGCCCAAGGAAAGAAAAGCATTGCCTGCCTGTCCGCCTCTCGTCAAGATATCCTCATAGAAAAAAAGGGATAGAAGGTACCAGGAGGTCAAAGCTGGCACAACTGAGTTGTGACCCTATGAAGACAGAGACTCAAGCCATCCTTATGCTACCAAAGAGGTGACAGCAGATGCACCGCATACCTTCCCATCTGGTCCACTTGCCATGGAGAAGACATACTCCAGCAGCAGGACCACTCCAAAGGCCGGGTGATGGACCATCTCTGTCAAGTGTATGCGGCTTCGCAGCACAAGAGCTTGCCCCTCCGAACTGCAAGGAAAGAAGTGGGGGGGAGCAGAGAGACCCAGATATGATATGCCAACCAGCCACATGCCATCAGGTTTATAGTCCTGACCATCTTTATTCTGCCCTAATTTCTGCTTGGAGAGAAACAAAGTACTGCCAGTGTAGGGTGTGCTCATGCCTATCCAACCCTCAGGACTCTTCCCCAGGCAACAACCCCTCTCTTCAAGCCACATCCCGCAGTGGCCCTTCACCCCATCCTCCCCAGTTACTTTTGCCAGAATGTGCCCTTGAAATGTGATCATCTTCTTGCTTGCTTGGATGAAGGAAGGAAAGAGACGTGTGTGTTTGGTTGGTAGGAACTTCTGGCTTTTCCTTGCCTGGAAAGCCGCCTTCTTACCTGGGTCTGACACCGGCTCCTTGTTTCCTCTGTAAGCTGCCGGTCCGCCCTCGAGCCACCTCGGCCTCTGGCACCACCACCACCACCTGTGGTGGCTGCACAAAGCAAAAGCCGTTGTGTACCCCAATGTGCAGCCGCCTCTCCTGCACCGCGAGGGTGTTCCCATCCAGCATCGAGTTGCCCTAGGAAAATCCATAGGTGGACAGGTCATGTCTCAAGGCACAAGGAACAACCCTGCAAAATGTCACATAGTCATTCATTCATTCCTTTTCCTGTCCTTCACCCTAAGGTACCAGGGCGTATTACGACACGAAGAAAACAATACTCAAAACAACTTACAGAAATAAGCCACATCCTAGAAATATACACCCCGAGCCAAGTTAAAGAGGTGCATCTTCAGCATTTGCCGGAAGCTGTACAATGAAGGTGCCAAGTGCACTTCTTTGGGGAGGGAGTTCCACAACACAGGGGCTGCCGTGGAGAAGGCTCTCTCCCAGACAGCCACACACCTCCGAACCTCTGAGGGTGGACGAACTACAGTGGTATCTCGGTTTACAAACAGCCCTGTTTACGAACTATTCGGTTTATGAACTGCGCAAAACCGGAAGTAGTGTTCAGGTTTGCAAACTTTACCTCAGTCTAAGAATGGAAGCTGAACGGTGGAAGGGCACCGGTGGCAGGAGGCCTCATTAGGGAAAGCGTGCCTCAGTTTAAGAGCAGATTCGGTTTAAGAATGGACTTCAGAAATGGAATAAGTTCATAAACCGAGGTACCACTGTACGCTGCACCCAAGAGGGTCTGTTATGGAAGCAGGGGGAACTTTCAGATATTTGGGGCCTAGATTGTTTAGGGCTTTAAATACCAATCTTGAATTGGGACCGGAAATAAACAGGTAATCAGTGCAGCTGCTTTAGAACAAAGGTTATACAGTGGTACCTCGAGTTAAGTATTTAATTCGTTCCGGAGGTCTGTTCTTAACCTGAAACTGTTCTTAACCTGAAGCACCACTTTAGCTAATAGGGCCTCCTGCTGCCGCTGCACCACCGAAGCACAATTTCTGTTCTCATCCTGAAGCAAAGTTCTTAACCCAAGGTACTATTTCTGGGTTAGCGGAGTCTGTAACCTGAAGTGTATGTAACCTGAAGTGTATGTAACCCGAGGTACTACTGTATGAGATTTAAACAGAGGCCCGGCCATTAACCTGGCTGCTGCATTTTTGACCGACTGAAGTTTCTAAGTTGTCTTAAGCACAGCCCCATGTTTCATGACCACCTGGAATGGAAACAATTCCAGGAACATGTTGGAGGCGCTTGACTGAGAGCCAATGGGATGGGCTCTGCGACCCATCTCTCCCACTGTTCTGGTCTGCAGGAATGGCTGATGGCTGGGTGATAGCTAAGGGAGAGAAGGCCTGATGTGGCTTGTCTTACAGCAGGGCTGATGGAAAATGAAAATCCAGCTTGCTGTTCCCTTTCCTTATATTCAAATGCACTGGAAACAGACCCAGAGTAAGGGCCCAGCCAACTTATCAAATGCCACGGCATTTTTTAACCCCCGATACCAATGTATTGTGAGGAGGGGGCGGGAAAAGTAATTTTAGGCAGGATGTCCTTAGCTAATAAAAATGAAAGCTGCCCCAGAGTGACTGCTGGATATTAAAGTATTTCATCTTCTCCTCTCTGAAAATCCACTGCGCATCTGACAAATCAACAAGGCGCATCCTTGGGGGTCATTACCGCTTCCTAAATTGCGAGAGCTGAAAACACAAACATTAAAACTTAGAAGTTGCTCTGGGTATCCATTAATCAAAAGCAGCCTGGCCACCGTGTAGCTCATTAGCAGTTGCTTATTCCAGGAGGAGGGGAGGAGAAACAGCAACAGGGAGGCTGAGAAGAGAGCAGTCTCTTAATCAGAAGGAGAACTAAGGCAATAAAAGGACTCTTCCCTCCCCGCAAAAAATGCAGCCTCAAAAGCAATCCATATGCAAAGAAACAAGCAGATGCATTGTTATTGCCCAGAAAATGGGAAATTCATCCCTCTTAGAAAAAAATCCATTGTTTTCCGCTTGGTGGTATTGGAGGAGACAAGAAACCCAGCTATTGACTTGCAAGGATAATCCAGCTTCCTGAAAATTAGCTTCATTTTGAAAGAACAAAAAAGGATGTAGTCCATATGAACAAGACTACCTTCTTAGAACAGACTTCGCCAACCCGGGGCCATCCAGATGTTTTGGCCAGAAACACATGCTGGCTGGGGCTGTTGGGAACTGTAGTCCAAAAGCATGTGCACCAGATTGTTGCAGAGGAGATCCAGAAAACCCTAGTGAAAGCTAGGTAGCTGTCCAGTGTCTGAATAAGGCTTTCAGCGGTTCAGGAAGGGCTTCCGTGACCATACATAGCTCCCCCTTGCAAAGACTAGCCGATACAGAATGAATTCTGCGATATAGTAAAAAGGTAAAGGTAATGGGACGCCTGACCATTAGGTCCAGTCGTGACCGACTCTGGGGTTGCAGCGCTCATCTCGCTTTATTGGCCAAGGGAGCCGGCGTACAGCTTCCGGGTCATGTGGCTAGCATGACTAAGCCACTTCTGGTGAACCAGAGCAGCGCACGGAAACGCCGTTTACCTTCCCGCTGGAGCGGTACCTATTTATCTACTTGCACTTTGACGTGCTTTCGAACTGCTAGGTTGGCAGGAGCAGGGACCGAGCAATGGGAGCTCACCCCGTTGCGGGGATTCGAACCGCCGACCTTCTGATTGGCAAGTCCTAGGTTCTGTGGTTTAACCCACAGCGCCACCCGCGTCCCATATGTAACAGCTGTCAAATAAATTATGCAAAAAAGGAGCTGTTGTGCAAAGATGCTCAAGTTGTATAATCGAGACCGATCACAGGACCAGGTTTGCAAGAATTTGGACCACCTGGTCTCAGAATTGCAGGGGTTTTGTTGCTGTTCTTTTAGCTTAGACAACACAGGGCCAGTCTACCTGTGCAGCAGGGTGAAGCAACAAGTGTGGTCTAGTGGCTAGAGTGTCAGAGTGGGACCAGGGGGACCAGGGTTCAAATCCCTGCTTGGCCATGCAACTCACAGTCCCTCAGCCCAATGTACCTCACCATGGTTTGGGTCAAGATAAACTGGGGAGGAAGAGAAACTTTGTTCCATTAGTTCTGAGTAAAACTTAGTTGGCTACAACCATTGGTGTCTGAATGGTGCGGCAAGAGATTTTAAATTCTTCCTCAAAGCAAGGGAGATCAGTACATTGGTGCCACTTCAAAGAAGCAAGAAAGCTGTCTTGGACCGACACTATGACTTATGCGCATTCCTGACAACAGGTTATGTCTGGTCATTGTCTGGAAAATAATGTGCAATGAGATTTGAGACCAAAAGTCTGAAACTAGTTATGCTTCAGAGTGCCCCTGAAGAAGAACAATTCAATCTGAAATGCACTGGGTTGAATAAAGAATACTTCCACTAGACTTCTGAATAAAACACACTCTTGAAACTGTCATTTTCTATTTCTTTCAGTAACTTGTTTTCTCCACTCTTAAATTTGATTCCCCCCATTTCCACATCAGTTTTGTGAGGTTTGGTTTTTTCCAAAGTCCTCGTGAAAATGTGTCAGAATTTTAGTGCACCTATTTCGTAATATCCATTTACTTATTACATTTATATCCCACCCTTTTCCTCCAAGGAGCTTGAAGTGGCGTACATGGTTCTCTGCCTCCCCATTTTATCCTCACAACAACCTGTGAGGTAGGTTAGGCTGAGAGGCAGTGACTGACTCAACGTTACCCAATGAAGCTTCATGGCCAAGTGGGGATTTGAACCCTGGTCTCCAAGGTCCTGGTTCACCACTTGTAACCACTATGTCATACAGGCTCCAATAGGCAAAATTCATTATGCAACTTGGCCTAATATATGTTTTTCCCCCAAGCAACTGTTTCCTAATACCATGAGTTATTGTATGTTATTTTCACTAATGCTTGTTTTCTTGTATACGTGTAATGGTATCAGGGGGTTGCTCGAGAGCAATCAGGCAAATTCCTCCCTGGTTGGCTGTAAAGCCTTGTTATTGGTGCCAAAAAAACCTTCGACATGCGGAGCGCCTCTAGTCCATGTCTTGCTCATTCACTGGCAGAGTCTGAAAGTGGGCGGTCCTTAAACCTTCCCCAGCAGAGTAGTTTCTTTTTTATATATATAAGATATTTATTAAAGTTTCAAAAAAATAAAAAAGAAGTTACAATAATAGTAATAAGAAAAAGAAAAAAAAGAAAAAGAATAAAAAAGAGAAAAAAGAGAAAAAGAGAATACAAAATACAAAAAAGTAAAAACAATTAAAAACAAATCAATCTTTCCATATCTTGTCTTTCATTCACTTGTTTCCCTGACTTCCTCACACCTCCCCTTTTTGTATTCCAGTTCAGTAAGTTAATTCAGCAAATCCTTTCCCTCTTTGTTTTTATCTTAGTCCTTTGTCTTAATATGTAATAACTGTATATTCTCATCTGTTAGCAGTCCATTTTTACATACTCCTTGTAATATTGCTACTAAAAACCCCTTAGCTTCATTCCAACATCATTCTAACATTCATTAATTTTACAGTATTTCTGTAGATAGTCTTTAAATTTCTTCCAATCTTCTTCCACCGACTCTTCTCCCTGGTCTTGGATTCTGCCAGTCATTTCCGCCAGTTCCATATAGTCCATCACCTTCATCTGCCAGAGTAGTTTCTTGACGCCCAGTCTGCGCTTCCCCTCTCTGCGTGGAAGCCTACTGCGCAAGGAGGGCATGGGTAACGGAGGACCTCTCTCCTCCCCGCTTTGCTCAGGCAAGGTGTCCTGGCACCGCCTCACCTCCCCCGAGCCCTGCAGCTCCTCTCCGCTGGAGGCTTGGTTACTCTCCTCCGCTGAGGAGGTGCTGCTTCCCACAGTCTTTGGGGGCTCTCTGTAATCCATCCGGCTTTTCCCCTCTCGCCCCTGAGCCGATGGCAGTTCCCTGACAATACGTTATTAGGCTGGAAAGCTATACTGAAAATTCAGAGAAGAGCAAGCTTGAAAGGATAGCTGTGTTTTGGTTTACGTATTGTTTTGGGAAGTATGAATTAGGGTAAGGGCGTATAAAAATGCAAACCAAACTGAATTTATTCCCCATTCCTACCTGGAGGTCTCAAACCTCTTCTCCCCGCCCCTCCTTGACTTTTACTGCATTTCTCGCCTTTCCAAGCCTTGGAGAGTACCTGATCACTCATGAGCAGGTCCAAGAGCTCCTCTTCAAATCTCTCCAACGAAGGGTAGAGGTGGATGGACAGCTTCTCCAAGTACCACGTCACTGTCTTCATGAGTCGTGGCTTCTGGAATAAGTCTCCTGCAAAGAGAGTCACAGGTCATGGCACAACCAAGCTTTCAAGTCGTGACATCACCTCACTTTGTTCATTGTTCATGAATTTATGAGCCCACTTCACAGCCCTTTCTCTTTCTCACAATGCTGATGTTTTTTCGTCTAGGGCGCACTTTGCCCAAGTAAGGTTTTGCAATTGTTTTTGAAAACAGCATTATTGGTTACGTTGCTGAAATTCACACAAAAAGATCCTTTCAAAAAACAATGCAATCAGAGGCATCAAAATTCCACAAGCAGTTTATGTCATTTTACTACAGACGTTTGATGCAGGTGTTTGTGGAAAGGAGATCAGCAAAGTGAAGCCAATGTAGTGGGGTTTATTATTATTACAAAAATCAAAAATAAAACTCCAGGACATCATAATTCCACATGCATTTGTGAAATCTCACTCAATGTGTACTCATCTCAATGAAGATAGGAGGGGACTATCAACGGCTATTAGCCATTATGGCTATGCTCTGGCTCCAGTCGGAGGAAGCAATTCTTCTGAATACCAGTTGCTGGAAACCACAGGAGGGGAAAGGGCTCTAGTGCTCAGGCCCTGGTTGCCTGTTTCCCCACAGACAACTGGTTGGCGCCTGTGAGAACAGGGTGCTGGACTAGATGGGCCATTGGCCTGATTCAGAAGGACTCTTCTTACAGTACATTCTCAGCGGCACTTAGAGAATTTATTTGCAATTCATATATAGGGCAAGCTCTGGAATCCAAGGCCTGAAGTTCCTGGAGAAGTTTGAGCCTCTGTACATACTTTGTACTACCCAACGTCACTTTAATATTCAGAAAGCCTGAATATAAAATGTTCAGCCAGTGGTATGGAAATTAATCCTACAAGTATTATCAGATGTTGAAATTTCAGGCTGCCAGAGCTGATTTTCTTCATTTATAGCGGAAATCTGCAGAAAGCATAGTGATCTTGGAAGCTTGTACTGGAAGTAATTTTTTACTGTACTGTAACTCTTCATCCACTGACAATTTCATTGAATTTAATAGGAGATTCATTAAAAACAAAAGAGAAGGCGGTTTGAGAACATGCGTTAGTAGCAACTGAAACAGTTGGGGCACGGTGTTGAAAAAAATGTACGTCGTGCCCTCTGACTCCAAGCGGTTGAGGGAAATTCTTGATATTATTGGAAACTGACTGAACTAATAAACTAACATAATAGGGGTTATATTCCATGAGACTTAGGAGAGAAATGAAAGGTGTTTCTCAGTTATTAGAGTACATATTGGAACAATTGTCACTGGCAAAACTTATTTTTGTGATTTAATATCCGTTCTACATGTGCTTATTGGAATAAATATATTGTATGCAGCGTCACTGGAATGACATATATTTACAATTTAATACATATTACATACGTTGGATCTTATTCTTGCTTTGCTTTAAATTAAAAATCAATATAAAAACGGATTGATGTTTCTGTGCTTGCATGATTGCAGGCTCCCATATATCATTTCTTTCTTTAAAAAAAGAAAAGAAAGAAAGAAACCCACAAAGTGTCATGTGGCACAGGCAAGGCAGTTTATTGCGGCATCTGCTTTTGAGGGACAAACTCCACAACAAAGGCTAAGTCTGAAGGCAACTTTGTGGCTGGTGTGAGTTGGATGGGTGTCACTTGAGGACCTCAGGGCTTCAAGCAGGAGTATTTTCTCAGCTCTGCCTGGAGATGCTAGGGATTGAATGTGGAGGCGTCTGAATGCAAAGAGGAAGGCCTTTTTTAGACTATGGCTGGGCCTATTTGACTCCAATATAGTGTTTGTAATGTCATTTTTATGTAAGCATGTTATAAGGTAAAGGTAAAGGGACCCCTGACCATTACGTCCAGTCGTCGACGACTCTGGGGTTGCGGCACTCATCTCGCTTTATTGGCCGGGGGAGCCGGTGTACAGCTTCCGGGTCATGTGGCCAGCATGACTAAGCCACATATGGCGAACCAGAGCAGCGCACGGAAACTCCGTTTACCTTCCCGCCGGAGTGGTACCTATTTATCTACTTGCACTTTGATGGGCTTTCAAACTGCCAGGTTGGCAGGAGCAGGGACTGAGCAACGGGAGCTCACCCCGTCGCGGGGATTCGAACCGCCAACCTTCTGATCAGCAAGCCCTAGGCTTTGTGGTTTAACCCACAGCACCACCCGAATGTAAGCATGTTAGGGGAATAAAAAAAAAGAAAAACACAGAACACAGAGTGTCCACTCATCAGCCCTGTAAACATTCATTTTTACCCATGCTTTTGGCCTGTTAAAATTGTGGAGGGGGACTGTTATTATGCTTATGTTATTATTATGATACCTGTTATTATCTTTTCATTATTATGCTCTAGAAAATGTGTTCTTCATGTTGTACACCACCCTTGGATCTTTTGATAAAGGGCGGTTTGTAAATCGAATTAACAGCAGCAACCAGCAAAGGGGCTTTGCCGACTACCTACACAATGTCAGCAAGAAGCAGAGCTCTCTGAGGGCCTCTGTGGGAGAAGCAGCATTTATACCAGGCCTCAAAAAGCAATGAACTGCATAAAATCTTATACTAAAAGAGATGGGGGGGCAGACTTCTCACCTTTTTCTTAAAAAAAATTAATCCCAACAAGAAGTACAATAAATAAACAAATGTTAAAACTGCTGACGCTATCTGAGCCCTACTACAAAAAAACGCCTTGGGCGACAAATTGTAGCATTCAATCATTCAAAGAAAAGCGCATCAGGAAAGAACTGGAACAGATGTTCTCTCCCTTTGGCTCAGCCTTCCCCCGCCCCTTCTCTGGCCGGCCGGGAGAAAGTTGCACTTGAGTTAATTCAAGCATGGGAAGAAAACCAGCAGCAAGGCAGCAACCTCTTCCTGAGCCCCTCTGTAAGGTTCCATGCTGGTCTTTCCAACAGAAAGCCTTGGGGCCTACCATGTCAACACCTGGGGCCCTTCCAAAGGCATCTGCCAGAAGAGCGGGAGATGAAATGTAGGCCGGTAGCCGGAAATGCTGTAGTGGTAGTAGGTGGAAGGGCATTAGTTCAGATGGCTTTGAAGACAGAACTGGGCAGATTCATGAAGGATGCTTCTAGCCTGGGTTTGGAGGCAAGAGAGCTCTCCAGGGTGAAAAGGTAAGGAGCCAGCACTAAGACTCAAAGGTATCTCCAGCAAGGAGCAGCCTCCAGACAGCAACAGAGGCTTCTCACAGCGTACAGCTAAGCTATGGAACTCACTCCCACAGGAGGCAGTGACAGCCACCAACCTGGATGGCTTTAGAAGAGGATTACACAAATGCATGGAGGGGAAGGCTGTTAATGGCTACAAGCCGCAATGGCTATGCTCTACCTCCACGGTCGGAGGTGGCAAATGCTTCTGAATACCAGTTGCTGGAAGCTGCAGGAGGGGAGAAATGCTCTTGCGCTCAAATCATGCTTGGTTTCCCGCAGGCATCTGGTTGGCCACTGGGAGAACAGGAGGCTGGAGTAGATAGACCGTTGGCCTGATCCAATAGCTCTTCTTAGGTGGCAAATGCATTTTGGAAATGCAAGAAGGCAACAGAGATGAGTAGGCATATTTTCTGAGCCCCTCAAATTAGGAAAACCTTTAATAAAAATTATAAAAAAGATATCGCTAGGATAAAAGTACCAGATTTCATAGAGGTGGGTTGGAAGATCTTGGCTAATTATTTGAGTTAGCTGGAGAGCTTAGCCAATGCAAATCTACAGCAGAGCCAGTTAAAGGGGGGGGGGATGGACTAAGCTAGCCTGATCCTCTCCCAGCCTGTGCTGCGCCAACAGCTTTGTAGAGCACCAGAGAGTCACCTTTCACCTGCACGACCCATCTATCTCCATTACGCTAATGGAGGCTGGAGAGGTGTGATTCCGACCCTCTGCACAGCCAAGAGTGACTTTGCATGAAGTGACAAGGTTGCTAAGCTCGTCGCCGGGAAAAGCTCACGGCCAAACAGCAGCCAAGCGGGAGATTGATGAGCCTGTCGGCGGGGATGACGGATCAAGTTCCTTGAATCCCCAGGATACAGCTGCAGAAGAAAAGATCTTTAGGGCATGGCAGGAGAAGAAGGACCCACTTGGAAAGTCATCTGCATTAATGCAATGTCAGCTGGATTCTGTGGACAAGGAAGTGTCCAGAGGAGAGTTGGAGATTCTTAACATTTCCTTGCTGTGGGAATATTCCTGAAATAACAGCAGGCTGACTTCAGGGGTGAGCATTGTCCACGCATGACTCATATCTTTTCAGAGCATTTGAAGCACCACAAACTAATTTTTAATATTTATCATGCACCTAAAAGCAACAGCAAGGTACTCTACAGTGTTAAGAGACACAGCATTAAAAAGAGCACAGAAGAAAGACTACTTGTATTATTGTCCTGATATTACAGGAGTAGGGACCGAGGCTGTTCTCATGGCTGAACCCAGAACGTTCTGACTCAAGAGTGCCTTCTCAGTTCAATTGACAGATAGCCCTTACAGCAAGGGCAGGCAACAGGGTGCCGGTCCTGATGCTGCGGACTAAAACTCCCATTATCCCTGACCACTGACCACTCTGGCTGGGGCTGATGGGTGTTGGGAGTCCAACAACATAGAGAGGGCCACAGGTTCCCCATCCCTGAATGAGACTGTTACTTGCATTTAATGTAACTAGCTACCTCCATCACTCACCTGTACTGAACATAACGTAATAATAGCCTAGATACCTCCATCATCTCCTCCTCCTTTTAATGAAGGGATGAGCAACCTGCTGACCTCCAGATCTACAACTCCCATTATCACTGACCACTCTGGCTAGGGCTGATGGGAGCTGGATTCCAGCAACACCTGGACAGGGTCAGCCCGGCCTTGTGCTACTCCAGTGACATGAAAGCTGTGAAGAGGCACATCGTCCCCTTGACTTGTTCCTCTTCCAGAATGGTTGCTGGGGTGAGGCGGCTCACCTTCAGAATCCTTGAGCTATTGCCAAGTGTTGTTTCCTCCTACTTATCTGCTGTGTGCCTGAAATCTACATGCCCGGAAGGGAAGAAAGTGGTAAGGGAAACCATCCCGTAACGCTTTTCTCCCCAAGAGGCAGCTGATTAAAGATTCTTCTTGTCCTCCCCAAGATACACAACTGTGCATTACTGAGCCTGCACTGTATAGTTAGGAGGCACAGCCCCGGCGACACAGAAAGCACCCGGCAATAGAGTGAAATAATACATCTCTGGCTGGCGGAGCAGTTTAAGAGCCGCAGGAAGTGCTGGGAACGGAGAGTTTCTGACAAATTAGCTTTGCTAACACTAGAATCTGCCTTAATTCAATTCTGGGAGCCAAATATACCTCCTCAATTTCATAGAGGCTGTTATCCAAAGCTTCAGTGTATCAAATTACAGGGTACATTTGGCTGGAAGTGCCCATTTGCAGCCAATTTCAGGCCCTCGGCTCTGTCTTGTCCAGTAACCAAGTAGTATTTACTGTGGGGCCGTCTTGGTTAAGGAGAACAAACAAGAACAGAAGGGCTGGAGTGCTAACTTTGGAGGACACAGATCTTTGTCAAAGTAACACAGCCAGCAAGGGCCATTTTCATGCCCAGAACTTAAAAAGATGAATCATTCATTAGGTTCTAGAGTGTGTGCGCCTGGCTGTGTGTGTGTGTGTGCGCGCGCCTGTGATTTTTTCCTGTCCGTCTATGTGTGCTCTGATTGTGTGTGAGGATCTTTTATTATGATTATTATTGTAGAGTTGGAAGGGACCCCCAAGGGTCATCTGGTCCAACCCCCTGCAATGCAGGAATCACAACTAAAGAATCATTGACAGATGGCCACCCTACCTCTGCATAAAAACCTCCAATGAAGGAGAGTCTACCACCTTCCACTGTCAAACAGCTCTTCCCATCAGAAAGTTCTTCCTAATGTTTAGTTTCAATCTTCTTTCTTTTCTTTTAAATCCATTGAAGAAGAAGAAGAAGAGTTTGGATTTGATATCCAGCCTTTCACTCCCTTTAAGGAGTCTCAAAGCGGCTCACATTCTCCTTTCCCTTCCTCCCCCACAACAAACACTCTGTGAGGTGAGTGGGGCTGAGAGACTTCAGAGAAGTGTGACTGGCCCAAGGTCACCCAGCAGCTTCATGTGGAGGAGCGGAGACGCGAACCCGGTTCCCCAGATTACGAGACTACCGCTCTTAACCACTACACCACACTGGCTCTTGGTTCAGGTCCTACCCTCTGGAGGAGCAGAAAACAAGCTTGCTCAATCTTAAATGTGGCAGTCCTTCAGACATTTGAAGTTGGTTTTCATATCACCTCTCAAAGTGCTGGGTTTGACCTTTAAAGCCTTACGCAGCTAAGGACCTCAACACCTCAGGGACCGCTTCTCTCCACATGAACTGACCCAGACCCTTCAATTGTTATCTGAGACCCTTCTTTGTGTGGATCCTCCTTGGCAGGCCTGGAGAGTAGCTGTATGAGAACATGACATTTTCAGTGGTGGCTCCCCACTCGTGGAACATTCTCCATGGGGAGGCTCACCTGGCACCATAATTACACAAACATTTATTTTCCATCAGGCCTTGGGCCTCCTTGAGTGGGTGAGATGTTTTAATCCTGCCTTTTAGGTTTGTCTTTTAGTTTGTTTTTTCCTTTTAATGCATGTGCTTGTTTATATAGTGTAAGTCGTTTTGAGTTACCTTGGTAAGAAAAAGCGACCAATAAATTTAATAAAGAAATATAAATGAATAAATATTAAAAGCAGTTTCAAATGATTTAGAACTGCAGAAATAAGGTGGGTCCTAAAAAAATATGTATCTCAAGTGCAGAAAAGCCAGGGTAAAGCAGTGCATCTTCAGCATTTGCCAAAAGGTATATAATGAAACCCACAACATAGGGCGTGGGTAGGCAAACTAAAGCCCGGGGGCCAGATCTGGCCCAATCACCTTCTAAATCCGGCCTGCAGACAGTCCGGGAATCAGCGTGTTTTTACATGAGTAGAATGTGTCCTTTTATTTAAAATGCATCTCTGGATTATTTGTGGGGCCTGCCTGGTGTTTTTACATGAGTAGAATGTGTGCTTTTATTTAAAATGCATCTCTGGGTTATTTGTGGGGTATAGGAATTTGTCCTTTTTTTAAAAAAATCAAAATATGGTCTGGCCCCCCACAAGGTCTGAGGGACAGTGGACCAGCCCCCTGATGAAAATGTTTGCTGACCCCTGACATAGGGTCTGCCACAGAGAATTTTGAAATGCCCACTTTTAGACTCAACTGTTTTCCAAGGAAGCAATGAAATTTCTGGGGCCCCTACCTAAAAAGTTCCCCATTCCCGAGTTTCAACTTTTGGATGAAGATGGAGTCAAAGGGGTGCTCAACACAATCCAAAAATGTGCATTGAGGGAGAGCTTTGAAATTTGACACCCCGCCTCCCTTTCCTCTGAAATCCCAGACTGAAATCCAATTAAAGTGGTAGGGCTTTTATTTCTGGGCCTCTGTGGCTCAAACCAGGGATCTCGTGACCTGGGGCTAGAATCAAGTCTAATGAGCTCCCACAGGCTGCATGTTCAGACCTTCAGGTACAAAGACCAAGGGAAAACATTGCCCCCCACACAACTGACAGGTCACATGAAGCCTCTAGTAGACTAGCCTGGCCTGGTATAAGTACCGCGAAACCTGTCCTTCTGCCCTTGTCTGATCAAACAAGTTGTGATCTTTCACCTCCTCCATTTCAAGGCTCTAGTGTCTCCGGTCTAAACTCCCAACACTAGCCACTGGTCTCAGAGAACCTGTTTGGTTGTAAGTCGCTTTAACCAACCAACCAACAAAAAACATGACTAGGTCTAGTTGCAGGGCATGACTCCAGCTCCCCTACCACTTCCTACCACCCAGGAAGTCTGCAAGATACAGGACCTTCCTATACACAGGTCACTTTGTTAGCTGTCCATGATAATGGTATGCTCTGTAAATGATGCACAGCACAGCCAACACAGACAACAATCAGGAGATCCTGGTGTACGAGTACAGCTGATGAATGTTAATTTGGGTGCTCTGGGAATGGCCATGTGTCAGAGTGCGGCCTGGCTTGTTTGCGGATAAAGAGAGAGTGTGCATACAGCTACACAAAAACCCCAGAAACCTGCTTCCTTCCCCTCTCCATCCCTTTGGATCCTCACCTTTAACCATTTCCCAATTCCCAAACAGTCGCATAAATGTGCAGCTGGACAGGATATATGTTGCATGTTGCTCTCCTCTGTTTGCCCACCTACATTCCTGACCTACTGCTTTGGCTAAGCATAGAAGTCATTGCCCCTTTCTTTCAATGAGTGGGAGGTTCATTGATTGCTAGGCATGCAAATAGGTAGGGATTGGTATAACAGTTGCCGATGCCACAAAGGAACAGAAGGCTCCAGTCAAGAACAAGAAAGCAGGGAACTTCCCCTTCGCAGTTCTTTTGGGGAATGCACATTTAGGGAGCTCTGTCCTAAGCTGAAAGTTACCTGCATTCTGAGCACAGTCTGTTAAGTTTCCCCTCCACTGCAAAACAAGACTAAAGCCCTAACAGGTGGACACTTGTGGTAAAGCCAATCAGAACAGAAATCCTTCAACTGTTTCTGGAAACTGAAGATAGTGGGTGCCTGTCACATCTCGACAGGGATGCTATTCCATATGACACTGGCAGCCATACTAAAAGCCCTGCTCTCAATCACCGCAGAGGCTTTCATGTTAGCGCCAGCACCTTGAACCTGGCATGGTAGCAGATTGGTAGCCACTGCAAATCCTGCAAGTAGGGTGCTATATGCTGGCAGTAGTTTGCCTACTCAAGCAACCTAAATCTCTGTGTTCTGCACCAGCTGCAGCCTCTGGACTAACATAAAGGGTAGCCCCACACAGAGTGTGATTTATTGAAGTGATTTATCAGCAAGTTTTCCAGTCATCACACGTTTTCGGACTTGAGGAATTCGGCAGGTCAAATCCAGGAAAGTATACAATTTTAGCACAGTCAAGTGGAAGGCCAAAAGGATGAGCAGTCACAATGCCGAAACCCTGAACTGCCTGAAACCTTGAACTGCGGCTGCCAACCAGTGTTGACAGTACAGAGCAAGATGGGCCAAGGGTCTGGCTTGGTATAATGCAGCTTCCATCCTATGCTCCTAGTCTTTCACACCGCAAAAAGAAAAAGTGTGTCTTTCACAATACCTTCATGTGCTGTTAGCATGCCAGGGATTCTCTGCAAGCTGGACACAGGGGTGTTCTCTGGCAGGAGGTGATAGACAGTCTCCAGGGGTGGGTGTGGCTGCAAGCTGCATTGAAGATGACAGCTGTCAATCGCCATCAGGTTCTTGTTCACTAAAGAAACGAGAATAGGAAACTTTTTTCCTTAATTCAGTGAGACCGAGAAGGGCCCTGCCTTGCCCAAGAAAATAAACCACACTGAAAAGGAAGACAGCAGGACTCCTATGGATTGTTTTCAACTAAGTTTATTCAGAATAAACCCACTGAAATTAATGAAATGAAATAGTCAAGGCCATTAATACTGAAGGGTGTACTCAAAGTACAATTGGGGGCATCTCTGGATCTTTAGCCTGTTTATGTGTGTTGTGTATGTGTGTAAGGGTATGCGTAGGGAGGATTTTTAGAGGTGCTTCTTTGCTCACCCCCGCTTGACAAGCCACACCCAAAATTCTTTCTTTTGCACTGTTCTAAAGGGAGCTGGAACTCAATCAGAAGCACAGGCTTAGCAGACAATGGTTTTGTCCCCACAAAGTGCTATGTCATGGTTTGTTTTAACCATAGTTTGTCCAACATCTCACTGATGAACAAACAACCCACATCTTCACTCTCCAAATTTTGTTGTTTTCCTGCTGCACTTCTCTCTCATGGCTCTGTAAGCCAGAAAGCACCTGGGCTGGGGCGGCCAAACAAAGCTTGGTTAAGCAAGGCTGTTTGGTTTGGATGTTACACTAAACCACACTTAAAACATGCTGTGGTCTGCAGTTCTCGGGTGTTTATTGAGGATGCTTTACGTGACCATAGGTTTGTTTGTTGTTGTTTTGTTAGTGGTCTGCAATTCAGCAAACCATGGCTTCGCACAGTGGTTTGTTCCCAGAAAGCAATGCAAGGTTAGTCTGCTTGGCTGGGTTCAGACATTCAAACAAACCATGGTTCAGCTTGGGCTAAATAAACCATGCATTAGTGTTAGGCACAAAGCAGGCCACCATACTGCTCATGTTCTCCTTTTAGCTTGCCTTCCCATCAGCATGGCCAACCTTGCCTCACTCCAAGGTTGTTTTTGCTCTCTGGCAGGAGCCAGATCTGCAGCAGGAAAACCCACTGCAGCATATCTAAATAGCTCATCCCATCCCATTTGCTGCTATGTATCAATTGGGCACTGTCCTCAAGGAGGGATTCAATCTGCATAAAATATTCAGCATGAGACTGTGCCCTCCTGCAAAACTGCCGCCAACAAGGACCTTTGTCCTTCCCAAATGGAGTTGGCTCATGTCTGGGCTGCACAGAGCGACTGTCCAGAAACAGCTGGGCTGTTGTAAAAGGTTGACATGGTTGCTGCAGCACCAGAGCAGACAATTAGGGTGGGATAAGGGAGGAATCGGTCAGCAGGTAAGATGGAAAACAAACAGTAAATTAAATCTGACAGCTCCCTGGAAGCAGTCTGTCTAAAGGCAGTTTGGATCGGCATTTCCAGACCTCTGAACCACACTCTTTATCTGATTTAAAATCAGAGGCATGTTTCTTGTTACTTCCCAAGAGGTTTAGTTTTAGAGTGTGTTAAGGGCTAGCTGGTCGTAAACAAGACCTTGCCCTGGGTTTGTGCATGATTTGCTTGCTTGAGTGTGTCACGTATTTAGAATAACACAATCCCAGAACAGTGCTTCAACCTGAGATGCAACGGGCAAATAGATGTCTCTGAGAGTGGGCAAAGAGTGCATCTGTGTCAGAAGTGACCGTATGCTCCAGTCACACTCAGAGCAAAGATGAGACAGAATGACCCACCATGGAAGGGCTGATTGGAAGGAGGCAAGCCAGACTGCTGAAGCATACAGAGACACAGCATGCAGACTCTTTTGTGGGTGGGTACTTTGGGCTCATTCATCCCTTCCCCTCTGAGTCCATGTTCTGCTTTCCCTCAGAATTTTATGGATCCGCCTTAATACATATGCAAAGAATACACTGTCTAGCATGTGAAAATGGCGATATGCCTCATGACTTACTCTCTATTGGCTCTTGGATAAGTGGGTGCAAGAGGGCTCGTGGGGTCCCATGATACAAACTGAGCCTGGGGAGAAAAAGGAGACAGAACATGATACAGACGGTTGGTGTCATCTTTTGTCCCAGTGCAGAGTACAGTGGTACCTCGGATTACAGACGCTTCAGGTTACAGACTCCGCTAACCCAGAAAAGGTACCTTGGGTTAAGAACTTTGCTTCAGGATGAGAACAGAAATCACGCAGTGGCAGCGCAGCGGCAGCAGGAGGCCCCATTAGCTAAAGTGGTGCTTCAGGTTAAGAACAGTTTCAGGTTAAGAACGGACCTCCGGAATGAATTAAGTTCTTAACCCAAGGTAAAACTCTCTTTAACCTTCAGTCCTCCAGATGTTGTTGGGACTTCAACTCCCATCATCCCTGACCACTGGCCACACTGGTCAGTTGTTAAAGTCCAACAGCATTTGGAGGGCTGCAGGTTCCCCAACCATGTCTACACAAATACAGCTCTAGGCTTAAAAACCAGCTAATCTTTACTGTGTGAACAGCCCTAAAGACACAGAAATCTGCCTCTGCTATTACAAAAGTTTATCCATTTACCCTTTGTCCTTCAAGTTCAGGTTTGTTGGCTCAGATCTGCTGTTAAACAAATGTACGATCCCAAAACCACACGACATCTCCTGCGGGGTCCCGTCCCGCCTCCTGGCTGTTGCTACGACCTCCACCACCAAAACGATGCTGGGATAATCCAAAGATGTGTGGAAATAAACAGTCTGGAAGGGGAGGGCAAGAGGGGAGAGGAGATGAGTTGGGTTATCATAGCAGCTTACAGCTAACTAAAGCCGATTCCAAACTGCGGTCCCTTGCTGCCTGTATATCTGGAACTTCTTCCAAGGACACAAATATGGTACATAAGAATAGAAGAAGAGCCGGCTGGATCAAGCCTGTCCCCTCCTAGTCTCCCACCCTGGGAGATCTTGATTTCCCCACCTCTCACTCAGGTTTCATACACCAACTTTCTGCAACTTTCATGTGGGTGCAGCCCTTGGCCCTCAGTGGAAGCCCAGAGTGGGTGCCCACAGCGCTGGGTCCATATCAGTTATGGCATTAGCAGTAGCCAAGCGGGAGTGAAAATGAACAACCAACTACCCCTGGTAGGGCCAGCCCAAGCCATTTTGCCACTTAAGGCAAAACAGAAAAGGGCAGGGGAGCCCCCCCCCCCATCACTGCCTCATCCTCTGCTTGAGGTGACTAGAAGCCACAGCATGCTGAAGGGGGTGGGGCTGGGGGGGGGAGAATCTGGAGAGCAGCAAGTGACATTAGCCGCCATGGGCAGCAAGCACAAGAGTCAGTGAGCAGTATGCTCCTGGGGGAGGCTGGATCTGCTGCCCCTCCAGTCATCCCCAGCCTGCCACCCGAGGCAACTGCCTCACCAAGGCTAATGGGTGGGCCAGCCCTGACCCCCGTCGAAAGGGAATCAATCCATTTTATTGCATATAGCCAAAGGCCTTTACAATAGACGACAGAGAATAAAAGGAAATTTCATCTAAAATCATACAACGTAACCTTGTAGTAGTTTACAACATAACAAAAAATTTACATTAAGACTTAAGACTAGAGTGCATTCACATAGCTGGAACGGAGCTTCTTGGCTGCCAGGGCAAATGTGGCTACCTGGTGGGTAATGTACAAATGTTTATCTGCAAGGAGTTCAGCTGTCACTTCCTGTATGGTTCAACCTGGAAGCCAATTAAAATGGCAATATAAATTTTGCTCTGGGCGTTGTATACAGGGGGCAAGTCAGCAGGCAGCGTGCGATGTCCTCTACCTGATTGCATCCATGTATAAATTTGCGATCCATATGGGGAATTCCCCGGTATCTCCCCTCCAAATATGTCGAGGGCATCTGTTGAAATTTTAGTTCTACAAAGGCCCTGTGTAGTTGTGGGAAGGCCAGAGTCTCAAGGTAATGGGGCTTTGAGTGATTGGTCTTAATTTGGAGGTACCAAGTAGAGTAACGGGCAGCAATCATGCATGCTCTGTCTTGGTTGGCATCCTGATCAAAGATCCAATTTCCAAAGTCACGAGGGTTAAGGGCTAAGTAGTTCTCCATTTAGGGACGCGGGTGGCGCTGTGGGTAAAACCACAGAACCCAGGACTTGCCGATCGTATGGTCGGCGGTTCGAATCCCCGCGGCGGGGTGCGCTCCCATCGTTCGGTCCCAGCGCCTGCCAACCTAGCAGTTCGAAAGCACCCCCGGGTGCAAGTAGATAAATAGGGACCGCTTACCAGCGGGAAGGTAAATGGCGTTCCGTGTGCTGCGCTGGCTCGCCAGATGCAGCTTGTCACGCTGGCCACATGACCCGGAAGTATCTGCGGACAGCGCTGGCCTATAGAGTGAGATGAGCGCACAACCCTAGAGTCTGTCAAGACTGGCCCGTACGGGCAGGGGTACCTTTACCTTTACCTTTTTAGTTCTCCTTTTGGAGATTAGAAACCCTAAGATTATCTTGGCAAATTTGCACAATCTCAAGACTCCAAAAAGCAGCAGCGCTTACTAAGGGTATGATCCTCAAAGGCATTTAGCCTGTGCCAGTTCCCGTCAAGGGAAATCACTTCTGGACCACTCCCAAACCTTGTCCAGCAGCCTCTCCTTAGACCAGCATGACTTGGAAAGTCTGGGTGCAATCCCTGGCTGGCGTGTGATTGAAGAGCAGGTTAATCCTTCTATTAGAGAGTCATTATCCAAGTGTCACAGGCAAAACATTTGCTGTAATCACAGACTGTCAAGGAAGGATAACGGAGGGAGGCATTAAAGCATCAGTCCGCAGAAATAAATCGTTATTCTATTATCTTTTATTGCAAAATGATGGAAAAAATTGTCAGCAACCGTTGACAAGCGGACCGGCAAGGCAGAGTTATGTGCAGGTTCTTGAAGAATTGGGTACCTCTCTCAAAGTGGGTATCCGTTGCGTCGCTAAGTCTATTTCTGTCTCCAGAAGTGCCAGTATTGGTCTTCCTAGTCTTATGCCTCCTTTCCTGAATGGGGCTACCACGCTGGCAGTTCAAAGTCACCAGGGTTACACCGGGCTAAAGATTTGGGAGAGAAATTGGCAGAGCTCCCTCCTGAACGAGAATGGGCTACATTAAATGTCTTGTTGCATTTGACATTAACTGGGTGGTTGAAGAAGAAAGGGCCACTGTTCCTCACCCACTTCCATGGCTTCAGCCAAAATCAGGCCTGCCTTCCTTCCACAAATTGCAGCCTCGAGGTGGGGCATGAGGGCCATGACAGGGAAGAGTTAAAAAGCCCTGCCCATGTGGCATTGTACTTGAGAATGTACCAAAAGAAGAAGAAGAAGAAGAATTTATTATTTATACCCCACCCATCTGGCTGGGTTTCCCCAGCCACTCTGGGCGGCTTCCAACAAAACACTAAAATACAATCACCTATTAAACATTAAAAGCTTCCCTAAACAGGGCTGCCTTCAGATGCCTTCTAAAAGTTTGGTAGTTATTTTTCTCTTTGACATCTGGTGGGAGGGCGTTCCACAAGGCGGGTGCCACTACCGAGAAGGCCCTCTGCCTGGTTCTCTGTAACTTGGCTTCTCGCAGTGAGGGAACCGCCAGAAGGCTATGCTCTGCCTTCACAGTTGGAGGAAGTTTCTGAATACCAGCTGCTGGAAATCACAGAATGGGAGAAGGTTCTTGTACTTGGATCCCACTTGAGGGTCTTCCACAGGCATCATAGAAATGAGCCTTTGGCTCGGACTTTGTATAGCCTGGGAACAACATGTGAGTTCTTTAAAACCTTGCATCCACCAGGATCCACAGCACAGAATGCACGATTAAATCCAAATAAATATTTTTTTTTTACTTATTATGTGCTTGCCTAGCTTTATGTAATGGAAGCAGGATTACTTGCATGCAGCATATTTCACATGCCTAATTGTCGACAGGGGGAATCCGCTGGGCATCCAGGAACTTGGACAACTCTCTCTGTTTGCCATTAAGAAGACAAGCATTAAGAAACAGTTCCCCTGCCCAGGCAGCTCTCTCGGAAAGGTTTGAAAGCAGCTTCCCAGGAAGGTAAACGAGGGAAATGTAATTATTTGCAATGGCACCTTGGCAAACCTCTCCACACAAGTGCTCCCCCATTATCATCAGGGGGAAATAATAATTGAATAATCACAGTGATATGAAGCTGTTCATTAGCTGGAACGGAACGGCTGGGGGAGAATGGCAAACGGAGCTCAGCAAATTATCCACACAGGAACCGTGTTTGTGACAGATGAGACGATGTTCTCCTGCCCTCTTTGGAGCGGCTTATCAGGACTTGACAGTTATTCTCTGTGACGGAATAAACAACTTTCTAAACCATTAACATGTGCTGCATTCCAATCCCTGGAATACCCTCAATGCAAAAACAAAAAAAAACCAAACCTGGATTTTTCTGTCGCTGTTGATACTGTTTAGCAGAACAATTTTACCGGCTCCTTTGGATTGCACTGCCATTATTGTGGGAAAGAAGGGTCACAAGAAGGTCTTGAGACTCTTCAAATGGCAGAAGGATGGAGAATGGGAGTCAAAGGCAAAGGAACCTGGTAGCCAGCTGAAGCAGGTGTCCGAGTTGCTCAGACTAGCAGGGAAATCTGTCCTGGAAGCAAGGGTCTCAGAGCCACAAGTGGCATGCCCTCGTCCCCCTGTGAGGTCATGCTGGCATCACTGAAAGCATTAGCGGCACCTCTGTATGATTAAGAATGGGAATGGCAGGAAAGTGGTTTTCAATTCACTCATAAGACTGCAAATGCAACAAGTGAGACGTGGACCTCACTGGGCATGATACCATCCTTGATTGATTGATTGATTGATTGAAGAAAAAAAACGCTGAATTGCAAACCCAGCATAATTCATTCCCGCCCAAAGAGAAGCCCACAGAGGCTAGCCTGCATTTGTCCTTGATCCACCCTCATCACCTCTTCCTCCTTCTACTGCTGCCCTCATCCTGACACTTGTTCCTCCTTGCTTCTCCCCTCCCTTCGTTGACTCCCCACCGGCCAAAATGGAGACTGGAAGATCCTCAGGTTGAAAATTGTTGTTTGTTTATATTACTAAACTAAACAAACAAAAACGGTCCTTAAAGTAAGAAGCACTCGCTATTGCTTCTCTGGCCTTTAAGGAGGCATCTCTTTGCATGCTCGGAAACAATGCATGATTCTGACAGGTGAATGCTACCACATAAGGCTGTTTCTGAAGCAGTCCTGGTGCCTCCCATATCTGCCATAGTGGCTGTGCTGGGCAGCCCTTAAAACAATAGATGGACTAAGAGCTTTCCTAGCAGGGCTGACTTTCCAGGAGCCCAACTAATCACATGGTTTTTCTGCTTAGAGACACTCTGCCACAATTCTACTTTTGGATCAAAATTGGCTGAGCAGTCTGGAGAGATGATGATGATGATGATGATGATGATGATGATTTATACCCCACCCATCTGGCTGGGTTTCCCCAGCCACTCTGGGCAGATTCCAACAAAATATTAAAAATACATTAAAACATCAGTCATTAAAAATTTCCCTAAACAGGGCTGCCTTCAGATGTCTTCTAAATGTCAGATAGTTGTTTATTTCCTTGACATCTGATGGGAGGGTGTTCCACAGGGCAGGCACCACTACCGAGAAGGCCCTCTGCCTAGCTACCTGTAACTTCACTTCTCGTAGTGAGGGAACCACCAGAAGGCCCTCGGAGCTGGACCTCAGTGTCCGGGCTGAATGGTGGGGGTGGAGGCGCTCCTTCAGACGCTCCTCCCAAAGAACAGAAGAGTGACACAAATACCTCTGTAAGTTCAAGGAAGTATGAAATGTGTGCGGGAAAGAGAGCGTGGCTTTGGGATACTGAGGAGGCAATTTTGAAAAAATGGCTTGACATATTCAGTGTGAGGGCTGTGTCCCAGGAGACTCGGTGGACTACCCTACGCTGACACTAGTCCTGATAAGAAGAAATTATATTTGTGCACTGAAATATCACTGTGAAATGTGTTATAGGAATTCTAAGGTCTTAAATATAGAATAAATGTTGATAATTGCAAAAGGTAAACACACATACATAAGCATATAAACCACATGTCTAAAATAGCACAGGAGAGCAATCCAAAAGCCATCTCAGCTCTCCTAAAGACTCTCAGTATTTCCTCTGCCTCTCTAATCCCCCTTGCCTGATAAAACGTAGGCAAATAGCAATCAGGGGAAGTTCCTGAAGGGATTCCTCTCCTATATCTATGAACCTCCTTGGTCACTGTTTGCCCAGATGCTCTGCATTGAGGGATCTCTGACGGGCATCCTGATTGTCTTATCAAATGCTAATGTTTTGTGTAAACTGTGTCTGGAACTATGCAAAACTTGCTAAATCCTGAGGAATATCACACCTTGGCCTGCCTGAGCCACAGTAACCCCACCTTGTGCATGATGTAATTTCTGACTGTTTGTAGCAGGGATGTGCTTCTTCTCCACGCCCAAAATGCAAACCCTTAAAAGAGATGTTTCTTCTTGGTTCTGGGTCTCTCTTGCCTCTTTGCAAGGGGGGGGGGACTGTGTTGCAACAGAAAAATAAAGATCTGCCTTGCTTTCACTACATCCTGCCTCCATCCATTCATCTCTGACTGATCATGAACTTAGAGCGGACTCAGTCCCTTGGGGAGTTGGGCAGCAAAAGCCAACCACCCCTATTTTTTCTATATCAAATGTGATGAGCTTATTGAGCACCTGATTGGCCCACTGCATCCATTCGCCACTGGAGGAGAGAGAGAAATGGTAAAATGCACCATAATCCTAAAGTCCCCAGGAATTGTGCTTTACAAATACTAAAACGCAACAGTGCATTTAAAGAAAGAAAGGCAATCCACTTAATGGGATCATCGGGGAGGGAGGGAAGACGCAGGGCTACTCAGAACAAGGTCTAGTGGTGCCAAGTTTAAGACAACACAGAATAAAGTTACTGGGGAGGGACACCCCATCACCCTCAGCTGCTCCTACCATTCCTGAATTGGTTGGATATGCTGGCTGACCTTGTATCATTCCTGGAGCAAGAGCACCATCTGCTGCCTGATCTCAGGCATGACAAGTAGTGAGAATTTTTATTTTTTTTAAAATCTATTCTATCATTTACTAGACTGGGAGGTGAGGGTAAAGCAGACAGACAGAATGGAGGCACAATACCGAGTCATGCTCATTTACAAAGCCCCGGACAACTTATGTGCAGGGTAACTCAGGGAATTTGTCTAACCCTCTTCTAAAGCCATCAAAGTGTGTAGCCATCACTGCCTCTTGCAGGAGAGAATTCCACCAAGTTACACTCAAGAGAAATCCCAGTTCTGTTCAAACCCTTCATTCTGGAGAGGAGCGGGGAAAGAGTATACTTTTACAGCTAAAATTACTAGAAATGGGGAAAGAAGAAAGGCAGGACATCCAGGAGAATATTGAGAGACCTATAAGTGATATGGGAGTGGGGGAAAGACAGCATGGTGTAGTGGGTAGTGTTTTGGGAATAGGACATAGGAAACCACGGTTCAGATTTCCATTCGGCCATGAAGTTCACTGGGTGACTTTGGAACAGTCACTGGCTCTCATCCTAACCTACCTCACAGGTTGTTGTTGTTGTTGTTGTTGTTGCTGCTGTTATTATACTCTGCCCATCTGACTGGGCTGTCCCAGCCACTCTGGCTGACTTCCAACATAATAAAAACATCAAACATTAAAAAGTTCTCGATACAGGTAGGTTGTGGGGATTAAATGAGGAGGGAGAACCACGTACACCACCTTGAGCTCCTTGGAGAAAAAGGTGTGACAGAAATGCAATAAATACATAAACTACCAAGGAAGGAGCATGTGCTCAGGGACTCCGGCAGGGTCCAAGGCTGTGATCTAGCCAAGTCTGGGTGTGCCCCACCCTCCACTTGAGCTGCTAAGAGGAATAGATCACACCACTCTGCCCCCTGTGATTGGTATGGCCATAGAATCACAGATGACTGAAGCCTCAGGATCATAGGATCCTAGCTTGCTGTATCTGTGATCATTCAGGCTCCAGCATCTAACCTCAAGCGACTCCTAAGAGATCACCAGCCCTTTAAGCAAAAGCACATAAAGGGGCATCCTAAATCAATGGGCTGGAGCAACTGCTCTATGAGGAAAGGTTATAGCATCTGGGGGTTTTTTCAGTTGTTTCCAGAAATTGCAGATCAGGGTTCCTGTCATAATAATAATAATAAATTTTATTTATATCCCGCCCTCCCCAGCCAAAGCCGGGCTCAGAGCAGCTAACAGCAATAAAAGTAACACAGCATTCTAAAATCAATATTCAAAATCAAATGGCAACCACTGGGCCAGAGTTCTACGAGGATCACCAAAGGAGGGGGTCAGACTGTGCCTTGGCCAAAGGCCTGGCGGAACAGCTCTGTCTTGCAGGCCCTGTGGAAAGATGTCAAGTCCCACAGGGCCCTAGTCTCTTGTGACAGAGCGTTCCACCAGATCGGGGCCACAGCCGAAAAAGCCCTGGCTCTGGTTGAGACCAGCTCAACATTATGGATGATATTCCACAACATAAATCAACAATAGGGATGATATTCCACAGAACAAGAGCAGGCACACTAAAAGCCCTGCTCTGAGTTACTGCAGAATGGGCTTCTCACACCTCTGGAACTTGCAAGAGAAGCTCTCCTGCAGACAAAAGATGCTGGACTAGGCAGGCCATTGGTCTGATCCAGAATGGCTCTTTTTACATTCTTACGGGATTGCACATGACCTCCTGCTGACTTCAGGGTGAGGTTCCTGGAAACCACAAACTGCTGGTTGGCTAGCAAGGCTAGCCAATGTTTTGCTGACCTCTACCTATATTCACTGATAACACCCGGGTTCCAGGTCTGATACGAATCCCCACTTGCCTTCATGTTATTTGGTTGCCGGGCATGCAACTAGGTCTGAGATGAGGCTGGGGACTGGAGTAGGGGCTGCGGCCTTCATCAAGACACTAGCAGCTTCCTAAAGCAGTAGATGTGGGAAAAATTCACTTATGCAATCCCTAGTGGGAAAGGGGTTCGCCTTCCTCTCCATTTGAGTATTCTGACAATACCTCCAACACACGCACTGGCAGAGCAGTTCAGGAGAAGAAAGCATACAAAAAGACTGCAAGAGGTCGCCAAAGAGACCAGCATACGATTTTTAACACCTCAAGCAACCAGGTGCCGGGATCTTTCCAGCCCCAACATCATACGATTCCAACGTGGTGGTGAAGGAGACTAAGAGGGCAGAGAATCTCTGGTCCCAGTTTCAGAAACCAAGAAGCCGAGACGTATGTATTATGTTTATTAAGCTATTAATAAAAGTGTAAGGGAAGAACTTTTTTTCCACTGTGACATCAATACCACCCACCAGATTACAATTACAGTTAAGGGGAGATATTGCAATGGCAGGTGCCTGCATGATTTACAGCAGGAGACCCATTCCTAACCTCGCGTCCCAGACACGTACCTATCTTTCTAGTTCATTATGATTATTAATAATTGATACTGGCAAAGTATTGTTTGCAACCTGTAACATAGTCCTTGCTGAAATCCTGGGGCACGTTGGCGATCTAAACTTCCACAGGTCCCTGAGGCATCAACAGGAACCTCTGTACATGCAGTGGAACCACCATCACATGGATAAAAGCAGCAGGACCCATATATGAACAGACTGAACCCATCTTTGGAGCTGAGGTGCCAACTTTTTTGAAAGAGCAAAGCCGTGAGCCCTCACCAGGCCATCAGGACTCTCAGCTCTTCAACCCTGTCCTGTTACCTTGTCAGAAAGTACAAAGGAGGTAGATTTTCCTGCCCTGCCTTCCCTGATCCCAGCTTTCCACCCATCCTGTCGAAGGCCCTTAAAAACAGCTCAAATTAGCATCACGTCTATTATGGTATAAGCATGAACTCCCCACCCTACTGCAGAAATAATGAGTCGCCTACAGGCTTTTGAACCACCCTGTGGATTTGGGCCAATTCTACTTCACCACCCTGTGCCCCACAACACCCCAATTTCAGCCATCACTCAAAGCATCTCTTCCTTACCTCGTGGAAGACCACAGCAGGGGGATGTCCCAGCCCAGCTTTAAGGGGCCTCGTGGCACTCCTCCAGGTCTTCCCGAAGAAATGGTGGTAGGTGACATCAAAGAAGGAAAGGCGCAGCTGGAATTCCACGTCCGACATTTCGTCCAATGCTCTCTGCCAGTGGTAGACCAAAGCAAACCATGAGAATGTAAGAAGAACCAAATGGATCGGGCCGGTGGCCCATATAGACCAATATCCTGTTATCACTGTATCCAACCAGATGCCAATTATGGAATGCCTGCAAGCAGGACCTGAGCACAAGAGCGCCCTCCTTTCCTGTGGTTTCCAGGGAAACAGGAAACTGAGCTGGATAAGTCTTTGGTCTAGTTGAGAAGGATTCTTATTAAGTTCTTAAAGATGGAGAGTGCAGCACTAGGAAATTCCATTGCCTCTCTCAAGGCATGGGTCCAGAGGAGGTGGCCCTTCCAGCAACATGCAGAATGCAGGGTTCATCTACAAGTTCTCAGATTACAAATGGAATTTGCAGCAAACTGTTAAAAACTTAAGCGGAGCCTCCTGGATCAGGCCAACGGCCCATTGAACAATGCATCCTGTTCTTACAGTGCTGCCTCTGACCATGGAGGCAGAACACAGTTGTCAAGGCCAGTAGTAGTGAGCTGATTAGCATGGTCTGTCCATCAAAACAGAGGAGGGCCTATCCTAAGGAGAACGGGAACTATTTGCACCTATTTTAACAAATCTCCTTGCTCTAGTTCAGGGTTTCCCAAACTTGGGTCTCCAGCTGTTTTTGGACTACAATTCCCGTCATCCCTAGCTAGAATGACTAGTGGTCAGGGATGATGGGAATTGTGGTCCAAAAACAGCTGGAGACCCAAGTTTGGGAAACACTGCAACATTACTTCTTCCCCAACCTGCTGTCCTCCCGCCAGCCCCATTTATTACAGTCAATGATCAGGGATGATGGGAGTTGTGATCCAAAATATTTGGAGTGCCCCAGGCCAGAAAAGGCTGCCGTAAACTAACTGGTATATGAGATGTGCCTACTCAGAAGGGTAGGATGAACTGAATTTGGTAGAACTTACTCCAAGGTAAGGGACGCAGGTGGTGCTGTGGGTTAAACCACAGAGCCTAGGGCTTGCGAATCAGAAGGTCAGCGGTTCGAATCCCCGCAACGGGGTGAGCTCCCGTTGCTCAGCCCCAGCTCCTGCCAACCTAGCAATTCGAAAGCACGTCAAAGTGCAAGTAGATAAATAGGTCCCGCTCCGGCGGGAAGGTAAGCGGCATTTCCGTGCGCTGCTCTGGTTCGACAGAAGCGGCTTAGTCATGCTGGCCACATGACCCGGAAGCTGTACGCCAGCTCCCTCGGCCAATAAAGCGAGATGAGCGCCACAACCCCAGAGTGGTCCGCAACTGGACCTTTACCTTTACTCCAAGGTAATGTCCTGGTTCCCGGTGTATAAAGAAATCAATCTCAGGTTAAATTTTCTGCCAAAATTTTTAATGCTCAGATCGGTGTAGTACATAAGCAAAGCAAGGATCAATGGCCCAAGGGGTGTTATGCACAGCATTGATCCAACAAACAGCATGCCCCCTTACGTCCTGATATAAAGACTGTAGAAGGCACCACTTCAGTGTGGCAAGCAGGTTATTTCTTTGGACTGGGCAAGCAAATGGGAACATCTTCTGATGGGCTGAGCCTAAGCTGTCTGTGCCAGTGATGGACTCTTCACAACCTATGTAACGTAGAAGGTGTCACCAGTGGCTCAGGACCAGACGGGTGGTGGGTGTCTCCTGAAAGGCTGGACGAGGGGCAAGCTCCAGCGGTGCTGGAGGCGGAGGAAAGGCTGGTGGAGAAGTGGGCAGAGAGCATCTGGGTGACATGGAAGGAGTTCGGGTGGAGCACTGGGGTGACACACCTTTGGGACCCTCCCCTGGGTCCAAGTCCTCATCTGTAGCTTTCCCTCTGGGTTGTTTCTCCATCTCGCACAGCCCAGACGCTACCTGTCATAACCTGCCGGGCTGCTCCCCATGGTTGTCAGTAGGTAAACCCTCCAATTCTTACCCATCCTGGTCTCACCAGGTAAACGAATATAGGTAAACGAATATAGGATAGCGGCTTAACGAATGTTTATACTTATCCACTTTAAAGAGAACTGGGTGTATAAATTTTATATAAAAATGCTAACCCACGTTTGCAATATCCCCATGGGGAGTTAAAAGTTTATAGCAAAACTGGCAAAGTACACAGAAGAACATAAATTACAAGGGGCACAGGGTTCCATATAGTATGAGATAGCACAGAAGACAGCCATGGGTGTGGGAAATCACATGCAAAGGTGGGAGCTGAATGTGGTCGAATAGGAACTAGGTTAGGATTAAATAGTTTTTAAAAAAAATATCTTACAGTAATATGAGAGGGCAGGATAGAGAGGGAACAGCTGGCCAGTATCAGAATCAGAGGGAAAGTAATTAAAGTTAACTGCATCTGATTTTTAAACAAGGCGACGTTCTCACTCTCTGTCAAATAGAAAGCAATTGGCCCCTGGAAGTCTTAGCCACTAGCACATTACACAACAGCTGCTTAAAGCAGGCTCACGTCCTGAAAACTTGACACAGAGATTTGCATAGTTAAGGCAGCGCTCTTGGGTGATAGTAAGGTCAAGAGCCCACACAGCAGCTCTCTGTGTGAACATGGCACTCAGCGCCGCTTAAATTATTCACGGATTGCTTTTCTCATACAAATTTAAATGGGCATCTAATAATACACTTTTTATTTTCATTTTAAAAATAACATTACAGTCAATGGGTTATACGCAAAGCAGTCTGTGTGTAAGCCTGGGCTTCTACTTGTGCAATGGGGCTTCACTTTCCTCCCCTCCTCTCTAAAGCACCCTCACGCATCCTCAAAGTCTGCTTCGGGGGGGGGCAGGGGGCTGTGAAGCAGACCATAGCCCTTAGGCCAAAAAAAAAAGATTAGCCACCCCATCCATCTTAAATATTTACAAGGTTGGCCATGGCAGGAGACATGTGCTATTGGTGAAGAAATCCAATTAAGCTGGAGCAAAGACTTATTTATAAATCATGTTTCTAGTCCTCACAGTTAAGAGAAGATGCAGCAAGTCACCTATTTGTTCCAGGAGCGCAGAGGTTCCCAATTAGTACAGCAGACACCCGGTTTTTCAAAAGCAAAGTCACAGACTCCCTACTTTAGAAAATTTTAATATCTTTATGGTATATTTTGTTATGTGAATGATGCCACAGACCCTCCTAGGTGGGTTACGTGGACCCTCTGGGGTCTGTGGACCACCAGTTGGAAACCACTGCTTTAGAGCATAAGAGAAGTGCCACCATTTGCATAACATAATGTTGTTTATTACTGTACCTTGTATTTTACATCGTGGTTCTGTTCCTGCTTTTAATGCTGTGTTTTTATTCCTGTCTGTCTCATGCTCTCAGCAGGGAAAGGGTGGTGCATAACAAATAATAACAGCAAGAAGAACAACTCACCTTGGCCAGGTTTTTAGGTGCTATTAAATGGAAGTAACTTGCTGCCGATTCTTTAGTTTTATACATGCTGCCCTGGGGAAAGTAGAACCCTCAGACAGCCAGGGAAGCAGGAAGTTTAATGTGGCAACTTTTTTTTCACTAAAAAGGCACAAAGTGATGCACAAGTGTGGGTGACCTGAATTTAGGTTTGGAAAAACAAGAAACTGTCAGAAACCAAAACTGACAGATTTTGTCATTCCCTGATTGGAAAATGTTTAAAGACTATCTACAGAAATATTGTAAAATTAATGAATGTTAGAAAAATGTTGAAATGAAGTTATATGGCTTTAGTAGAAATATTATAAGGAATTAAGTACAGATAGGTTAATAGAGTATTAAAGGAAAAATAAGGTTAGAATGAGTTAAGATAATTATAGGATAGAAAACAGAGGAAGATGGAAAGGAATTGCTGAAATAATTAACAGAAGTGGAATACAAAAAGGGAGGTGTGAGGAGGTCGTGGAAATAAGTGAATGAAAGATGGGATAATGAAATTGTTTGATTTATTTTATTGTCTTTGTCTTGTTTTGTTAATTTGATGTGTTGCATTGTATTGTTTTTCTTTTTCTTTTCTTTTTCTTTCTTTTTTTAGTGTCTTTGGAAAAATAATAAATATTATTTATATATTAAAAAAAAAGATTTTGTCATTCCCGGATCTCCACCACTGTGAAATGAGCCGGGATGGCAAGAGGCAGCCACTGCACAAACTGGAGCCCTGAAGCCATGCACTTCCAACAACCCACTCCAGTCGGAAGACCAGCAACAGTGTTTTGAGACAGAAACCCTATAAAATGTGCATTAAACACATGTGGCATCTCTTTTGCTTATTGTTTCTTTATCTTACAAAATAATCAGTGAGCAATTTTCCATCCCAACTTGATTTAAAAGGGACAGGACCATGGCAGAGGAGGGTGTGAGCACAGGGCCTCCCTTTAGGGCCTGGGTCAGCCCACGTACATTCAGCGTTGACCCCCGATCCACAAGAAGGTATTTTAACTCCCAGCTGCCCCTCATCTCCAATACCATCAGCAAGGCCAGGATTAGAGCAGAGAGACTTTACCAAGTGTGCTATTAAAGATTTAGTCGCTCTGCATTATTTAGCAGGACAGGGCTTTAAACCCCTGAACACTTCAGCCTAGAGAGTGGCAGGTTCACCTTCTCAGGTCTCTGCCTGCAGGTTGGATAAGGTAGATGGGAGTTGAATCAACCACTTTATACTTTCACAAGGTGGTACGGAAGGGGCTGAGCTTGCCCACTTACCACCCCACACCCCCTTATACATGAAAGAGGCTTGCTTTAACAGGTGAATCCTACTTATTTTAAGTGAGATGCACCAGCAGCATCGCATATTCTGGAGACAGACAGACAGGGTAATGAAGGGGAAATGAGAAAGACAAGGCAAGCTGGCCAGATCTCATTCTGCCATTATAATGAGAAATCAGTGATGGGGTGGGGAAGTAGGTTCTATGGTATGTAGTTTAGAAATGTAGGTAGGTTTGAGAATGTCCCATGCCAAATTAGATAGATAGATAGAGACTGCACCTGCAGCAGCAAAACCAGACGCCTTCATCTGCTCCACCTGCAATAAAACATGTCCCTCCCGTATTGGTCTCTACAGCCACAGCAGGCGCTGTAACTCTCCAATGGTTTGACTTTACCCCTGAAGGCACACTCTTCCATTGTCTCCTGAGACAGACAGATGCCATTATCGTTGTTGTTGTTGTTGCTCCTGCTGCTGCTAAAAATTCCCAGGCAGGGCTGAGAACTCGCCACTAGTGCGTACATATGTATACAGCCACATGCACACAAATGATTACACCAAATAGCAGCACCAGTTAAAAATATAAACTGCAGCAGAAGGATGTTTGGCTATCTGAGCACATTATTTCTTTCTCTGCCAGAATACATGCTTGAGATAGTTCCGATGCCAGACCCCACCCACAGACCCCAAGGTTCCCAAGTTCAAGTCCCTGATGTCATCGTCTACACTGCAAACTCCTTTTTTAAAAAGACCTTTTTTCCCCACCAACAACTTGATGTTGGTGATGGTTACCACTTATAGACACTGATGCTAGTGGGGAATTATCTTTGTGACAGTGGAAGTATCATAGATTCACTTCGGTGGGGTGGTGTCCTCCATGAGCATTTCATCTAAATGTTATTGTATTGGCATCTTATTGACATCAGCCCCTTGTCATGGTCAGATCACTCCCTGTTGAGATTTAGGTTTTCAGCACCTTCCTCTCTGCAGAGATGGGGGATCTATTAGGATGGTCTGCCCTCAGAGGCTGATGGATCTAATGGGTTTCCAGACAGCTCTGGCGGGCTTTCTGGCTCATATGACTCACATGCCTATCAAAGCCCTGGGGTTATGGGTTCGTTTTTGTTTTATTGTGTATTTTGTATTCTCATATTGTATTTTTCTGTTGTGAACAACCCTAGGAATTTCGGATGACAGGCAGTTTACAATTTAATAAATAATAATTATAATCTTAATAATAATCTCAGCTGTGAGGCGATGCCCCAAATGTCCCTGCACAGACATACTTTTTCTTTAAAAAACAACAACCTTGGTCTTCATGGGAGGGGTATCTTACCAGCTTCAATGCATCTCCCTCCACAGACTTCAGGATGAACTGAAACGCCGTTGATTCCCTGGGTGGAGAGTGCCGTCTCCTCTGGTTGTGTGGAGGGACCGTCAAGTTTTGTACAAAGATCCTTTGCCACTCCCCCATCCTGCTGCCTGAAATGCTGGCACCGTTTTCACCTCAGCCACAGAGACTTCTGCCTTTCAAAGGGAAACAAAAAACAAAAAGGGAATCTGACTCAAGAAACGTTTTGGGTCCACCCTCCCATTACACATGTGTCTTCCTGTGCTATGAAGGTGCATTTGGCAAGGTCCAATAACCCCTTCAAAGCTTTTGCTAGTTCCAGTTTACAAACTCTTGCCTGAAGGTAATACTTACCTCACCGCTGTTCCCTGCCTCTTGACATCTGCCGCTTAAAGCAGCTGCCTCACTATCTACTGACAGAGATGGCTGTGCATAGGAGCCCACGCTCCACACTTCCTGCCTATGCATTTTCTTCCAGTTTCCAGAAGAAGTAATTGCAACATGGCAGAATGTAAGAAAAGCCTGCCGGATCATGCCAATGGTCCATCTAGTCCAGCATCCTGTTTCTCACATGCTGGCTAGGGCTGGTGGCAGCTGTAGTCCAAAATGTCTGGACAGTACCAGGTTGACAAAGGCTCTCCATCACTTCAGACTACAGGGGTGTTTGCGTGTGGAGTAGGGACTTGTGCTCCCCTAGCACTTCAGGAATAGAGGCCAAATCTTTCTTCCTACTGTAGCAGTTTACTAAATGTACAGGGGTTGGAGTTAACCCCCCCCCCTTATCTAAAACAAATGTCTAATTCTATTTTACATACATACAAATAAAGTGGCTCAGAAGCATTAGGTTCCACAAATCTATGCAAATGTCCGGATTTTGAACAGCCAAAGATTATTTTTTATCCTTTGGGTGTTTGGGGGTGGGATGTTGTTTTCCTTTAGACCATGGAACACTTTCTTATTGTAGACCACACACTCTTTTCCTCTCTGTATGTTTTATTACTGACTAGGTAAATCGCAGAGCTGAATCCTATACTTTTTTATTTGCAGTTGTGACAACCTATACTACTTCTTCTGTTTGTTTGTTTTTCCTGAAGCATGTCTGTTGCTATTAAAACTTGGTAAGAAATATATGAAAAAGAAACGTGCAGCAGCATCCAGGAATGTGATTTCCAACTCCATCACTGTCATTTGTAAACAGAATTCTATATGTATCATAACTGTTTGTGCATTTTCTTTTTACATTGACAACCCTGGGAATTTTGTATTGTAAAGGGCAGTAAAAAAAAGGAGGGGGAAGGGGGTAATCTAAAATAAATATTGCCACCTGATTTCACACAATGTATAGGAAGATTTTACCAGGAAGGAGGTGGGTGCGTGTGTAAACAGAGCAGTAACGGTGAAAAACACAGGCTTGCTGGGCAAATGCAGGGCTAGGGCATCCAGAAATCCTCTCGCTTTCCAGCTGAGGAGTCTAAGGATGACTCACTGCCAAATTAGCCCTGCCTGGAGACGAAGCCAGATAAGTCATTCAAGGGCAGGCAGCTGACCTGCCACCGGGAAAACCAGCACTGTGCACATTCATAGATGACATGCTGGGGTTTCTAGAGCTCGTCTGTACAAATGAAATATGCCTGCAGCTCCAGCTCAGGTGGAAGGGGGCACCTTCACATCCTCTTCTTGCTGGCCTTTCTATAGCTTTCTTTTCCCTCTTCTGCCTTCCGCATTGTCAGAGATTTCCCTCTTCCAAGCACCCCTCCTGCCCTAGTTTGGGAATAGGGAGGTACACAAACACACACACCTTGCCAAAGTCCCAAGAAGTGGGGTCAGTCTTCTGACTGCATAGATAAAATCAACATGAGTCTTATGTATGCAGGCATTGTAAGCCGAAGCCAGGCTGTATGTATGCAGTGCAGGCCTTGGCCCCATCACTTCAATGAGGACAGGAACCATCCGTACCTAAATAACTTCCTTGGGATGGGAGGTGGGTGGGCAGTGCAGGTCTGCCTCGGATCAAGGTTGAAGTCCTACCAATGGGGGGGGGGCATTTTTGACTGGCAGAGGAATCAGCAAAGAAACAGGACAGGTAAATGTGAGAGTAAGACCCACTACAAGGAATGTCAAGAACAAGGCCTCCCAGCATCCTGTTCTCATAGTGGCCGACCAGATGTCTCAAAGGGAAACCAGCAAGCAAGATCCAAGCACAAGAGCACTTTCCCTCTTGGAACCTTGATACATGAAGGAGCACCCTTCCGCAATACTTCCTGCCCCAAGCCCTGCAGTCAACTGAGAGGCCCCTGGCCATAATACTTATGACCTGCACCATGCACAAGACAGCAATGTGAGACAAGGCGTTTTTGGTGGTGGCACCCAATTTACAGCTCCATCCCGAGAGATTGTCCTCTGCATTAGCTTTCTTCAAGACCAAATCAATTTTCTATTCATCTAGGCCTTTGTTTTTTAAGCCAATGTTCCTTCTGAAGTTGGAGCAGACTATTTAGGCGCTCTCCAGACTGCTATTTTATTACAGGTGTATTCTACAACATATTCTCGACCCAACAATAAAGAATTAGGGGTGGATTTAATCTACTTTGGTTTGTTCTGCGATGATTCCCTAATGCCACATTATTGCTATGCAGAGGGACTATTGCAAACCAAAAGCGGGACAAAAATAAACCAGAGCATTTGTGGTATTGAGCATGCACAGATTGAAAATGAAGCAGTGTGACTGCCCCAAAACGTTTATAGGGACAAAGGGAACTGAAAGCAGGAATGTGTATGACTGCCCAAATAGCATCATGAACATAAATCGTAATGAATGTGCAGTAAAAAGAAAATCTGGAGGGGCTCTTAGTGTTGTTGATTTGTGTTTTTCATTTTAGGCTGCTTTTCTTGTATATATTTTTATATTACATTGTATATTCTGTGCTGTCAGCCACCATGTGCTTGGAGGAAGGGTTGGAGGAAACTGTGCAATAAATTAAATGGCAAGCAAGCTTTTTGAGTTCTACAGAACTGCAAATCATCATGACACTATGGGCAAGTCATCACATAGGGGGGGAAATAATAATAATACACTAGCTGAAGGGAATCCCACTCTTGCTCTTCACTGCCTGAGAAAAAAGCAGGAACATTTTAATAATAATAATACTGTTGCAGTCTTAACAGCATCTGAAGGGTATTGAGTTCCACATCCTTAATGTATGCCACAGTCTGAACATAACAGTAAACTATGGTTTGACTTAACCAGGAAGGGAGGGAGGGAAGTGGAGAATGTAAAATCTCAGGCAGTCACTGTGGTTATATATATAAAATTAGGTGGTATGTCTTCACTGTACCAATCAGTGTGCAAATATTACCTTTTAAAGTTAAGTACAGTGGTACCTCTGGATGCGAACGGGATCCGTTCTGGAGCCCCATTCGCATCCAGAAGCTAACGCAAACCGCGTCCGTATGTTTGCGCGTGCAGCGATTCACCGCTTCTGCGCATGATGTCATTTTGACCCTCTGCGCATGCGTAAGCGGCGAAACCCGGAAGTAACGCAGCGCGCAACCCGAAAATACTTATCCTGAAGCTACTTCAACCCGATGTATTCGTACATACATATGTTTACCATACGACTATTATTTAAGTATTATTAACCTACATATCTGACTTAAGAATATTTATGTATATCGTGCATTACTGTACAACCTCATGGATATCCATTAATCACTACCCTCCATAATCTTACATTCAGACCTAGTAACCTAGCCAAGCTCCCATTTCCACCCACACATCCTTATTATTATGTTCAACAGATCTGAACTGAAGAGGTACCATTCAAAAATCAATAAAACCAAGTTTTTGGAACACTAATATTTATTTTTAAAAAAACTTTCCTTTGTGCTCTTGTGGCAAACAGCACTTGTGGGAAATAGTATAATAAAACCAGCACAAGGTTTGGCACAAAAAGACTCCTCCACAACTAATCGGTACAGCTTTATTACATTTATACACGGCCAAAAATGAGAAACAGAGCACTCCCTTGACATTATGAAACTTTTTGGTTAGCATAAACTATATATAAATTGCCTTCTCTATAAATGGTTACCTGGGTTAGGAACTTGTCTTATTTTGATGTACTGCCTTAACTTCATCTTACTGGCCAGGGTGGGCTATTTTCTTTTAAGTTTGTACGATGGTATAGGGCAGGGGTTTTCAACCAGTGTCCCATGGCACCCCAGGTGCCTTGAAGGATGGTCAAGGGTGCCGTGGGCAACACCAGCCTCTGTCCCTCTTTTCTCCCTCCTTGGATACCCTTTTGCATCTCTGCCTCCCAAAGGCTTGCGCAGCTGTTTGTTGCAGAAGCCTTGGCTACAAGCTCCCAGTGCCAATGGTGCCTCTCGGGCTTGCCAGGGGGTGCCAGCTGCCAGAAACCGAGGCTGCCTCGGAGCATGCAAGCTAGTGGGTGACTGAGGGAGCCCAGGCGGCCGGCCCGCCAGCCCTTGCTGTTGGGAACGGGTAGGCAAGTGGGAGGCCGGGCAGGCAGGCAAGCAGGCAGCATGTTGGCCTTTCTTGCGCATGCTGTGGGCAACGCCTGCCTGGGAGGTGAGTGCCCGGCGCAGAAGGGGCGCCTTTCCGTCATGCAGGCCGAGCGGCGGCCGCTGCTGCCTCCCAAGTTAAGGAGCTGGCTTCATGTTCATCTTTGGTCAATCTCTGTCGGGCTGCTTAAGGCTGGGGGCATCTTTTCCCCAGGCCCCTGTGGAGAGGCACAAGGAGGCACTTCTCTTTGGAGTGGTGGAGGCTGCTGCCCAGGACTCCCAAGGAGGGGAGGAGAAGAGGCTGAGGGAAACGTCCATCCATAAGGGAAGGTGTTCAAAAAAGGGGCGAAGGGCTGCCGGATCTGCAGGCCAAGGGGTCACGGAGCCATGGACTCAAAATTTAAGGTTGCAAACCACTGTTATAGTATATGGCGGTAATTTAATAATAATAATAATATAATATGTGGGGTGTTCCATGGAAATTATCAATTTATTTTAGCAGTTTGTCTGGGAAGCTTCTTGAGGGCACTGGTGTGTGATTAAAAAACAAACCACCTTATATATTTACAGCATTTAATATGTCAAGAGAGGCCAAGTTGCAGGGAGAGGAGCCAATGGAACCTTCTAGAACCTAGCGTTAGAATAAGGAAGGGGCAGAGGCAGTTGGCACCACAGTTCGCGAGTTGGGGGTGTGTGTGAAGGGAATCTGCTAGCCAATCAGCGGGCTCCTCTGTTTTTCCCCAATGGGAAAGGGGCAAATCAAAGTGCACCCCTAAAGCTATACGAGGAAGGGGAAGCCGGTCAGCCAATCAGCGTGCTGCTTTTCATCGCCTCTCTCAATGGGACGGGGTACTCGCCCCACTTTCTCCCACCTCCCGTTACCTGCCGCTTTCATGCTCTCCTTCTTTGGGCGCGCAGCCGCCGCCATCTTGTCCCGGCCGAACCACTCGCCTATTGGTTGGAGGGGGGGGACAGAGCAACCATTCGTCACCAGGGGCCTAACGTTGCCTTTCGCCCCTGCCCTTCGCCCAGTATCGTTCCATCTCCTTATAGGGTTTAATTTCCTCTGCCTGTCGTCCCGCCCTCCCTCTCTTTGTCTCCTTGCGTTTCTCTTCCGCCACCTACCCTCCCCACCGAACTTTGCTAAATGGCACGGCCCGAGCCGGCGTGGCGGCCGTTGTAGTAGCATTAGGCGTTGCCGCGGCAACGGAGAAAAGGGGCGAGGCCTCGAGCGGGCAGGAAACCGCACGCGCGGGGGAAAAAGAAAATTCAAATTTTAGCTGCCCTATATAGCTTAAGAGAATGCAAGCATTTGTCCTGTCCCTGCTTCTGTGCAATTTAGCAACAATTACTTTGCTATACTTGAACAGCGAGAGAAACAGACAATTTTAAAATTGGAAGCTTTATTCCTTTCCCCACCTCCCTCCCAACTATTTTAAAAACTGGTGCAATACCCTTAATTCCAGTATTATGTATTTATCCCATTTATACGTGTATCTCAGACTTTCAGCAAAGAAGCTAAAGGAGACATGCAAAGTAAACCTGTGCCACTGTCCTTTTCCCCTCACAACAACCCTGTGAGGTAGGCAAGGCTGAGAGGTTGTGAGGCCTATCGTTGCCCACTGACCTTTGGGCCTAAGAAGGGAAAGAGGAAACTGTCTTATACCAAGTCAGACCAATGGTTTATTGTCCACGCTCGGTATTGTCCAGAGTTGCAAACTAGATAAGTGTCCTCTACCTGGGAGAAGCAAGATTTAAATTGGGGGCTTAGTCTCTTCACCCACATGCTACTCCAATACTATTCAGTTGTGGCCCTTTATTGGAGAATCTATTTAGCTGTCATAGCTCAACACTGTTATCTTCCATTAATATATACCGAATCATTTTAAAGCGCAACATCACCAGCATTCATCACCATGCATTTCATACTGCAACCTCCTGGGCCGGGGATTGCCCTCTTGTCCTTTGTAAAGTGCTGTGTGTATTGACAGGAGTGTGCAGATGTGCAGCAATCATCACCACATCTTGTAGAAGTGAATCCCTTATGTTTCTTAGGTGATATTCTGTGAATCAATGTTTATTTCAGTTCCTGAACACTCTTCCAGTTTATTTCCTTACAATTCATAAACCTATTGACAAAAACAAACTTCAAAGCAGTTTACAAATGTAGGGTGAGTCCTGATTATGGGAATATGGGGAAGAAAATCTCCTTTATAATCCAAACATTTGCTCAGCAACAAACTCTAGGACAGTGGCAGGTAACCTGCAGCCCATTAAATGTTGCTGGTCCACCGGTCCTTTCTTATCTGACTGTTACCCATGCTGATGGAAATAGTCCAGCATTGTGGTGAAGCTTTTTTTAACTCATTGAAACTGAGAAAATAAGATAGAAAAGCTTCAGTTACTAGTTTTCTGTGTGCTTGGCTGTCGTTAAAGATGCAGAGGTTAAGTGCAAATTAAATACAGTGACACCACTCTTCATGAGCTTCCCAGAGAACAGGATACCGGATGACTGGGCCTTCTGCACTGAAATACCTACCTTATGGTGAACTCAGGTTTCCATATCAGTGAAAGGAAGATATGTGAAAAAGACAATCCAGAAGGCCCATAGGAGTGTATGCAGAAATAAGTCCCAATGTGCTCAGTGGGGTTTGTTCTCAGAAAGTGGGCAATAAAACTGCAGATGACCCTATGCATGTATAATTATTTATTATGTAGTGCTCAATGAGTCTCATTTCCAGGAAAGTGCATAGAATTGCAGCCCAATCCTTCTGGTAAGTGTAGATAGTAAGTCCCACTGTGTTCAGGGGATCTTACTCCCAGGGAGCAATTACAGTTCATCAAGAAGCTTTAACTCTCTTCATTTGGCCTGAATAGAGACAATGACTTCCTTTCACACTAGATATATTAATTAAAAGCACACACAAGTAAATTACTTTATCATTAGCCATACATACATTTAGGTTGCTACATTTTAACTCTTACTGAATCTACCCTATCTGTTCACAAAAGCTTACGCAGCAATAAAATTTGTTAGCCTTTAAGGTTTCACTAAACTCTCTGCTAATTTCATTGCAATAGACTGATGTAACTACCCCTCTCTAGTCATTTTGCACAAGATTCCAAGCCAATCTTCTGCCTGTTTACATGTAAGGATGTGTTCCACTGTGCCATAGGTGCCAACTCTCTGAGGCCCTGAGTGCCTGAGCATGCACAAAATTCTCCATGAAGAATTGAGGGCAACCACAAATTTTGGTGCCAGGGCTATGCACACTGCATGGCACCCTTGGCCCCAGGCACCCTCGGTCGCAGGGCCAAGTTTGCACTCCTGCACTGTGCTGCTCAGTTGCGCTTACTCCTAGGTAAGTGTGCACAGGATTGCAGAGGGAGAGATCTGCTGGATCAGACTTAATGCCTGTCTAGTCTTCCATCTGTTCCCCTTGCAGTGGCCAACCAGATGCCCCTGAAGTATCTGTACACATGCCCATTTTCATGTCTCTAAGATTTGTTATTCAGTGGCATAGTGCCTCTGGACTGAAGGTTCTATGGACTGCAGGTTCCGTAGACAGACCTCTCTCTGTAACTTTGTGTAATGCAGGGACAGCATGGTGCTCCAGATGCTGTCCCATTAGCCCCAGCCAGCATGATGAATAGTCAGTGATGATGAAAGGGTAAGGTATGGAGGTCCACCATTCCCACACTAAAACTATAGAGTCAGTAGCCTTTGCCACATCTCATGGTGCTGAATACCATAGGTTAACCTGTGCAATGTGTTTACTTGAAAGCCTTACATTGAAATTCTTGCATTACATGGGGTTGGACTAGATGGCCCTTGGGTCTCTTCCAGCTCTGCTATTCTGATTCTACGATTCTGAAAGTCCCACTCCGAGATGTGGGGGCTTACCCCCAATATAAACGTGCACAGGACCACAGCAGGGCACAAACGCAGCATCCCCAGGGAAAGATGCTCCAGGCGGAGGAGGGATGCTGCAAGCCAGGGCACCACCTGGGTACCAAATGGGTACCCAGCCTGGGGAAAGATGCTGATGCGGAGGGGATGCAGGCGAGGCGCCTGGCTTTGGTTGCGCAGCCTGCCGGTTACCAGGAGGCGCTTCCCAGCCAGCCAATCGCCGCCGCGCGGGGCCCCGGTGATTTGCATGCGACCGATTGACGTCGCCCGGGGGCCAATGAGGAGCTCCGGGGGCGAGTTCCTCTTCCACGAGGACGAAGATGGTGTAAGCTGGCGGAGGTGCCTTTGCTGCTGCTGAGCTGCTGCTGCTGTTGTTCTTGCAGGTGCGGGGGAATCAACGGGCGGGTGCACTGGGGGTCTGTGCATGGTGAGGGGGGAGGCTGTTTGCAATTGTGGAGAGGAAGGGGGGCGCTCTTAATGCTTTGCAGTGGGGTCTGTCCGGGAACGATCATTTTGTGCTTCTGGTTTAGTGGAGTCACAGGCGCCCTTGACAGGAAGTTGAGGGTGCTTGGGATTTAGGGTGCCACACAAAGAAGCTATTTAGCTGCTGCTTCTTTTTCCTAGTGGGATCAGCGAGTTCTTCTGTGATCCCCTGCTTTGCTTTCTGGCTGTTAGACTTCCAGATCTGTAAATGCTGCAGGCTGGCAGCACGGTCATTGTTTGCGCGTGTTGTGATCCGCCTCTGAGATCTGTCACTTTCTCCCAAACGCCAGCTGCAGTGCCTCAGCACAGAGTCCGCCGGAGGTAATAAAACAGAGAGGAGGGTGGGATCCAGAGCCTGGCTCCTCGGTTTTGCCTCTGGCTGCTAGGTTTTCGTAACTTGCAATTTCTTTTTCGAAAATGCCTGAAGAAGCTCAGCTTTCCCCTTCCGATCGCCCAAAGGGAGTGCGATGGTGGGTGGATGGGCGACCTGTTTGTCTCTTGTAGGAAGCCGAATGCAATTCTGCAATACCTTTGTAGGGGCGCGGCATCTCAGAGGCTTGTAACCTGACCTCTTTAGGATCCTGGTGGCTAAATGGGGTGACGGCTGCCTGGCTTGGTTTTTTTGTTTCTTAGGGTTTTCTTTTTTAAAGGATTTTAAAGAAAGAGAGAGATTGCTACTGGGTGACTTGCTTGAGCTCAGCCCAAATAACAGCAACCAGATTTGATTTACCTCTAGAGAGAAGAAATGTTGGACGTGGCCACAACATTATTTCCTAAAACATGGTTTTGTGTATTGCCATCCAGCATTGCTCTCAAATGCCTTTGTTCCATCTGGTTGGGCTCCGAAGGAGTACAGCAGCTTTTGCCAAGCTGGTGCCCTCCTGATGTTTTGGACTACAATGGCCATCAGCCATCCACCACAGCTGGAGTGTAGTCCAAAACTTCTGAGGGATTGCCAGGTATTGATTTACTTGTTTAACAAATTTATAAACAGCTTCCCAAAGAGTTGTACAAAATAACAAAAAGGATAAAACGTAAGGCCAGGTTACTAAGTGCAGTAAGATAATTTCTACAAAAGTCTAGAAACAATAAAACTGTACCTTACAAATTCTAGGAAGCATAAAACCATATCTGCAAATATGTAATCAATAGTCCATAAGTGACTGGGTCACCCACCAGGGAAAGCTTTCCTGAATAAAAATGTCTTTAAGGTGCCGAGACATCAAGGTGCTCAGCAATGGCCTTAATTTCATCTGGTTATTGATTCCAGAGGGCTAGGACTGCAACGCTAAAAACCCAGTTTCTAGTGCAAGCTAAGCACACCACCTCTGAAGCATGACCTACTCTCAGCAGTGCCCCATCGGAGGAGTGCAGATGCCAGGCATAGATATGTAGGGCGAGGTGCTCCCTTGGGTAACCTGGCCCCAAGCTGTTTAGTGCTTTAAATGCTAAAAGCAAAACCTTTTAGCATTTAGTGCCCAGTGGCATACTGGCAGCTCCCTCAAAAGAGGTGCTATAGGGTGTCAGCAGGATAACCCAATCAACAACCTTGGTTGGTGAAAGCTGAGATACGGAATGGATCAGAGTGGATCAGACTTGGCAGGGAAGTATTAGTTCATAAAGAGAGTGTGTGGCGGTGTTTCATAACGCCTTTGGAAGGTAGTGTGTCTTAGATGCCAGGAGGGAAAATGCAACGTGTCCGCGGAGGGTCTTGGATATATTCGAAATTAAAATGCCAGACTTCCTAAAGATGGTATACAGTATAGGTTTAAGAGTACGTATTGTGGTTACTTCTTTTAAATACAACATAATGGGGGTTGTACTATATGACCCTTTGGGTCCCTGCCAATTCTATAATAACTCGAGAGGTGCTCTCCAGGATATACCTCTGTACGTGAATGTAGAGAGTCTGGCAGCTTTTCCTAGCTGGCGGAGGATTCAGAAATTTGAAGGTGGCTGAGCGAGAAGTCCAGTGGCCCTTCTGAGGCTTGCCCATTGATTGTAGCTTCCATGAGCTCTCACAGAAGATTCAGCCACGGTGAGCCTGTTCTTTTTGCTGCTTCAGCCATCTGCTATTGTGCACTGCCTCTCCCCAACCCATCTTGGTAACTCACATCATAGGAAGTTGCCTTATACTGAGTCAGACCACTATCTCCATCAGTATTGTCTACACTCACTGGCAGCAATGGCTGTCCAGGGTTTCAGGCAGGAAGTCTCTCCCAGCCCTTCCTGCAGGTGCCACTGGGGATTGAACCTGGGACTTTTTGCATGCAAAGCAGACTCTCTACTACTGAGCTACGGCCCTTTCCCAACATGGGGAAGATGTAAGCAGAGGAGCATTTCTGGAGCAGTGCAAGAAGCAACCAAGGGGAATCTGGCTAGGCCTGCAACAACTGAGTTGTTTTTGTTTGTTTTTAAGGCATCATAATAGTTATCCTATTTCTTTATATTTATTTGCTTGTTTATATCCCACCCTTCCTTCCCAAGGACCCCAGGGTGACAAACAGATATACAATGTAAAAAGCAAAACGAAAGCTTTCTAAAACAGATCAAAACATTCTAAAAACAATTAAACTTTGAAACATCTGAAAGCAGTTACAGTTAAAAGCATTCTAAGAGCAATTTCAATTAGAAGCATTGTTTTGTCCTACGATCACAGGGTTGCCTGGAACGATATATGATTCTATGGTATTTCTTCAGCCACCAAATGCCTGGCTAATAATGAAAAGATAGTACAGTAGTGTTGGAGCCAGGTGCGCCTCACCAGGGAGGACATTCTACAGACGAGGAATCACCACTGAAAAGGCCCTGCCATGGGTCAGTGCCAACCAGGCAGGCCCTGGTGGCAGTACCACCAAGAAGACTTCACCTGCTGATTGTAGGGTCTGCCATCCCCTTGCCACATGAGCGTCCTTCAATGTGTGTGACGCCTCTCAGCATGCCATAAACAAATCCGGTCTCAGTTGGCAGCCATCATTATCACTTGTGCTAGGAAATTCCATAATTTAATTACATATGATGTGAAGAAGACCTTCCTTTTTCCCATCCTGAATCTTCAGACATTCAGCTTCATTTGGATGTCCCCAGCATCTAGTACTGATATAAAGGGAGAAGTTTATCTCTATCTGCTTTCTCCTACAGATTATTTTGTACATGCCCCTCTACTTTTTCTGACCAGAGTGTTGTAATCTTTCCTCATAGAGGAATTGCTCTGTACAGACAGGGGAAAAAACGAGCGTTAGGCGGCAGGGCTGCTTGGGTACATATTCAACCTCATGTCTGAAGGCAAAATAACCCAATCTAGAGAGCAGCTCTAGGCAGGTTTGTAAACCACCACCTGCCTAATCGCCTATGGTGAGTTAACAAGTGCCCCCAGGCAACCATGTTTTTCTTTTTAAAAATAAAACCTTTAAAACCAGCCATTCATGCTAATAAAAATACTTGTGAGCAGGTGGGTGAGTCATCGTTTTGTTTTGCATGTTCTGTGCCATGAAAACTGAATCACAAAGATGTTGCTGTGCATAGAAATATTTGCCAAGAGGCTCCTTCTCCTCCATCCCCATAATCTGTGCTTTCTGGCTTTCTTTGCCCATAACCCCTTCCTGAAAACTACAAGGCTGAGTTCCCCCACCCACCTCATTCTTACTCAACTTCCTGCCTAACATACCAAGCTTTTCACCTCCTCCCCTACTCTGACTTCAGCAACCTCCAACGTTGCTAATGCATGGCAGGAAGCGGCTGGTTTTGCGTTTTCTGGTTGGCACCGCCTGTGTCAGTTGGATGATGCTGCTGCTGCTGCCGCTGTCACATCAGTGTGCACTCTTGGGGGATCACTTGAATAATTTAGGAATGTGTGTCATGCAAGAGGAGGTGGTAATGGTGGTGGAATTTACCGTGATCATAAAATGTAGAGTTGGAAGGGACCACAGGGGCCATTTGGCCCAACGCCCTGCAATGCAGGAATATTTTGCCCAGCATGGGGCTCAAACCCATGACTCTGAGATTAAGAGTCTCGTGCTCTACTGGTTGAGCTATCCATGCATGCCCCAAAAGATGAAGAAGGCCAAGGACAGGAGCTCCTGGAATGTTGAGGTGTTGCATTTACAGTTTTAAAAGATGCATTGGCTTGGCTAATTTCTATTAAGCAATGCAGTGTTGGCCAGTCTTGATGCAACCAATGCCTGCTGTTTCCTGAATTAAAAGGGGAAGCACCCCTTACTTCTGCACCCTTGAAGGTTTTGCTGTAAGAGAGAGAGAACTACCCAACCTCACAGGAGCCTGCCTCCTGTTTTTTTGCACGAGTCACTGATCTGGAAATGCCTCTTGGCTAGAAGCAAGCAAGCCCAGAGCGGTGACTCGTGCAGAGAGGAAGCAGGCACACACACCCCCGTGAGGGTGGATAATTCTGCTGCATCTCCGCATCAGGGGAATAGCTGGATCATTCAGTCACATGTCCTGCAGAAGAGAAGCAGATTCATCCTCACCCCCAGCATGGGGGCAAAGGAAGAGTTGCAGCCTGAGTAGTAAACCATGCAGAGATGTGGATGGAGCATATGACAGCTTTGGACTTATGTGAGCCTTTAATAATTTAATTTGTTTCTCGTAGCCTGCTATGTTCCAGCATGCAATTGGGGTATTAATGAATGCATTTTCCTCTTTTTTAATGGAGCGACAGAACTTGAGTGTTCTCCCATAACAATGAGCGGATAGCTGAAATACTGAGAATTGTATAGGACAGAGATGAGCAGATGGCCACTCACTTAGGTTCATTAATTTCCACGAGTCTTCTCTCAATAGGACTTAGCTGGATGCAAGCCTTATTTTGCTTAGATGGCACAAGACTGTTTGGGTTGTATCAACTAATCTTTATTCAGAGCGAATCTATAGAAATCAAGGGACCTGGGTTAATCATGTTTATTAATTTCAGTGGATCCACTCTGAGTAGGACAGTCCTTTGGATACAGTCCTTTGTGGATTTTGAGGTAACAGGCTAACATGGCTAGCCTGTGACACCATTGTTTTTTTAATTAAAATAAATAAATAACTGCAAGAGGGTTGGACTGGATGAGGCTTTGGGTCCCTTCCATCTCTACAATTCTATGGTTCTATGAAATATTTTTTTAAAAAATAGAAAAGAGACAGGCTATTGCAGATAAATGAACAGGGAATACATAAGCATTCTCAGTTCATAGGCTGAGCTGTAAGCTCCTTGCCTCAGATCTTGAAGAGTTAGGTGATGCATTTAAAGCACATTCATACCACTTCAGCAATCCAAAGAACTATAACAGAATACAATCCCCAGCACCCTTAACAAACTTACGTTCCCAGGATTCTTTGAGGGGGAAGCCATGATTGTGTGCAAGAGTGTTGTGTGCTTGACATGTAGGGTGTAGGTTGTCCCCTACCTGCCAAACAAAACAGACAGTAGTGGGGATGATGGGCCAATGGTTTGACTTGATGCCAAGGAGTGTGTTTGTTTATTAGGAATTCACCCTGCTCACTCCTGCCCTGGGTTCTGTTTCTTGGTCATGCAATGATGTGATGTAACCTAAAGAACTGCACTGCCCTTTGTGCTTCTGGTTGTATTTTTCTGTTGTTAATTTGCAAGTGGCTTTGACTTTGCTGCGGATCGAGAAAAGCTGAGTATCATCTACTAAAATAGCAAATAAGTAAATCTAAAACAGCAAATATAAGTAAAAATGTTTTTCAGGGAAGGGGTGCTCTGCTGCAGAGTCCGGTGCAACATGGCCTAAATCAGCTCCTTGCAATATCTTTTCTTGCACGCATTTCAAAGGCGAGACATAGCAAGGAAGGTGATTTGAGGTCCTGCATGAGCTGAAACCCAGAACCAGATGCTGGACAGAAAGCCTTTGGCATGGCCAAGTTGGAAGGTTTGTCTCTGGCACCAGATGTTTAGTGTCTGTTTTGCTTGTGAATATGGAAATTACGCTTGATTATAACGGCTAATGGGTAAGGATACACCCATCCCCTGAGGTTTTTATTTTATCATAATCATTTATAGGCAACATATATACATAATTATGTTTTGAATGGGATTGCTTCAGTGGTGTGTTTGCTGCCTTGGGCTCCATTAACAGGAAGGGTGGGATGTAAATAGACTAAATAAACAAGCAAATCTTTTAAAATAGTTTTTATTAGTTTTTTAACATATCATTTTCAACAATTATTAAACATACTTTTATATCTTATACAATTTTTTTGACTTCCATCAATTACATCTGAAAATTTTCTAATCTTTTCCACTTAATTTACGTTTCTTACTTTCACTATTACATTTAAATATCATAACTAATATCTCTCTTCTTTCTCTTCTTTGCAATATTTCATATATTCCTCCCTACAAAACTTCTTGTAATCCTACTAGCGTAATTTGTTGAAATAAACAAGCAAATCTAAGCTAGTAGCTATTATGTCATGTGGCAGTGAGTTGTTGTTGATATCTGTCTGTCTCAAGAGAAAATGGAGTGCGCTTCCAGCAGTCAGGTCAAACCACTGTCTTAGCAGCACCAAGATGAAATCCCTTGGGCGCAAGCCTAGGCAATGTGTATGGAGGTCCTGGGCTGCCCAGATGACAACCCCCCCCCCTTGGCCTCATTGATGTGGTCCAAAGGAGAGCCAAGCAATATATCTGGGTGCCAGCTTGGCTGCAGGAGTTGCCGGAAGGAGGCGTACAAGGCGCCATCCAACCATCTTAGGGACTCCACTCTGGATTTGTGTAGGCTTCACCCCATAGCTTTTTCTGCTCCCAAAGATGTTCCACAAGGCAGCGGAGGTTTAGGATCAGAGTTTTCCTTCTTCTAGATGGGCTTACCTTCCCAGGTGAGTTCCATAAGTTAATTAACACCTTGCAGGAAGAAGTTCTTACATTTATCCATCTTGGCTCGACTGCCATTCAGTTTCATTTGGCGACCCTGGGTTCTACTCTCAAGTCAGCCTCACCACACCTTTTTTAAAAACCAAAAACATTATTTAATCCTTTCGAGTCCATTTGCATGGGTGCAGAATCTCTCCCGTCTAATCCTGCCTAGTGTCTTAGCAAGCTAAGTCTCTATAACTGCCACCACCAATGCCATCTTATTGCCTATGTGCAGGAGTGGGGGGACGGGACCCTCCTTTCTCCCCCACCCCTTATCAGCTGGAGAAATGCAGAGGAGGCAAAGGGTTGTGGAAAGGAAGAGAGCTCTTTCACCCTCAGAGCTGGCAAATTATCCGAGGTTCTGGTGTTTGGCAAAGACGTGAGCACTTTTGAAGGCTTTTGTCTCTGGGCGACAGCAGCCGGCCGGCTGCCTCCGTGAAGAAGTGCTTGAGTCACTGTGAACTCACTGAAAGATTTCCCCGCAGGCAAGGACACTCTCTCTCTCCCCGGCTGAGCAAATTAAAGGACCGTGGTGCCTCTGATTAAATATATATTTCAAGAAATGAATAGCTGAAAAGGCTGGCAGCTGGCTGTCAGGCAGCATAAGAATGAGAGGCTCCCGTAGCCTTTGAGCAGCGCAGAGGGCGTCCTCCGAGATCCTCTGCCAAACCTGAGGAATGAGGTTTTCCAGCATGGGACTCCTGGGGTGAAAGGGCTGGAGACCCTGAGCAGCAGGCGAAATGCAATTGCAAAGGCAGTTGGGGAAGGTCCAATGCTCAGTTGTGCTTTGCATGCAGAACACCCTCAACCTCTCCAAATAAAGACCACTGCCCAAGACCCTAGAGAGCTGCTACCAGTGTAGACAACAGGCCCAATTCAGCTGGTAGTTCTTAGGTTCTCTACTTAGGCATGGGGAACCTGGAGCCCTCCACAGGCCATTGCACTGCCACTCCCATCATCTCCAACCACTGGGTATCTCCTGCCCTCTTAAAAAATCAGAAGGGGGGGGGATGAGCTGGATTAGCTTTTCAGCTGGAGAGATCTTTGGCAATGTTAGGGATTGAATCTCAGGCCTTCTTGAATGCGAAGCAGGTAACATCGTGGGCCAATAAGGCTTTTCTCCAGGCTTTGGGTACCAGGTTTCATGAAACATGAAAAGAGCCTCCGCGGTTCAGTTGATTGCATTGATTCAGGAAACTCTGACTCGGCAGAGTTTGCAGCTGGGCAGCAGAGATATTTCTGAGATGAAGAGCCCTGGGAATGCTGACTGTGGTGGGTGGGTGCTTTCCAGGTACGTGGGTGGGCTGCTTGGCAGAGTGTTATTGGGATGCATCAGCATTGATGGATCGAGTACATCAATGTACCTATGGATATCTGCTAGGGAGGCAGGGAAAGAGAGCGAGTGAGGGCTTCTGTGTCTGGCAAAGAAGAGTCCTTAGAATCTTGGATAATTTATCTTCCCCTACCACCACCACGCGGGACGCGGGTGGCGCTGTGGGAAAAACCTCAGCGCCTAGGACTTGCCGATCGCATGGTCGGCGGTTCGAATCCCCGCAGCGGGGTGCGCTCCCGTCGTTCGGTCCCAGCGCCTGCCAACCTAGCAGTTCAAAAGCACCCCCGGGTGCAAGTAGATAAATAGGGACCGCTTACCAGCGGGAAGGTAGACGGCGTTCCGTGTGCTGCGCTGGCTTGCCAGATGCAGCTTGTCACACTGGCCACGTGACCCGGAAGTGTCTGCAGACAGCGCTGGCTCCCGGCCTATAGAGTGAGATGAGCGCACAACCCTAGAGTCTGGCAAGACTGGCCCGTACGGGCAGGGGTACCTTTACCTTTTTACCACCACCACAGAGCAATGGCACAGCTTCGGCCTTGCAAGCAGAAGGTCCTTGGTTCAGTCCCCAATGACATATCCAGGTAGGGTTGGGAGAGACTCTTGCTTAAAATCCTGCCAGTCATTGCAGTCTATGATGAGCTCAATGGACCAGTGGTTTGACTCAGTATAAGGCAGCTTCCTATGTTCCACCCTTAGGGATGTGGGAGATACTTAAGTTTGGTTCGCATTTAAATGAAGACCTGCCTAAATCACAGTTGAGGAAACAAGAGATGGATTGGAACGCAGCAGTTCTTCGAAATTTACACTTTGTATTGCACTTCTCCAACTTAC